AAAATGCGGCTGCCGCATGTGCCGCTTCGGTCTCTTGCTGCTGTCTGGCCTTCTGCTGCTGTGTTTGCTACGCTTTTTGCCTCGTCTGAAGCGCCCTCCGGCCGAGGGGGCCCCCTTTGTTGGCGCCGCGACGTGCTGCGTTTCCCGCTGTAAGTGCGTGTGGGCGCAGAATGTGCAAACGGCAAGTCTACTCCCGCCGAGGCTCTCTGCACACCGAGCCTGCAACCACACCCCAGGCAGCAGGAGCACTACCAGCAGCCTCACCTGCTAGTGTTGCTGCCACTGGCCCTCCGTCGAACTCAAGGGCAGTCGCAGGTGCTGCCGCATAAGACACAACACCGACACACCCGCAGTCAAAGTTACTCTAGTACTTACTTAGGGCCCTTAGTGATTTTTCCGTTCAGAGGAGCAGAGGGACATCCCGAGCTGTACGGGGCCCCCCAACGAGGTGGCAGCGCAATATCCACAACACCCCCCAGGTTTCTTAGCGCAGCACTCGCTTCTATTGCCTCGACTGCAATAAAAAGCGAGAGCTGCCTTTGGACTCGGTGTGCTCTGGCTGCTGCAGCTCAGCTTCGAAACTCACGCAGTGCGTGCATTGTCTGATCATGGCTTGAATACTTGTAATCAAGCTCGCTTACCCGTAGCTGAGGTGCGATTATTCGCCGCCCTACCAGCGTCCCGTTACAATTGGCACACCAGTCTCCGCCTACAGTGTGTAAGGCTAAGCCAAAAGCACCTAACGCTCTGCACGGCTAGCTCTAGCTGGCTAGCCGCAGCCAGAGGGCTGGGATACGAAGCCTTCCGCTCTCCTGAGACATGCACACGGGCTGCCACTTCGCACTAAAAAGGGGGTTCTGAGGCTTTTGGAGACCCCCCGTGGCACTGTGGACTTGGAAGCTTCACGCAGCGTCCTAAGAGCGAAGGAGCGCTCCTGCATATCCTGGAGTACAGGCACAGGCAGACGAATAGAAACGCCCCCAAAGTATTGGTGCTTGTGCACCTGCCTCCTTTTCCTCCCCTAGATGTAGAATTTACCCGGCAAGCGACGGCGGAGAGGCCGCAAAGTAAGGCTCAAAACTTGTGGAGGCGCGCTAGGAAAGGAGAGCGTCATAGGCTATAAAGGGCAACACAATGGAGCTTTTCCTGGGGAGAGCACGTATCAGCTGTGGGAGAAACGCCGTCAAAGGTGGTGGGGAGCTGAGATCGACTTGCACTGAGCTTGGCCCTACCGGCCTCCTGCATCCAGAAGGTCATCGGCTGAACAAATGAGCCGAATTGGGCGGCGGAGGCATACGAAGGGGGAAAATAAAGGCAGCAAAACGCGATTTAAGCGAAGAGCTTGGCAGGAATGTGCCTGCGGCAGGAAGCCGCATGATGTGCGTCTGCTGTACGTTTCGTCGTGGGCCCCTGTATCCGAGGTTTTGCTAGGCTTGATTTCGACATCCTTGAGGCGCGCCATCTCAGTCATGTGCTGCGTACATATGCCTAAGCACTCAAAGATGATCGAAGCAGTTTCTCATGGAGAACTGCAGAAATTCGTAATATACAGTCTGTTACCACTGGACCTGTGGTAGAATCAGATGTCGTCCATTTGACGTCTGAGTTTAAAGGATTTATGGCATCTTCCTGTGTGGAGTAAGAGTGCTGCCTTGACACGGGTGTCAAGCTTCTGATGGGTGCGCGCATACGTCTTGCGCAATCGTGTGTTACTGCGCTGAATGCTCTGGGAACGCTGCGACCTGCCCCGAGCTGACCCTCTTCGCTGAATGTCCGTACAGCTGCGGGCAGCAGCCTAAAGCAGCAGCAGCAAAGCAAGTGCGTGAGAAAGCTCTGTTGGAAAATCGGCTCCTGCTTTGGGGTGTGCCTGCGTGGTTCTCGCTTTGGATAATGGGGTATTGAGCCACGCGATGCATGGCATTGTCTCCGCACTTAACGCTCGTGCGTCTGCCCGTCCGAACGCTGCTTTTGCATGGACTGCAGGATTAAGAGCAGTGAGGATTTCTGCGAAAGCGTGTCTTTGTACACAATGGCACTCACATCCAAGCTCTATTAAGTAGCCCTCGGCGTGTGGAGGGGATAAGTGGGGGGCCAAGTGAAGTTCGGGGGTGGGGTGGGAAAAGCCGTTAGTTTCCACGGTAATTTCCAGCTCACTGCCATCCTAGACTCCTTCCAGAAGTGCCTTATGAACATGTGCACACCAAAACAATGTGTGTCTGAGCGTGCATCGTGCCCATGTGAGCCTTGGCAGGACAAACTCTACTGCTCTGCCGTCCCTACTAAGAATTGTGTTGCCCCCCGAAATGCAAAACTGCAGCAACTTTGGTGCTGCACGGTAGTGCGCGTGCATCAGGCCAAATATTGATTCTTCTTCTTCTTCTGCCTTCGTGCGTGCGACAGAGGAAAAAGAAGAATCAATATTTGGCCTGATGCACTGCAAAGGCCTTCTGTGTACCCCTCCACTCTCGTAAAGTGCGCATTTCCGTATTGAGCATGCATTTTCAGGGTCCCTGTAAATATCCTCGAACTAAGGTCTCCTTCGACAAACACTTCGCGCCGCATCGAATGACAACCTAATGGGAAAGTTTTCGAGTGCTCTTCGAAACACCACTCCCGCCTTCCCTTGGTAGCACCCCTGCAAATCCCGGCATGAGAGGAGTGAGACAGTACGAGTGCGCCTAGTTCAGTTGCACCCTCGAGATACTCCTGGCATTCATAGCTAGCTTCACACAGCACCTAGTGTAGGGGTCTAGTATACAAGTGGGCTTTTTCCAAGACTTGAGCTACATATATACTGAGAATTAGCAAGGACTTGCTCTAGTAACCGCATTGCGCGTTCGTCTACCTCGTGTGTTGCATACTAGTACTGTTGGCTGAGGCACTCCGAGGGGCAAGGGCAGGGGAAGGCGGGATTTTTACGCGTCCCCCTGTAGAGACGTTCGAGGAAGCCATACATCTCGCGCCCGTTTCCTTACATCGTTGCGTCTTGCGAGGTGCACTGAATCGAAACAACTTTGCAACAAAAAGATGCACTAGCAGGGAAGCCATGCAGTCAATTCTGTACTCTTCTTAGCTAGCTATAAGCAGCATAGGCGAAGGTGCTGCTCAAGTGTAGCGTGTGGCTTTCTACAGTCGTGGGGTCCATTCGAGCGGCACCGCCTGGTTGTGGCCAGAGATCTTCCGGCAGCAGCAGCAGTCCAGCTATTCACCAGCCGGCAGAACTGGCTTCAAGACGGCCTCACACGCACCCGCACGCACAACTCCACAATACGGAGGATCCATAAAAACGAGCAGGCATGAGCCACTGCCCAGGCCTCTCCATCCACGACGGGAACGTATGCGGGCGTGTCGCGTCCCCCCATGACGAGCAAATGTGCCTCATCTTTATTCTAAGCCTAAGTTTCGTAAGCGGGAAGGACTAGGCTTGGATCCCTAGGAAAACAGCCGCATCGACGAGCCCTAACTGTGTCTCGCGGTGCGTGTATGTAGGACTGGCATAAGCTGGAAATCCCAGAGTCTGTACCCCCCACAGGCACATATAGCGCCATGAATCCCACAGTAGGCTTGTTATTCTCACCAAGTAGAGCAGCAGCAGTTGGAGCAGTGGCGGCAAAAGCAGAGGCGATTGGCTAGGCAGCAGGCACAACCCCCCCCCCGAGGGCAGCCGTACCACTTCCGCAGCAGGGTAGCAAGAAACAGTGCCGAAGAGGTATTCTTGAGGGTCTACAAGCCCCCATTCTCCATTAGGCAACGCTCCTTCAGTCTTTTTGGAGGAATATCACCCCCAGCAAAAAGAAGGGGGGAGGACGCCCCCGACAGACAGACCCTTCATTAGCTGCCAGAGACACACGGCGCCGTGCGAGCGTGGCTTGTGGCGGCTTCCGTAGGAAGCATGCACGTGTTGTACCTTTGAAACCCCACTAAAGTGTGGTTTTAGGCAATCGTAATTACGACTTGCGCTTCACGATTCTCATATTTCCCCGTGGGGGGCGCAAAATCACCGCCAGACCGACTGCACACGCGAGAGCGACAGCAGCGATGGCAGCGGCGGCACTGGAAGGAGTCTGTTAGCCTCTACTGTCTGCCCTCCTTTTTTTCATACATGAAGCACTCGCAGCAGTGACAGCTGCCTGTGCAGCTTCCCTCGGTGGACGCGTGTATACGCGTCCACCAGCTTTTGCGACGACGACTGCTGCCGCAGCAGCAGCTCTCTACACCGAGGAGCACACCCTTGCTGTGAACAGCCTTGTCTTCCATAGCCTGCGATCAGCCCCTGCCTCTCCTCCCCCCTTCTCTCGAACGGCAGCTGCCGCAGCTCAAGCAGCGTTACGCGCGCCATTTTTTGATACGCTTCGCAATTATTAGCACGCCGTTGCAGCCACCACGCATACGCGGGGCAGAAGCGAAGCCTTCAACAATTCTACAACAAAACGAGCAAGCGCTGCGGGGCCTGATACAAAGCTTCTTGTGGTGGCTCCTCCCTCTGAATGACTACACGCCTCCTGGTATATCGCACGGCGGAGGAAGCCTTTGCAGCGTCTCTGTTCTCAAGGTAAGGTGTTTCTTCAGCAGCAGCCTTGGCAATGTTGCACCGAGCTTGGAGGTATGTCAAACGCCACCCTTATCGAGTACTCGCAGGGGCAGCGGCAGCAGGCGTCGCAGCAGCCGCTGCCGTTGTTGCAGCCAAGATTTACCGCCATCACAAGCGCCTCAAAGCCTTGCTGGAGGCGGACGGAGGGGACCTAAGCGAACTGCTGCTGCAACAACTGGGACTGAGCAAGGAGGAGCTACAGGAATTGCAGCAGCGGCTGCAGCAGCAACAACAGCAAGTAACGGAAGCCGAGTGGATGTCTGCATTCCATTTTGTGCGAAATCAGGCAGTGGCAGATCGTTCCTTGTTGCTGCAGCTGCAGCAGCTGCAGCAAAGGCAGCAGCTCGAAGACGCCTTCGCAGTTGATGCCTTTACCAAGATTCTGAGGGAACCCCAGCAGTGCAGCAGAATGACGCCGCAGCAGAAGGATCTCTGTTTCAGGGAGATGGCTGCGCACGTGATTGGACGCACTGTGTGCTGTGCTGTGCTGCTGGTGCTGCTGCTGCTGCTGCATCGCGTGCAAGTCAACCTCCTAGCTGCAAACCTGGTGGAGAAAGATCAGGGGCAAGAGCAGCAGCAAGTGCTGCAACCGGAAGAGCTTGAGCAGCGCGAGCAGCAGCATCACCAGCAAAACTTCGTATTCCTTTCCTCCACGCGTTGCGCTGTATCTGCTGCCGTTGTTAGCCGAGTCGCCGCTGCATCCCTCGCAGAGGTCAGCTCCTTCATCACTCAATTTCCTCCCCAAAAGCCACTGACGGCGGTGCAGCTGCAGCAGCAGCTGCAGCAAGTCATGCAGAGGATTTGTTGCAGACTTTCCTTCGAAGCAGCGCAGCAACAGCAGCAGCAGGATGGGTCTGCAGCAGCGGAGACATCCAGAGCAGCAGCGGCAGGGGAAGCTGTAGATGATGCGGATGAATTCGGATACGCTGCATTGCTCCTGCCGGAGGATGGCTCTCTAGACGGCGAAGCCTTTGCTGCTCTGCCCCCTGCGGCAGCCGATCGAGTGCTGAAGCTGCTGCAGGAAGCACGAGATGTTCTAGACTCCCCAGCATTCGCCGCTGCGGTTCGGGGTGTATGTACTGCTGCTGCTTCGTGCATCGTGCAGCGGGTTGTGGAAGCGCTCCAAAACGCAGGGATTTTACCCCTGAAAGCGGATACTGCTGCTGCCGGAGTGAAAGACCCCTACAGCATTCCCTTCCAGCTGGCACGAAGTCTGGGGTGTATTTGCAGATTGGCTGACTGGGCATTGGGAGTAGGGGTCGAAGGGCAGCTGCTGCAGCGGCTTGCCGCCAGTGTCGAGACACAGGAACTGTCAGCCTTATGCTACTGGAATCCGCAGTGTGACTTTGCGCGGGTGCAGCAGCTGCTGCACCTTGTGGCTCTAGCTCAGCACCAGAATCAGCACCAGCAGGAGCTCGAAATGCAGCAACGGCAGCTACAGCAGCACGAGCAAGAACGGCATGGGGAGGAGCCGCATGCTGCAGGCGATCCCCCACCCACGCATGCTGCAGCAGAAGATAGTGTCTCTGTCTGTAGCGGTGATGCTGCTGCGAGCGCGGCAGCAGCTGATTCTTAGGCTCCCTCTGCTGTGTTACAACTTAAGTTTCGCGAAGCGGATGCTTCCTGGAGCCGACGGCACGACGTTGCCGCGGACTTGGGGTGTCTGGAGAGGCTGCTGTTAGTGCAGGGGATGTGCTGCCGCTGGCTGTTATAAGAGTTCAAACTTCATAATACGGCAAACCGGTTTACTGCTGCCACATAAAGTACTTGCAGTCCCCTAGGAGGACTCCTGATGTAGCCGGCTGCTGCCTGCTTGTGTTGTCAAAACGCAAAGGGCTGCTTATTCGGCACCAGCTACTACAACGGGCCTTTCGGCAGCCTCGAGCGACGCCCTCCCACCCGCTCAGTACGCAGGAAAGTCAAAGTCTGCTCCCTGTCGAGAGTCAAATTCGAGTTACCTCCGAAAAGCTCTGCCTCACAATGCCCTGCAAGCAGGCGCATACTATGTATGCTTAGACGGATTTAGATGCGCATGCATGCCCTTGCAGAGGCATAAACACGAGTGGATTGCGCTCAGAAGAACGATGCTGGGGGTATGGGGGTGGGGGGCTGCTAGGCGTATCTATGTGTAGGTACATGTACATCCAAGTTGTTAGTGTGCATCGGAGGCAGCGCTTACTGTGGGTACGCAGTGATGTGTGGGCCTCCTTTTTCGTGCCAGAGTAAACGGCAGTGCGCTGCCTGGCAAACCGCCTTCGTTTTCCAGCTGAAGGAGATCTTTTTGTACTGGGTTAGGTCCTTTGTATCTGTACGTCCTTTCTAGTATGCACCTGCGTCTAGTGCATTGTAACGGAGATGTTTCCTGGGGTGGCCCAAAACTCCTAAAAGGGACCGAGTCGGGCTGTGCTGTCCGTTTAATGGGTAAAAGGCGTCTCTAGAGGTGATTCTGACTGAGATGTCGAATGCCGGCTTGCGCAGCCTGCACCCTGGCGGGGCATGCTAGTGTGCTGCTTTACTCATCTGTGAGGGTCGGGGGAGGGACCATCGACTGCTAGGAAAATAATTCGTATGAGCGCTTATATGTTGGATGGAAGTTTTGTACGCGTACGCGTTCACCTCTACAGGGGCATTGTAGATACGCATGACTCCTGTAAGAGCAACTTGGTGCCTTTCGCTTGTGCATTTCTGTGTCGGCAATGAATGGCGTCCGCGGAGGGGCATGCCAAGAGTACTTTAGGATCCTAGAAACGAGCAATATGGGCTCAATAGGCGCATTTAAGGGTAAAGCACAAACACTGTTTGCACGTATACACAATCAGCAACTCGAGAACGAAGGCTGCACTCGAAATACACCTTGGCTATTATGGCTCTGGACCTTGGCCTGACAACCCTACTCGTCATCTTCGCTCATCGTCCCCAAAATTAGTAATAACCATTGCTCTTCATGCAAACTGATTGTTTTTTTGGAGAAACTCTTCAACACTAGCAAGCAAACAGCAAGGGCAAGTATCGTCCATCGGCGTTCTTAGCTGCCAACGAACAAGCGCATACTCCTTAATGATGCAGTACTCTCAAGTCACATGTATGCACCTCCGCTCGGCTCTAAATGGACTTCCGCATACGTTCACAATTAGACTGGGCTATGCGCGTCCGCGGTAGCACGTATGCTCCCGCCATACAAACTAGTTTGGTATTAATACTAATGGCGCTAAACAGTGTAGTATCACTGGCTGTTGGCCTTGCTCCAGCAAACACCCTTTCTATTGCTTGCGAGTCCTCAACAGAAAATAAATGACAAAAAACAAGTCGAAAGATAAGAGACAACATAGCGGTCTCCAAATGCTCCTGATGCCAGCCGCTCCCCTCCGTCGGAGACTCTAGTCTAGGGTGCAGACCGATGCTGAAATCAGCCGCCCGCACTTGCAAGTCCCTAAGCCACCGTCTGCATTGTTTGTGGTATTGTGGATAGCCAGCTTGTCTCTAAAGTGGATGATGCTAGGCCGAATCCGCATGTTACTGAATGTAGAACTGGGGCGAAGTCAAGCGCCGTTGATACTCCATCTGCGGGAAACACACGAAGGCAGCTAGTGTGGTTTTGAGCATGGGTTCCACACAAAATATGGCGTGGAGACACAGTGACAGGGCGCAGGGGGCCAAAGACAGCCATGCGCAGGAACGCGGAAACAACGACATGCGAGCTGTAAAGCTGTGCCATCCTTCCTAGTCCGTCTAAGCCAGGCGTGGACGGACGGATGAGCAAATCGAATGAAACTACTTGTCCTCAAGCTGAGGAGCAGTGGCTACGCGAGAAACGGAAGCCCAAATAGAACCGCACGCAGTACGAGCAGGAAAAAAAGAGGGAATGCATTTAAATACGAACTGCGTGAGCATGTATGTACATGCATTTACTACTACATGCACAGCACGTATCCTCACAAACGCACACTTACAGAAACACATATCGATGAGCTACATATTTTACACACACGTCCATACAATGCAGCACCCGGTTCACTCTCAGAAATACAAGGGCTGCCTGAACTGCCAGGATACCGTGAGGGGTTTGTCCAGCAATACATGTGCCAAGTTATGTGCATCGCAGAAAGTCAACAATGCAGCCCACCAGCAAACCGCGCACACGATTTTTGACTCTACGCTATCACGAAAATTCAAGTACACCTGACCATGCACCGGTTTAATCGTCCTTTCGCACGTTGCGCATAGAATGCATGCACTAGTTGCATCCATACGCCACTACACGACCCGAGAGAATATTGGATATAGACCAGAGCCAATACACTGGCATGCACCGGAACCACCGCTGTTTGTCACAGAAGACACAAAGGCTTGCTGCACCGTCGCTCCATCAGGGATAGATTATTAAAGCTGTCAGTATACCCGATAGGGCATATCCAGTAATACATGCGCTAAATTGTATGCATCATTTGACGGCAGCCAAAAGATCAGCAGGTCTACAGCAACACTTCGAAAATTTTGTGTGGATTCAAAAATTGTGCATTAATTCATATCCACTCTGTAGTCCCCGCCCCCCAAGGGCAAGGGTATGCGCATATATATACGCAGTACACACGCTATTCAAATGTCGAGGTATGTAAGTAAATGCCCACATACACAAAGAAGAAACCTGGGAGGAAGCAACTATATACAGCCGTGTACTTTGATCGAAAAGTGCCATGCGACAGCACACATTAGAACGCCAAAAAATAGCACACAAGCAAAGCCTTGTTGTGCCGCCGTCCCATCAGGGATAGATTATTAAAGCTGTCAGTATACCCGATAGGGCATATCCAGTAATACATGCGCTAAATTGTATGCATCATTTGACGGCAGCAAAGAGATGAATCGGCCTACATAAATAAAAATTAAGCAGTACCCGTTCATTGCTGCTAAGAAAGCACCAGGGATAATACGCCATTTAGCAAATATATCACTAGAACAAGATATACATGTACCTCCACATTCTCAGATGCCATTACGTAAAAACAACGCTCATGAAGATGCGCGCAAATGGGATACCAATAAGCATAGACACATACAGCTAAAACGCTTCAATACAGAACAAACACCAAACAGACCTCAACTCATGGAGTCCTGGTGAATGCAAAGTAATGATCGCGGAATTGATTTGGTGCGACTGCACAGACACCGCAACAGCACAGTCGTTTACGCAGACCAGTTAACTCAAAGAAATGCATGAAAGACATCTAAAACAAATAATGGATCATGGAATCTCCTGGGACGTTGCGTGGCAAAACAGCTCACGAATCATCTCGAATGAGAAGTCTCCGGCAAGCGCCAACGGCGCTTGTGCACCAGAAACTGCCAACCATAAACAACAGTACAAAGCAAAGCAACGAAGCACGAGTTACGTCCGAAACATGACTCCGTGTGTCTCAATGTGAATATATATATTCTTATTGCACAATAGAATACCCCGTATAATCACATTCTCCCAAGCCACAGCCGCACAAACACCGATGGGGAATATTCTTATATAGGCGAAAACATAGATAGGCTCATCGCATCAAACATGCATAGACGCGCGCCCGTTCCTCGCTTAGCAAATAGAAAAAGAATACATACACACGCACACGCACAGCTGCAAGTAATACGAGCACACACGGGGGCACTACCAGGTTTTAGCGACCCCCCCGATGGCAAATCGCGTAGACGAAAATATACCTGAAAGTTTAAATAGGAAAGCGAAGCAGAAACTCCAGCAGGCAGGCACGGCAAAGACAGAAACGAATGCACAGAAGAAGATATTAAGAATAAGAACGTACTGACGCAATAATTTCATCATGCATCTGTATTCGTCTATGCAGGTGAGCAACCAGCTGGCAATATCACTCTTATCTGCACAGAGAGAGAGGACACAAGACAGACAAGGGCTGGAGAAATCGAAATACCGTGCACAATAAGATAGCTGCACCGAGATATAGACAACGAAAGAGCCGCGATTCCCGCCTTTCGAACAAGCACCTCAGAGGACACATGAAATCGCGCATACACCAGGAGGACAGCACGACACAGACTGCAAATGGAGGCACTGCCGTCTCATCAAGAAGAATTTTAAAGACTGCCGATGCACCCTCGGGGTGAATTGTATCCAGTAATAAATGCGCTACGCTGTACACACCCTTTAAATGGCATCCGCACGAAGAACCGGCTCAAGACAGCACAATCCAAACCAAACACGAGTGTACCACGCTAACATGTGGATACTACAAGCAACTGCACGCACTCAAGCGAGCTCCCCTTACTCTAGACGTCACACCTTCGCTGCAGGCCGCTTGTGCTGACTTACCAAGAGAGGACAAATCCCCAGCTGGAGAAATTACAGACGAGTTATTCAAGGAGGTAGAGAAAAGGCTTGACACCAGAGAAGTTCCTACAGCCCCCGACGCCTCCGTCCGCATCGTGACAGGATTTCTGTTGGCGCAAGACAGACAACAAACCGACACCCAGGTGAACACTGCTGCTAGGCTCCTACCCACGATAAATAGAAGAGTAGAAAGAAACGAAGCGACAAAAAACGCGAAGCATTAGGCTAACGAGGCGCTCTGAGGCGACAGCAGGTGCAAACGGCGGGAATGGGGCAGCAAGTCTGTTTAGCGGCAGCAGCGGTACGTCGACGGACGTCTTAGTAAGGGCGAATGGCAGCACAGCAGCCAGCTGGACAGGCGTGTGATATAGACGGCGATACGCAGCCGTAGCACCGAAGTGCTGCGTGGCAACTCTGAGGCAAGAGGCGCACACACAAAAGCCAGGCGTGTCGAGCGACATGCAGTTCGTTCTTGAAGCATGACAATGTATCGAGATGCATGCATGTATGGGCGCAGGGCAGGTGCATGTTGCGTTCTGTGTGCACCGAGACTTTTGCAAAATGACGCATACACTCCATTCTGCCAGTAGCGAGGCATCAGCCAATCCTCCGGCCAGGTCCGCCCCCCCTCTCCCCATCCCTCTCAAGATATCTGGCTCTCCCTTCAGACACACGAGGGAACCAGAGAATAAGAAGCAGGGAAAAAGTCCAAAAGCCGAAAAAATTCCCCTCAAATGCCTCATGCCCTCTGGATCTGGCAATCTCGACAGGTTTGTAGGTTGCCTTCGAGAGGCGCCTTGAAGCTAGCGGGGCCTTCAAACGGCCAACCCGACACCTAAAAACTAAGAACGCGAGACATACCGATAAGTCGCCCTGTATGTTCCGAACCTCATCGCGCTAAGCAAAGTCTGAAGATCCCAGTCGTCTTCTGCCTCCCGTCCAAGCGCAAGGAGAGGCTTCTCGTGCGCAGGGGTTTAGGACACTCTTGTTTCCGGCTGGAACCAATAAAATAAGAGATGAAACCAGAGCACCTTTTTCGCTGCTGTGCGGTGACGAGCAGCAAGATCCCTTACTGCAGCTGCTCCCATAGAGCTACCATCGTTAAGGGCTGTGGGGAGGGTGAGCGTGCGCGGGGGAGGGAGGTGGGAGAGGAGCTTCTGCTACTGGCCCTGCAGGCCCCCAAGCATACAGGAGCTTGCGGCGTACACACACTTAAAAACAATCACTCCAATGTCTTTTTACACGCGTTGTATTGCCTCGATATTGCCGTCGTCTCTGAGCCACCCTTCGCTGCTGTACAGTCCTCACCTGCTCATCTCCGAGCAGCAACTCGCTACGTCCCTGCCAGGTCCCTTGCAAAGTTTTCGTCAGCGTTGCTTTTCGTCGTTGAAAATGGCCTCTCAAACCAACGGATGCTCGCTGCCTCCCCTGGCAGAATCTCCGGCAGTGTCTTACGTGCAGCCGATTGCGCTGAAAGGCGCGGGCAGCCGAATCCGTCTAGCAGCGATGCTCACTTCATCGGCGTCGGACTCCTTTATAGGAAAGCAAGTCACTGTGTGCGGCTGGAGTCGCAGCGTCAGAAAGCAGGGGGGGGGCGACCTTTGCTTCGTGGTGCTCTCCGATGGCAGCACCTCTGTCAACTTGCAAGTCGTCGCTGAACGCACAGTGCCCAACTTCGAAGTGCTCTTGAAAAGCGGCACTGGATGCTCTTTCAGATTCACAGGGCTTGTCGTGGAATCTCCAGCCAAGGGACAGAAGCTAGAACTCCAAGTAAAGAACCCTGAAAGAGGTACTGCAACGACACACACACACACATGCACACACATGCACACAAACATATGGCAAGATACGCAGAGAGGCTCAGGCAGAGGGTGGACGCTACTGCGTGCAAACGTAGAGGGTTAGGCCCATGAGAAGATTGCCACGTTGTTACATAGTTGCCGAGACAGTACGAGGCGAGGTATATACCTCTTTAGCGGACGCATTTTCCATGAAAGGACACAAGGATAGCAGCTAGTAATGCGCACTAAGGCTGCATCAACGTAGCCGAGGGAGTAGGCCCTCAGAACGAACCCATCTGTGTCTTACCAGACCTCAATGTGACGCTTACGCACAAGTTGAATGGATGTAGCGGGTGTTACGGGTAAATTCCTCTGCCTGCATGCGCCCTGCCTCTCTTCACTCTGAAAGTCGCAGACTTCCTGGTGTCTTTGCCGAGATGCTCCATAGGTGATAAGATCGAAATCCTCGGGATGACAGACGCATCCAGATACCCCCTCGCAAAGAAAGAGCATACGCGAGAGTATTTGCGGGAGATTGCACATCTGCGGCCACGTTCTCAACTGATGGGTGCCGTTACTCGCGTTCGTTCTCAGCTGGCGATGGCAACGCACAGGTTTTTCCAGGAGAGAGGTTTCCTCCACGTGCATACGCCGATTATTACTGCCTCGGACTGCGAAGGAGCAGGGGAGATGTTTTCGGTGTCAACTCTGCTGCCCGAGGAGAAGACTCGGGGGGTCCCCTTGACGAAGGAGGGGGGCGTGGACTATGCGAAAGACTTCTTCTCGCGCCACGCTTACCTTACGGTGTCTGGACAGCTGGCTGTTGAGCCATATTGCTGCGCACTCTCCGACGTGTACACCTTTGGACCAACATTCAGAGCTGAAAACAGCCACACGAGCAGGCATTTGGCCGAATTCTGGATGGTTGAACCTGAAATCGCCTTTGCTACTTTGGAAGACGACATGAACGTTGCCGAAGCTTACGTAAAATTCTGCGTCCGCAGCTGTCTGGACAACTGCAGTGCAGGTGCGCCCGGTTGTTCATGCAGCTTGACTTTTGGGGTCTGCATTTTGGCGCCTTGCTTGCCGCGTGCATGGCTAGGACTCCTCTGCCCGCAGCACGAGGATCCTCTTCACGCAGCATGCGAGAAGCAGCTTCGTAATAAATGCGGCGCCTGCACGTTTCCCTTGTGTTGCGTGGTGCAGATATCGACTGGTTCGAAAAGAACCAAGAAGGGGGTCTCAAGGCGCGGCTTGAGAACATCCTTGCGGCCCCCTTCGAGAGGGTGACTTACACGGATGCCATCGTGATGCTGCAGAAGGAGGCAAGCAAAGCCAACTTCCACGAGAAAGTGGAGTGGGGAATGGATTTGGCGAGCGAGCACGAGCGCTATCTGACCGAGCAAATAATGAAGAAACCCGTTATTGTCTACAACTACCCCAAGGACATCAAAGCCTTTTACATGAAACTGAACGAAGACGGAAAGACAGTCCGCGCGATGGACGTTTTGGTTCCCAAGATCGGAGAGCTTATTGGAGGCAGCCAGAGGGAAGACAACCTCGAGAAACTAGACGCCATGATCAAAGAAAAGGGGTTGGATATTGCTCCCTACTGGTGGTATCGAGAACTCAGAGAATACGGCACCGTCCCCCACGCTGGCTTTGGCCTGGGATTCGAGAGGCTCATCATGCTCGTCACTGGCATCGAAAACATCAGAGATACGATTCCTTACCCCAGATATCCTGGACACGCCGAATTTTAAGGGGCGTACTTTGCTGCAGAGCAATGCTGCAAATAGCACACTCGTCACGACTTTTTATATACAGCCTTGTAGCCATGCTGATGGAGAACACCAGTATGCATGCGTGGGGCGTACTCTGCGTGCGTGCGTGCTTCCGTGTTTGGGCGTCAGTTTGTGTTAACACATGCACGAGTGCATGTGTGAGGATGTAGATACATATAGGTACATGCGAGTAATTGTGCATGGGTTCCTCATGCATGCACCCAAGGGGTATGAGTGATGCTTGCCTAGAAAAATACCCCCTAGTTGCCTCCTTTTTAAGGGATATATTCCAATATTTTGCTCTCTGTATTCGGATCTTTGCTGCTGTCGGTGCTAGCTTGTGTCGACGAACAGCCTTCCAGAACGGGGGCCCTCTTGCCACCGTTTGTCAATTGGATTGGTAGTCCATCTTCGCAACCACCCGCTAATTTCTTGCGTATTGTTCCTCACTCATAGCCTGTCTTCTCTGCTCCTCCAGCAACTTCCGCCCCTCCCCGCCCCCCCCCCCTAGGTGCTTGACTCCTTTTTCATTTGTATCAAAGGGGCACATGGCAGTGCAGCGGCCAAACGGCTGTCACTTGCCCCTGCACCCCGTTTGGAGGGCTGCATGGACCCCTCGACGTATCGAACTCCGCTTTCGCAGCAGCCCCTTCGCTTGGGACATCGCGGCGGAAAATTGTGGTCGCTACCTCCATGCTCACACCACTATTAGTGTACAAACAGTGGACCCTCATTGCTGGGATTTCATAGGAAGGTGTAGTGCAGGTCCCTCCGGCGCCTCAGGAGGAGGGAATTTCGGAGACTCGAGTGTACTCGGAGACGACGGCCAGACACGAAATACCCCTAGCTGCACGGATAAAAGTGGCTTTCTTCTGTTCTAGTATCCGATTCGACTTCATATACCAGCTTGCATGGAGAAGGGAGACGGCTCCTTGCCGAAGAAAGTAATATTGTAGCCCACTGTAACTGTCCAGGCCTGCGGGTCAGTCCCCATTCGAGCAGGGAAGAAGTTATTGTAATAACTCTGCATCGACCATCAAGCCTCTTTGAACCACTTCGTTCGTACTCGTTCCACAGCTTGCAGGTACAAGAGAATTTACCCATTACTGCTCGCAGCCAGCTTGTAGGTAGAGCAGAGAAAAGCACAATTGACCGTTGCCCCACGTTGCTGGTCGATTAGAATCACCCTGTGTTCTTTAAGCGAGCGACCCCCAATATCCAGTCGGGGCCTCTGCAAGGAATGCAGTGGCACTTATACATACGTGGTGCCCAAAATCGGCCCTACGTGTGCTGAAGCACGGAGTCTTAAATCCTATGGCGTATGCCAGGGGTTACTACTTGGAAACCGTATTCGGTCGAATGTCCTCCTGTTGTGGGGCTCACACCTCTCATGTCCCTGTCGTCTGAAAGGATGGACGCAGACAGTCCCAAGGGCTAGGAAAGTGAGCTATTTGCGCGACACCAGCTTAACCCGCGCATTGATACACTGTACTGTATCAAAATGACGCAGAGTGCGCACATGTGCGTGCACGCTTAGAAGCGAGTATAGGGAGAGGAAGGTCTTTAGGGGAGGCACATAGGAACAGAAGATTAAGGCTCGGTTTGGGGTTTTGGGGGGCAGAGAGGAGAAGTTGGGGGGAGAACGCTACTTCTACTACACTTCATTTCTGTAGCTCAGGCGGATGCCACTCTCCCACTATCTAACTCGTCTTTTTTAATGCAAGTAGAAAGAAATCTTCCAAAAGGCTACTCCTCCACAAAAACGAACCTTTTGGCTCTTTCGAGATGGCGACTGTGTGGATAATCCTTATCTTCAAATGCAGTCCTCGGTGTACTGTGCCCCTTGGGAGCGCTTCTGATGCGGTCACTCCTGCCAAAAGCGCTCTTAGGCAAAGAACCGCACTTTACGGTCAGCCACCATGGCTCTTGCGAGCCCTTCGGGAGGCCTCTTCAGCGATCCTGCAAAAGTTTCTACTAGAAGTTCCTTTGGTCTTTTTGCCTCTCTTACCCCTACATGTGGCGTCGGGCTCCTAGTCTCTTCGAGTTTTCACTCTCCCGCGTGCTTTATGGAGCCTGCCATGCAGAGAGCGGACATCTTTAAAGGAGCTGTCAGAGACGCCCTTATACTCTGTAAACTTGGTTGCCCCGAGGTTACTAAATTCTCCAGATGTATGATCTACATGTCTTGAAGGGACATCTTACCACAAAATCTTGGACACTGACGAGTGAAAACAGTACTGTCTGTGTCCATCAAGCAGCCCCATGTAGGAAGGTTCTCCAGTTTGGTCCTTCGATTCCCTTACTCCTTCATCTTCATAGCAGTTTTTTTGGCAGAGTCCTGGAGTACACAGATGAGGAGAGAGATGAGAGCTCCTTGATGCGCTTGACCGCTGCTACCCACCGGACTTGCAATCTTCTTTCATGTCGAACTTGCTGTCTGCTGGTTAGTATATGTAAGCATGGCCCATTTTAAACTAGGTGTGGCTTTTAAAGTCACACTATCCTACTTAGAGATTATCAGGAGTCTCGGATGCACATGCTAGCGCTTGCAAATTTTCTACTGTAAATGGGGTGTTTGCCTGTAATTTCATTTGAATCGGGTTGGGTCATAGGGCCTAGGAAAGGGTGCTCCCACTACTGCAAGCCATGGATGTAGCGGACACAGCAACACGTGAGCAGACATTTGTAGATCAGCACAAGATTGCTTAGCCTGTTGCTGTACCACTGCTTATTTTTTTTCTCTCGACCTCTTCGAGAATGCAGGGGTATGTATTTCGGCTCTTCTTCCTGCCTCAGGCCAGAATCTTACGCGAGAGCAAGGGGAAAGGGGCACTTTTTTGGAAGCCACTGTCGGTCTTTAGCTTAACTTTTGAAGGCTCGTGCTCTAGTTGTATCCTTAGGGGAGGCCAGCTTGAGCTATACAAGAAAATAAGTGGCTGAAGAGACAGGTACCACTAAAGGGAAAGTTAAATATCCGCCATCATGGGAGCTGCCGTCCCTCTTTGCCCATAAACCATATACTCCCGGTCTCGAAGGGGGAAAGTGACACAAGGCGTCCAAAAAAAACTCCACACTTTGGGGCAGTCCATGCATTGACGTAAAGTCGGACACACTCATCTAGCATGCATGCACGCTTCGTACATTGCTGTTGTGTAGCAGTACACTGGTACGGAGGAAGTGCAGTGAAACAGTAGCCAAGCCATGCATCCAGTAATGAAGTACATCTAAATAGAGCATAAAGGCTGTAGTGCTAGGCTTTAGGCGTGGTTTTCCCCGCTAATAGTAAGGGCGCGGATGTTACTTGTACGCGTACTAAACACGGACTTCATCTCCATAGGGGACCGGGGCTTCTCGAGCAGTCATGACAAATGCCAGCCACTCTCCTCGCAGATTGTCCCCTACAGACACATTATAAGGCGAAGAAGAATATGGGCCTTTACTCTAATACGGTTCGCCAATTGGGGGATTCGGGGGGGGGTCAACGGACTACGGCCGTAAGTATGGCCTTTGCTCTATTGAAATCACGCATGTAAAGGCTTCTGCTAAAGTTTGCACCCCCCGACACTATGAAGCTACCTGAGTTCTGGGTAGGATTCAATGGGGACATATGGTAAACGGCAGATCATTCAGTGTGCGATAGAGCAGACGGACTGAACAGATGGAGAGAGCGGAAGTTGGCGTGAAGTAGGCAAACCTTCCACACCGCGGTACTATGGCATTATTGGTGGCGCGTCTAATCAAATGAAGAACTGTGCGGAATAAGTCAAAGAGAATACGGTTTGAAGGGGTAATAGGGCCGGTGCTATGCGTGGCACGCTTGGGCGACCGGCGCTGCCGATGGTTTGTCTACGAGGCATAGAGTTTGTTGATGTTGACTGTTTGATACTCCTTGAGTTGCTTGATTCATCGCTGGTTTGTCTCTTTATTTGTTTTTTTATGTTGTCAGATAAAAGGAATTTCAATGCGTTAGATGCGCAAAAATGGTGATACAAGCTCTCTCCCTTCTCAGAGGGCCTCGCCTGGTGCTGGCTGGTGTCTTTATTTGCCTTTTTCTCTCTCTTCAGCCCTCGTCCACCTCTTCCTTAAGGATTCGTGTCAAGCCTTCTGAGTCAACTGGTGCGCACTAGGGCTTGTTGTTCTCATTACTGCTTTCGCAAAGGGGACACTCTGCCGCTGCACTAGGGGCCCGCCGAGCAGGGACAGAAGGGTGGCAGATAACGGACTCTCGGTTAGTGTGAGCACCCCATCAAGTGCCTTAGAAAAGGAATGTGGAGGTGAGTGCTTAGCGGTGACGACATGGGGTTCCTGTTTGGTGGCTCAGATGAGGATTCAGTGGTCTTCACCGACAAGCAGAACGAAGGAACGAACACTGAAGATGTCCCTATAAAGCCTCACGCGTTCCAAGCGGGAGCTGATAGTGCAACAGGTGAGCTACTGGTCTCTTGATGCTATCCTTGCCTCCAGCCACGAAGGCTGTACGTTTGACGTCCATCACTGGTCGCTGTTGCTCGGCGCACTTTGGCAGACCGTGGCCAGCCTAAGCCCCTTCCTACGGCATTCAGCGCGTTACTTCCCTGTGAGAGATGTGACTGCCTGCTTTATTTTAAGAGAGCGAAGCTGGAGGCTCAGAGGCAGACGACGCCGAGGAGACACCGTCGAAAGAGTCGGCGGGGGAGGGCGAGGATGAAGCACCCGAAGGACGATCAGAAGGTGAAGACACGGATTTGAAGGAAAGCGGGAAGCAAAAGCCTCCACGGCCATCCCTTCGTGCGCAGCAGACGGCTGCAAAAGAAGCTGCGTCTGATGAACAAACCGCTGCAGAAGAAGCTGCATCTGATGAACAAACCGCTGAAGAAGAAGCCGCACGCCCTGCTGCAGCTGTCCCTTCAGCAACTGAGGCCCTCCAGAAGAAGGATCGCAACGCAGAGCTTCCTCCTGTGACTGCTGGCGCCTCTGGAAAGCAGGAGTTGCCTGATCTTGAGGAAGAGGCTAGCGACAAGGAAACAAAGACGGTCATAAGAGAACACGAGGAGCCCAAGGGCCCCAATAGAAGCCTTGCCCGCGAGGTCCTCAACGAGAGGCTCAAGGCTCTAGGCTTCCCATTCGTCTTGGGAAAGGAGCATTTTACAGTGGATTTCCAGCAGTAAGACATGAGGGGAGGGGCGGTAGAAACCGTCTGTGAAACGCTAGCACGGGCCAGCAAAAAGCTATGGGAGATAGACTACGAGGTTACACAGATCCTCCACGTGTAAAACACCGCAGCAGCCGGGCCCCCGGCGACCCTGTGTTACTTGTGATTCTCTTTGCGCGTACGCTTGTTTCGCAGTGGCTTTTCTTTGGACGCGTCTGCCTTCGATGCTTCGGCTGCAGAGAGTGCGGGTGTAATGCACCGCGCTGTTTCTACTGAGCCTCTCATAAAGAGCGAAAAGTCCCTCTTTCTTGCAATTGATATCGACGACCAGTTTCTAGGGACAGACGTACGTCTTGTGCAGCTCACCGTCATACCCGAGGCCTGCAGCGTGCAGGCAGAGGGTGCCTGCAAGACGGAATGGCTTCTTAGAGAGCCCACTCCTGGTAAGGAAATTTGCAGGCCTCATTTTTTGAGGGCTCTGAACTTCTGCGAGAGAGCTATAGCCGGCCACAGGCAAGACGGCTTCGGGTGGAATACCCCTGAGAAATCCGGGGGTAATCGGCGCTATTGGCGCTATGATGTACATGATGCGTTCATATTAAGCCGGCATTACAGTGGGGAATCCTTTTGTGGCTGCTGAGTGTACCTCATGCTTTCGCTTCCTGCTTATGTGTAGCTTCTCCGCCACATAGAATTCTGTTGCTGGGGTTCTCTTCGCCAACGGGCAGCAAATTTGAATTCGACGACGTTTTGAAGCAAATCCAACACAAGCCCATGGACCTCGATCTCAGGAGTGAGCCAGCATTTTCGGCAAAGGCGCAGAGGGGCACGACCTTAGAGCCACAGACGCAGAGAGGAAGGGACAAGCTGAGGGGCGGGCAGAGTTTGGGCCAGGAAGGGGCTGTATCGGCAGGTGCCGAAACAGAGTGAGGCTTTTAGAAGGGATAGGCGCCAGTCAACATCCTTTGCTGAAAGCCCTTGCTGATGGGGAGGAGTCTAAATGCTTGTCGTCGGTGGTGCCCCGCCTACGTGTGTGATGGGCTTCAGGGATCTCTTTGGCGCTGTTCTTCTCGGATCACGCCAAGTTCTTCGAGGACGGAAATGGCAAATTCTCGGCTACTCCTTCGTGGCACGGTTTTGCGGTGAGCGCTTTTTGTGGCTATGCACTCCACTGCGCGCAGCAGCCCTAGGATGCGCCTACTGTTCTTCCAATCATCAGCACTCTACCGAGCGCATGCAGGCTACAAGCATCGGATACCTGGGATCCAATGCGTGCAACATGAAGCTTGAGGGTCTCGAACAATAGAGTAGAGATCGAGTTTTCTCTCACTCGTTCTTGTGGCGACTTTCAGATCCTCTCTTCCCTGCCTTTGTAATTCTTGTGTTGGGAACCCTGAATGTACTGTTTATGGCAGCTTGGCTGCGCTGCATCAGGGTGCCACAGCACGAGGTAGGTAATACGAACAAGAAGGAACCTGGCAGTGTTTCGTCGGGTTGTCTTTGCAGCTCGTGAGCCAAGTGGCTGGCGAAGAAGGCCTTCCGATAGTTGACGCTCCGCTGGTTGTGTTGCCACCAAATGCTACCGAGGCTCAGAAGGCGGAAGCTCTGCGTCTCAGTAAGGAGGAAAATCAGGAGATCGACGGCCTTACCACTCCTGAGCATGGTGGCCAATCACCAGGGGCTGGAGGCAGAGTGGAAGCCTCCACCATCTTCAAGTACGTACTGGCCAGCCTCCTCCTTATAGGGCTCTTCGTAGGAGTTACTGTTTCCGTCTGCTCATGTGCGAAGCCCTCGAGCTAGCTCTCCAGTGGTTACTCGAGTGCAACTATCTGCAAGAAAGACACAGTCAGTTTCGGTGCATGACTCTGAACCTACATTGCTGCAATGAAGCTGGTGGGGAGGCAGCGAACTGCCGCTATCTCTCAGTGTGCCGTATTACTAACCGTTTCCACGCGGATAGAATCGCTTTTCACTTCTACAGCAACTCAACTTTCTATATGTGAGTTCGCAATCGTCACAGCCGGGGTAGCCAGAGAGACCCACAGCACCGATAAATGGCCAACAGGGAGGTAGGGCTTTCTCTTGTACGGCCCAGCCCCCTTAGAAAGATCCGACAAAATCAACGGATCTCGCCATTAAAAGAGCCCACCATACGAAAGAGAGCCCCCCAAAACATATCCATACCCCAAGGGACCTCAGATGCCACTCGCCCTAAGGCAAGGCCACGGTCTCCCTAGCGGCCTCGCTAGCTGTAGCGAACAGCCGGGAGCATGAGGCTGAGCAACTCGAGCCTACTGTTTCCGTTGAGCTGCGAGGTGCCCCCCGTTCTTCGTCAAACATTATCCCCCACCTTACCGGACACCCGTAGCTAGCTAGCTCCCGTAACGAGTCAAAATTTCACGGTTAGCTTGGGACCTTTCCCGGCGGGGGGCAGCTGGCCGCTCGGCTGAGATTTGACGCTTGTAAAGCCTATCCAGCCAGCTGCTCAGAGAGGTGAGTACTTGGCTACATGATGCGTTGTAACTAGCGATAGTCACACGTAGCCAGACCTAACTAGTTGCAGCCAGCTGCTGATGGTCATACCCAGCTCCAGCTAATTGTAGCTAGCTGCGCCTGGCCAGGCGCCTCCCGTTGCATTACCCCGCGGGCCACTGAAATCCTGCATTGGCTCGCAGTTCGCGAGGTGCAGCACGGGATGGCTGCGACATTTGATACACTCCATATGGCACCCAAGACAAAAAGAGCCCTTTTTTGAACCTCGGGTGGGATCCTGCCAAGGAGCAAATCCGCTCAATTACTTCGATGAGGGCCTCCCCAACGGAATGCCGATTCGAGGCCCTCTGTACAAATCTCAGAGTTCAGTCAGAGGCGGCCAAACCGCAAGAATTCCTCTGCATTTCCACGATTGAGGTCTCCTGTCTCCGAGCCTCTGGACGCCTTGAAAAGAAACTCGCCCAGTAAATCCGCAGCGGCCCCGGTACCTAAGAACACACCACGCCGCCACTCTGACAACCAACATTTATACCAGCAACAACAGCTGCAACAGGAGCAGGAGCAGCCAAGCGCAAGGCATAATAAACGTACCCTCTTCTGTGTCAACGCAATGCGCGGATTCCTCTAATAAAGACGAGGAACCCTCCACCTTTCTAGAAGCTTCCGCTTCTTGCTTGCAGGGATCCTCCTCAAACAGCTTGGTCAGCTCCTCAGTGCTACATTCATGCTGCAGCTTGACCACTTGCGCAGCGGTCACCAGTTTTTTCTGGGCGCTCGCTTTCGGCTGGTCCTGCTGCTGCTCTTCCTCGAACAAAGGAAGCCCTTGACCAAGCTGCTGAAGCAGGTCCAGAGGCAGCGTGGTAGTGTGCTGCAGCTTCTTTTGCTTTTGCTGCAACAAGTCTCCTTCAACTCCTCCTTGAAGGCTTCCCAGTCTTGCTGTACTGGTGGTGGGTGTCACTGGGGTAGCAGGTGCCAACAGCCCCCACGGAGCGCCTGCCCTAGCAGTCCCCTTACCGGCCGCATCGGATCCTGCAGGATGGCTGTCTCGCGGGGGAGCTCCAGGTGACCCTCCCATGCCTAGCAGAGACTGAAGAATCTCCGCGTTGAGGCTAAGCTCCAGAAGCCCTCCATTGCTCGCCTTCGAGTCGTTCGCTGCTGCTGCCGCTGGCGAGCCTTGTTTGGTGCTTCCAGCAGCAGAAGGGGAACCTAAAAGTTCTCTGGACAGCGCCGTTAAAGGCCTTGGTTGCTTGAGAGTGGCGGGCGGCTTTCGCGTGCCTTCTTCCCGTGTCGCGCCAGGAGAAGATCCTCCGTGAACGCCTCCCAAGCTGCCTGCTCCCCACAGCGCCTCGATGCCCTCACGGGAGCACTGCTCCGGACTGGCTGGGCTTCTGGCACTCACAGAAGAGCAAGAAGAAGTCAATGTGCACGTGGGGGAAGGCCCCGACAGATCCTCCGTGCCACAGCTAGACGCGCTTCGCAACTCGGCAAGACTTCCTCCCCGGGTAGAAGTCTCTTTCATATTCAACAAGGCTCTCAGGCGCGCGAAGCCCCCACACTCCTGCATGTACGACACGCCATCCTCCGCATTGCCGCTTTCCAAAGCCCCTCCAGGGGACAAAGTTCCCCCTCTTGCGTCTGCTCCGGCCCTCAGCTGATCGCCCGTTGCTGTTTGTTGCAACAACTGGTGACGAGGCAGCAACAGCTGCTGCTGCTGCTGCTGCGCGCGATGAGCTGCCTGCTGAAGACGGCTAGCTGAAACACAAACACAGATCCACGCACTACATAGAGGTCAAGCTAAGGGCTTTGCCCGAAGAAAAGAATGCCGCAATTCTTGATTGCTCTGCCCCTCGCCGAGCATGCGTCCCATCCGCTCAAATACAGAAAAGCACCGCAAAGTTATTATCCAACTCTCTCTATCCAGCTACAAGCGCAGGCATGCATGTCTGCCCTTCCATCCAGCCTCCACACTCCCTCCCCACACATTCTAACAAGCCCTTCCCTCTGCTGACCATCTGTCCGTTTGCGTCCATACGAGGGAAGCTGCTCGGTATCCTCAGGAAGGTCCATCAAAGCCAGCCTGCTCCTCATCGTCCGATCTGCCACGCGACGTCCAGTGGCTTCCCAACGAGCAACGAAAGCCCCCGTCAGCAACTTCGCCCCATCCCTCCCAAAGCAAGAGCATGAGAGCGTCTTCAGGCGCATTGAACCCTTGTACCGATAACGTACGCGAAACTCCTGTTGGCATAAACCACACACACATATACATGGACATACATATACATATACATGGATGAACATGCATACACATATATACACGGACGTACATACAAACACATATATACATGGCCATACACATACATACACATATATACATGGACATACATACGCACATATACATATACATGGACATATATAAACATATATATATACATGGACATACACGGGAGCACCTAATCACTTAACTCCTTAACTGCAGAGAACAATCTCAAACCGTCTGTAGCACAACGACAAGCACCGGACCTGATTGTGAGGATGGAAATGTGGGTGCCAAAGCGCATCGGTTGCCTGTGCATTGACCCTCCGCTCTTTCTTCCTTCTCTTTTGCCTCCTCTCCTCGCTGTCGCTTTCGCTGCTGCTGCCGAATGCGAGGGCGGTAGACGAGTGCTTTGGCAGTGCAGGACCCTTGTAAACCTCGTCTAAGAAATTCCGAATGGGCAAGTGCTTGTACTGCTGCTGCTGCTGTGAGCTTCCTGCAGCTGCTAGCGCCGCCGAGAAGGCTGCTGCACCCGCATTGCCAGAAGGGTGAGACTCTACGGACTGCAGCTTCTGCTGCGGCTTTGGCTTTGACAGCAGCAGGTGCTGTTGCTGACTCGTTTGCTGAAACGTCTCGCGCGCCGCCGTAAGCTTAGTACTGGCCTTCAGCTGCTGCTGCTGGAGCTGCTGTATCTGCTGCTGCAGGATGTGCTGCTGCTGGTGCTCCTGCTGCTTCAGCAGCTGTTGCTTTGCCACGGCTTCGACAGCAGAATACACAAGATCCAAGTCTTCCGGTGATAAGGCCTTGCCGGAAGCTTGCTGCTGTTGCTGCTGCAAAGCAACAGCAGTTGAAAGCAGATCAATAAGCTGCAGCAGCAACTGGGTATTGCTGCTACTTTGCGGGGAGTGCGCAGCAGCAAGCACCGCTTCAATCAGCAGGCCGAATTTGTTCGAAGGTTGCCGGTGCTGCTGTTGCTGCACTTGTGACGGCTGCTGCTGCTGATGCTGTTGTACCAGAGCATAACGGCGAGCATCAGGCAGGGCAGAGGCTACCTCTGCCAGTAGCAAGAGCTGCTGCTCTTTCTGTACGTCCTGCGGGGAAAAGAAGCCAGCACGCACAGCTCCTTGCAAATTCAAGGTGATCTTACTTTAGTGAGTGCCGCTGCGATTGGATCGTTGAAGCTTGTAAAAAGGTTGCTCGAACGTACCATATTTGATGCTGCTGTTGCACCGTAACTCATATCTTGATTGCCGGCAGGTAGCAGCAGGGGAGCCCTCGCGGGACAGAAATTGTGCGGGCCCCAAAGCGCGAAAGATTAAAACACGTGGATTGTTCGCTGTGGATCCAGGCGGTGAAGATGAGGCCAGTGGTTAGGCGCAGATGTGGGGAGAGAGACTGCAGAAAGAACGCAAGCACGCATCCTCCACAAGGGCACCGGATATATTGACGCTTTCCTACGCTCCTGGGTCGGTGAAACACTGCCTTGCGGAAAGCTGCTGCACGTAAGCTCGCAGAAAGCCACAGGAGCATCAAGCGATCTTGAACAGACCATCATCATGAGCAGCACTTGGCGGTGCACCGTCACGTATCCGTCTCTGGCTTCTAGCAGGGCAGGGTAACCATAGAGTTGCACGAAGCTACGACGTGAGGTGAGGCACATTCGAAAAGGAGTACAGCAAATATACGATAGAGAAGGATGAGAACGTGAGAGGAATGAAGCAAAGGCGCATTTGGGATCGAGGGGGGGAACTGCGCAGCCCCCGCATACCTGTCGATACAACGAAGGAGTGGGGATGGGAAACGGGCTCTAATTCGAGTGTCCTGGAGCCTCAGAACAGATTAAAAAGAGAGAGCACTGCTCTAAAAGCCACAGGTTGCTAAGGGGAAAGGGGAGAGTTTGATGCAATGCAGCGTCTGCGAAGCCTAGGAGGGTGGGCTAGCCCTAAACCCGTAACTCCGAACCCTACACCCTGCTTCTGCTTAGGAAGGGAGACCTTCTCCGTGGAGAAAGTAGCAAGGTCGGTCTGAGACCAACACCCTACACCGCAAAACATAAACCTCAGCAAAGAGAAGCGAATCAGACAGAAGACAGGAGACGGCGGGGCCGCCGTTCTCCTCTGGCGTTCACTTCCGCGTTTCTCTTGCTCGAAACGTCGCCCATGTAGCTCTAAATATCCCAAACCCTGTATTATAAACCCTAACCCGATGCCTATTTAATGAAAAAAGAGACAGTTTGCGACCGCTACAGCCCTTTAACCCCTCTAGAGGAAAGCAGCTTTTCAATGGCTGCCGCAGCACTGGGTCGCAGTGCGCAGAGGTATGCATACTCCCGGAGACTGCGTGGGGAGGGGCGGCGAGAAGTGCTTCTTCTTCCCCTCAATGTTCCTTTTAGCACCTCTTTTTCTTTAAGTTTAGCGTATTTTATGCTCATAGAAAGAGCCCTACAACATCATCCATCGCTGGTCGTTTGCTTCCACTTTTGTAGACAGACGCTCAGAGCCTACAGTGTTTCCTGCAGGCCTGACCTCCCCTTGCCGCTTCTTTCCTGTTTATATGATCTTAAAGTCAATATAACAGCCAAAAGTAGGGGGGGACTTGGCGTTAAAGCACAGCAGCACCTGGGAGGTAGCGCCTGCTGCGAGTTGCTGTTTGTGCGCACTGATGCCTCACAGCCTCAACTTGTGAGGCGCCTCAGCCCCATAACGCTTCTCCACTGAAGCGGCACATAAGTAGTAAACATTAGACTGTGCTGAGTGAAGGGGATGACTGATGGTGGAAGGAAAACGCGGGCCTATTGGCGAGGAACACAAAGGGCGGAAGTGTGAGAACCTATTCGGACACCTACCAAAAGGTGGTGTTGTTGGCGTTACACATCAAGCAAGGAGCCTATTAGGCTAGAATCCCCAACTATGCCCCTTAGGTATACACCAGGTAGCGTTCTTGGCATACTGTAGGGCTCAATGTATAAATCGTTCCGGGCTACGGAACACATGAGCACACTCTACTACACGTTACAGGTAACTACGAATGAGTAAAGAAAAGCTTTGTTGGCTTTCTGTACGTATTATATATTGCGGTGCAGCGTTAGCTCAGTACAAAGGACCCAACGTTCTGCAGGTGTGCGCTAGGTGCCATATGCACCTAGCTGAAAATGTTCAAAGGGTAAAGCTACGCTCACCCTAGCTGCCCCTGTCCCCTTATGTCCGGAACTCTGAGGAGCGCGCGCTGGAAAGGGGGGAGGTCTCAGTAAAACACTGCATAGCTTTTCATTGAGTCTAGAGGGCAGTGTCTACCTCTGGATCGCTTAGCTTGCGCATCACAGTTGGTATATGTTTCTATGCAACTCTTTTCGATTATTCACTGGTTGTAAGTGCAGTGAGATCCTCAGTTTTTCTACAACGGCTGCCTTGCTTCGAACAAGTCCTTTGTTAATTCAACTATTTAATTTCTTGGGAGCAGTCTGAGGGAGAAGACCCTCAGGCGATGGAAGTCGACGGTGGCGCAATGCTTGTAGGGGCTACGTAGGTTGCCTGCAGGCTAATAAATCTATTTGGTCTAATGGAGGTCGACTGGTGGGATCTTTCATTCAATAAAATTGTGTATGGATGCGTCAATGCTGCGAAGCTGATCAGAAGGGGCAAGTATTCGAGGATTCTATTTGCCTGTCGAAGATATTCCTTGCTTTATCCCCCCTAATGTGAAGAGAAAAGAGTGTTTTTCGCTGCGTGGCTATTGAAGAAGAAGCAAGCAAATGGTGGCTGCAATTATGCACAAGCCATCCGCCTGCAGGGATTAGTACAGTTCAAGCCTTGGTGCCTGACCTGTGGGTTCCTGCAGAGATATGCTCGACACCCAATTTTTTGAGAATTGGCAGGGCAAACGCAAAAGAGCCTATGTTTAGGTCTTTACACCGTCAGAAGGAATTGTTCCGCGCAAGTCACACTATAGACGAGCAGCTGCTTTATCAGTGGTGCATTTCAGCTTACAAGCATGGGCACGTCAAGTGGCCACATGATGGGCAGCGACAGAAGCTAAGGTGAAGCGGCTAGGGAGAGGGAAACACACACACCCTAGGAAGGAATGAACGAGGAACCAAGCGAACAGGGGCCGGGCTGTCGATGGCTCTTTGATGCCAACGCGCTAAAAGATATGACGCTCCCAAGGGGAAAGATATGACAGATTAAATGTTGGGAAGAGACTCAAAAATATCTAACCCCTCAGCACGCCTTTGTAGGCTCATAGGTGGATATGCGTATTCCGACACAGCCAGTAAATGCGGCGTTCTCGAATTCTTAGTCCAAAAGAGGCACAAGGAAGAATGTTTGGTATACATACGTGAGAGTGCCTGCGCAGAAATCTAAGGGTACGAAATGCCTTAGCAGTAATAAGCAGCAACCTTTTATGTAGTACCTCTTTTGAAGGTAGCTATTGCAGGCAGAGCATGCGCTGGGCCAGGCAGTTGCCAAGGGATGCGAATATGGTAACCAGCATTGTTAACCAAACAAAGCTGCAAGTTTTCCCGAGGAGAATAAGGTCCCTAACTGCACCTCCGTCAACCAATGAGATTGGCGGTCTGCAACACATTTTTTAGGGACTTCCTTATAGTGTAACCTCGGGCGATCTGAAGTCCTAGAATCCAGCACTTTGACGGCTCCTTGCGAATCTTCCGCCTCCAGATTCCAAACTCCCTCTGAAAAACAATACTGCAAGATTTGTGGCACCTCCAGCTCGAGGAAAAGCGGCACTCTTGGAAAGAACACTGATTCGTGAGCAGACAGTAAATGGTCCTAGCCACGAGGCCGCAAAAGGTTTCCGCTTCCCAGTGCACTCCTCAGCACCTGCTATCCCACGAGGACCAAATCGCAGTCCAGAAGCACAGCCAACCACCGCGTATCATTATTTCGCGCTTTGCTGTCTTCAGACTTGCGCATACATTCACGTGCCCTAGTCAGCGGTTCTCTGGATTCCTCCTCCTCCACCGCTAAAAGTTGCTCCTGGCACCAGACTACAAGTCAAGCTGCCTCGGAGAGGGCATCCTCGATGGAAGCCAGGGACCCGGGGAGAGTAACGAGAAGACGAGTGCCTTGGTATATTATGCAGCCATTCAACACAAGAAGAAATTCAAGCTAAGCAGCTGGATTTATTGTGAGGATAGAGTCACAAGCATTGCATAGAAATGCGGTTGATACCCTCTCTCTCCCCATCTGCCTGAGGGTAGTGCGCAGTGGTCATTTTATGGTCAGTGTTCTGGCGCGTCCTAGGACACGCAAGAACACACTAACGAACTTCGTATCCCCATCTAAAATGACACTTCTGTTGAATTCGTAACGCGTTTTAAAATGAGCTTCGAATGGTGAAGGACTTACAGAGTCGTGACAGCGCTGGTGCACTCGGTATATAGGAACTTTAGGTAACGACAGGGACGCTCTCCTAACCCTTTACCTCCGTCAGTAGAACAATGTAGTCCATGGTCAGAGCGGTCCAAATCCTTCCGGAGGCCCGTAGGCTCTGCAACTGATTTGCTTTAGGATACCTCCGCAGCTGCAGCTTCTGCAGGTTTGGGCGTGACAGTGCATACACATCTGCTGCGAGGAGCCTACCAGACCACCAGAAAAGGATAGAAAGCCTTTTAGTGTAGTGTAGAGCCCATCATGACTCGAAAGAACACGATTGTGCGCTTTGAGCAAGGGATTAGACTCGAGTATACAAGCGACGGGAGTTCCACTTTGATTTGAACATCAGCAGGCCATCCTCAACGTCGCAATCCGGTGATTCTAGACTTTGGCAACGGTATCCGAAACATGGTCTCAATATCATTAGACTCACGCAATTTCGAAAAAGAAAGTGAATCATTCATTTACAGGAGTGACCGGTTGGGGACCCACGAGAGTGAACTGGTGACCACGTTACACTCTTTATATACTTGACTGTATATTTGTGCTGCAGGAGGCGCCGTAGGCAACGAACAGCTCTATGGTTATTAAAGTCTTGAAGAATCTTTGTAAGGTACATGAAGCGTTTATGCCGGTATGGACAGTAAAATGACGCCCAGATAATTGGTGTGGGCACTTTTTCATATTCCACCACACCGCATTGAGATCCTCTTTTTATCGCTGGTACCGCTGCTCGGTCTTGATTCATGAATAAGAGTGCCAAGCATAATTTGGTATTTTGGAAAACCTGTATTTAGTTTAACGAAAATACCATTCACCGCTTAACCACTAGGACTTGTTATGCGAAAGAAATGACGCTCATTGTCGGGCAACGCAAGTACCGGAGGAGTTGTAGGGTAGCCACTACGCCTCCTTGCTGCTGCACCAGGCTCCTCTCTCCAGGACGTGCGATGTGTTTTCTTAAGTAACGCAGTCAAAAAGGCAGATATAACAGAAAACCCAGACTAGTTCACGGTATTGAAATGCATACGCACCGAATTTCTCAGCCACCCGAGGGCTGCAGGAAGGTAGAGGCCACGCTTTGATTGCTTCAGCTTTCGCGGAAGTTGGCTCCGTTCTTGCAGCCAAACATGGAATTCCGCAGGCACATCGGTTCTCACAACAGCAAACACTTGCGTGGATTTGTATCCAACTGATTGTCCCAGCTCTAACGTCGTTAGTGTTGTGGAAGCTCTTGAACGCTTTTGGTTGAAAACTAAGTCGTCATCCATGTAGGCCACTATCCACCCCTCCTTGACAGGCTCCTATCATCTCAATTTATTTGACTTTCCAGTAAAGCTGAGACATTGCAAAGTGGAAATGCATACAGATGTACATGAGTTCGTCAGTGCTAGTGTGGAATGCCATTTTTTTCTGTCTTGAGGGTAAATTGGGTGGGGGTTGCAGGAAGGCTTCTGTGAAGTCAAATGGCGAGCGATCTGCTAGTCCGTGAAGTTTGTCAAAGGCGATACCATAATAAAGAAGCTTAAACTTCTGATTCGCAGCAGTTTTGTTTAGGAGCTCAAAGCTAGCACACACGGGAGACGTTTCCCTTCTGCATCAACACCCAGTGGCAGCCACACGCGCTTTTCATTTTCTGCACTTCGGCTTCCTCAACAAATCTTTCATCTGCCACTTACGCTTCCCTTCAGGCTGTGGGGGCTTTCATACCGCAAGCCCTAGCTTGTGGCCAAATCAGCCATTAGCTCAATACGGTGCCCTGGAGAATCAGCAAGTGGCCAGCCTGCTGGCAGCTGGTCAGTAGTTAGCACATCTGCGAATTCCTCCCTTGCTACTTGCCCGTAGCTTGTGTATGTCACAAAACGGTAAAGCAGACTTACTAGTAAAAGGTCACATCAAAAGCCAGTAATATGAAATCCGTGCTCAAAACCGTCTCCTCGTACTTCGATGCTGAGTGGCCCGCATGAAAATTGTCCCTGACCTTGTTGAGGTACTAACTCTACCTGGTTCGGCATAAATGAAGTATAAATGTTTCTTCCGTGTACGTCGCACACCACTAACCCTTGCAAGGCACATGTGTGACCGGATGCAAGCTTTCCATAAGGTGGGCCACATAAAGGAGCAGGGGCCCACCAGATCAGTCACGAACCATGCTGACCAAAACCCATTCCGATTTGAAGTGGCATTCTAATGACTTATTCTTGCCAATCACTGCATGCTGCCGCCTGAGAACCTGAGCTCTAGGGACTGCGTTAGTGATGAAGAAGCAGATTGAACTTCTGCTCCGCCTTCTTCGATAACAGGTCCACTAAACATCTACTGTAATGTAGCGCTAGCAACTCTTGACCATTAAGGTGAAATACTCTCAACACATGGCTGCCCCATGGAAAATTCCCCATCTACGACGTTATCCACTGTCGCCCTTTTCACTGCACGGCATACTGTGGGAGGACATTTTTTGTTGCGCCTTGTTTGCTCGCCAAGCAGCCTGCTTCCGCTGGGTCCTGTGACATTGTTCAATTCTTTGGCTCTTAGCACGTGCTTACAATTCTGGATTATGTGACTTCCTTTTCCTCGAAAGAGGCGGATGCATTGTTAGGGGGCTGTCTGCGGGTTCTTACGACCTCTGGTTTTCCTGTTTCAACTTGGAATGTGGACTGGGGCCGGTTGTCAAAGCCAAAGTCCACTGATTCCATACTCAGACCGGATTTCCCCTTTCAACCAAAGACGCAGGTGCTGAGCTCACTCCCTCCTTAAACATCTAGTAGCTCCTATGTGGAGGCCACACGAGTCAGTTGTTTAGACGCTGAGTTGCACCCCGCCTTGCGATCCCTTGTCGTGACACTTGGGGTAGATCCGGACAAAGCATTGATGAAGCTTTCCTTCGTCTATGCTGTGCTTTCCGCGGAGCAAAGTAGTATATTTTTCGATACATCGAGCTCTATATAGGTTCTTCTCTCAAGCTCTGTTAGTAATCTCAAAGCTTGTTGAGCTGAGCCCGGCAAACACCGATGGGCCATGGCTTGCAGTCAGATCTGAAGTATAGTAATCTATGCAGGTACATGACTTCCTCTGCATGAATACAGTCACAGCTAAAGCGCATCGTCCTCGATGTAGGCACTCATTTATCGTTATATGGAGGCTTCAAAGCGAGGTACACCTTTAACCCACACATGGAATCTCCATACTTACGCATCTTAACACCCCCAAACATATTTGGTCTGCACACCATTATGGGCTGACAAGAACGCCTTTACACTAGCTGTGAGGCTACTGCATTCTTGTCCACTTGCACATCGAGCGCTGCCGCCCCAGCACGCGGTGTGCCACCACGGCATTCCATCTTCGGAGCGCTTTTCCCCAGATTGCAATTCGAAGAATATCGGTTTGTTGAATTTCCAAATAACTTTATTTAGATCAGACAATTGTTCAAGGATTCCTGGCATACTCTTGCAGCTAAAGGCAGTGGACGAGCATATAACAGCTGCATCGAGCTATGCAATGCTACCGGCTGCAACGCTTCATCTAAGGTCTGACTCAGGAGACACTTGTCGGTAGCTTTGAGAACAGCTCAGTAGAACATACTGAGTGTTCTCCAAAGGAACTCTCCATTTACGCTGCCTGGGCCCATCATGTTGTTCGACATGAGAGGAGAAGAACAGCTAGGGTGCGCTTCGCTGCACCCTTTAAGCACTCCGAGTACTCCCAGCTAGTTGCACATAGCATCTACAGCACCTGCACACAAAGCTGCACCACATTCTATGAATGTAGAAGTACTGTGCAGTAAATAAGATACACGAACAGGCAAACCAATAACTTTAGTCTTAATTAATTCTTAACCAAAGATAACTAGCGTACTCGAAAACATAGATAGAAGTGTAATTTTCCCGCTGCAGTTGCAGGGTGCAGCCCACCCTAGCTGCCGCCCTCCCCTGATGCGAGAGCCCCGAGAGATGCCAGTAGGTGGGAAGAATAGCTATGAATGGCATCCAGCAGCTCTATACTAAGGCTTGTATTCAGCTCTGAGCAAAATGTCGCCCCCATGAGCGTCATGTTCAACTTCAACGAAATCACGACAGCTGGGATATTTTTGCCTTCGACCATCCAAATTACCCAATATATCACTACAGATGTGTGTCCCCTGCAACAGACACGGCATGCCGATCTTATTTGAAAACAGCAAGAGGTGAAAGTTTAGTTTGTGTGTGCACGCTCATACAGACTCCTTTCCAGAAGTAACAGTGCTCGGGAAGCCGGTCTGCTACTCACACATATAAAAGTCACATGTAAATGGTGTGTGAATCTTAGCAAGTGATTGGATAATTCAATGTATTCCACGCAGGATGCAGAAAAGGAGCATTTGCGGGCCCTGCATGCTTTCAGGGGGGGCCATACCCGCAGCCGACACCCCAGCCACACCCAACAACCAGTAGGAGCAACCGCTGAGGGAATTGGTTTGCGCGTATTTTTTCCTTAAATACTGTACAACTACGTGATTCGACTCTTTGAAAGTATAAACAACCGCTAGTGGTGAATAAGAACTTTGGAGAGAGAGGGCGGCAAGGAACCAGAAGGTAGACACATGACTCTGCTCCACGGAAGCTTCACTATCAATGAAGCATCGTCATGAGGATCCTCCCTCACAAGAGAATGAAAGAGGGCAGGAAACTCAGTGTAAACATCAACAGCGACAGGAACAGGGGCACCAGCAGAACCTGGAGAAGCGGATTGAGACGAGTGGCATTATTCCTGTAGTGCAGTCTCACTCTGCAGATACACCTGCTTCAAAGTCTGACACATGGAAGCTTGCTGTCTCTAGCCTTCCCCCCGAGACTTTACTAGTGTGGACTGCAGCCCCTCGAATACGATCACAAGCGACGGCAGCTGCAGTCCAGCGGCGCAAGGATCTCAGTAAGCCACCAGACGAACTCTCAGAGCAGGAGATTGCCCATGAGGAAGAAGCTTTTAGAAACATCGGAGGAGCTTCTTATTGCCTCCTCCGGATTCGAGGCGGCACCGCACTGGACTGTTGCTCCAATGCACTGAGGCTGCCTTATCGGCACGGGCTTGTAAGTGACGGGGCATCAATGAGGCAGCTGCTCTTGGCGGAGGAGGAAAGAACTGCTTTCTTCTGCCCCCGGCGACTGCCTCTTGTGCTGCAACGTCTGTCTCGCAGTGCCATGCCACTCAATACAAGTTGGCAGAAGCACCAGCAGCAGCAGGGCCATGTTTCAATCGTCTCTCCTTCCGGTGCAATACCCAATCCCAGTACATGCCCAGCAAGCACCGCAGCCACAGACACAGCACACATAGCTGCAGCGTTGAGACAGGCGGAAGATGCGTCTAACAGTAGCCTTTGCTTTGTCTTGCCCTTGCTATGGGCTGTCGCTTCGTGGCATTCCTGGCTTGCCGACCCATTGCCAGCCACCGCTGCTGCTGCTGCTGCTGCGTTAGGGCTTGACTGCACCACAGGCTCACGAGCCGCGGCTTTAGCTGCAGCTGAAGGCCTCTGCGCGTCACCAGCGGCATCTGCCTCAAGGACCCCCTCTGCTGTGCAGCACAATGTACACCCGGCAGAAAGCTCAGCAAGTCTTGCTGCACCTGCTACTGCTACCGCGTGTCTGCCACGAGGCGTGTGCCCCCGCTTAGCTGCTCTCAGAGCTCTCGCTTACTGGTGCTGCTGCTGCACTCTCGCACAGCAGAAGGCTACAAACGAGCTACAGCGCAGGCGGCAGCGGCAGCAGTCCTTGTTTCAGCCCGTCCATGCGGGAGCAAGCGGGGCAGGCACGGTGTTTCTGGGAGCCAGCAGCAGCAGCAGCACAGCCCTTCTGCGGCAGCTGCAGCAGGAGTGCAGGGATTCTTTTGCACAGCTCCTGCAGCAGCAGCAAGAGGCACAGAAGCAGCTTGCAGAGCGGCAGGGCATTGAAATGGAGTCGGCATGCGCCTTAAAGGAGAAGCAAGAACAGCTTTTGCATGCAGCGGCCGCTGTAAGCTGCAGCTTCGACCGTGGCATGTCCTTTCAAGCAACAGAGCTCTCAAGAGGCACGGCGACAACTGCTGCAACGACAGCAACTGCTGCTGCCACTGTTGCGCTTGAGGCGTGCGAGAAGGATCTCGAAGCTCTCGTTTTGCAGCATGTGAGCGAATGCGATCTGCTGGAGAAGCACTGGAAACACGAGCAGAAGCAGCTAGTGCAGCAGCAGTTGCGGATGTTCAAGGATGTGGCGACAGACCTGTATTTACTGCAGCATGGCGCTGACGCGGCTGCTTCAGGGGCTGCTTGCCAGAAGCTGGTGTTGCCACCACTGCCTTCGGCTGGTGAGACTGATAAGTGGGCTTTCAGCTGGTCGCAGCAGCAGCAGGAACGGGAGGAGGAGCAAGACAACAAGATGCCTGTGCTTAGCAGCTCGGAGCCGACGGGAGATCCTGCGCAGCATTTTCCCAGAGACGGCAGAGACAGCCCTCGGGTAAAGGGGACTGTCTTCGCCGCTTACGCTCCTGATGCAGTTGCTGCCGAAGGTGAAACTGCCTCACCACGACCACCAGCGGCTGCCGCGAGAACGCAAGCCGTCGAACTTGTCGACCCCCTCCGTGGGGTGTCAAATTCAGCCGAGCAGAACGGTCAGGATCACCTTGAGCACCAGCAGCAGCAGCCGCAGCAGCAGCATGGCCTACAGAATCGGAAGGCGCATCCCTCCGGGCAGAGTGGCTCAAACAAGCTCCAGCCAACAAGTCAGCAGCAGCAGCAACAACGGCAGCAGATAGGGGAGCTTGCGGGAACTCCTGAACTCACTCAGAATGCAGGGCAGCAGCAGCAACTAAGACACCACCCAAGGCAAGTGGGTTCTACGCAAGCAGCAGCGCGACAAGGCCCTCCCTTCGACATGCCCCGTCTGCTTCAAGGCATGTCTGCTCCAGGCTTGTCGCACCAGCATGCAGCCTTTGCACAGAAGCAGCAGCAGCTCCAGCAGTTTGGTGCGGTGAAGGAACACGCACAGGTGAGGCTCATCTTCGGGGCACAGCAGAGACGGGCCGTGTGGCTGCACATCTGCACAGGCCTCGTTGCCGACTTCTTCCCTCCTACGGCTAGTGGTTCAGAGCATCTGCAGGTGGAAGAGGGAAGGGGTGTTTTGTCAGCAGGCGAATGGCTTTCTCTCACAGGCCGAGGGGAAAGTGGCGGCTGCTGTGAGGGGCCCTCTGAGGACTGGCCTGGGGGTTCCTCTTCCTACTGTTATGTAGACGTGCGCAGCATGCGGGGAAGCTCCAATCCTTTCTCTTTTGGTGGATGTGGATGCCTTGGCCGGAGCGAGCCGGTGCAGGGGAAAGGACGAGGGGTCGACGTTCCCTGCGACGATCTGTTCGCTGCCTTGCAGAGCGGCTCACAGAGCACTCTTTCCGGCGCCGTCCTGCCTACTGGAGTGTATCTTCAAGAGAGCTGCGCATGCATTCGGTCGGGGAACGAGGCCCCTGACCTGCTGCTGCCTTCCTTGGAGGAGCAGAGGCGATTGTTGCAAGTGGCTGTACACTCAGTGAGACACCAGAACACCGACACCGCCACAAGTAGCCTAAGCAACAACCAGCGGGTCGTGCTGAAGCCTGGAGAGGTATTTGTTTCGCGCCACTCTGCGGGCTCCCGTCCACAGGTTTGCTTTCACTTGGCAGTTGCCTTCCCGGGGCAGAGACACGACGGTTCTCAACCTTGTAACGCGGATACAGCTGCAGGCGATGCGAACACAACAGTGCTCGGCACACACAGTGGCAGCAACAATCGCGGCAAAGGGGCTGAACTGGAGTGTCTCAGTGCGCCTGTATGCGAGGGGCTTCGGCAAGTCCTGTGGCTATGCGAGCAGCATGCGGTTGGGGCAGTGCTGGTGCCTTTACTGCTGCTGGAGACAGAAGGCCTCGCCAGCTGCCTTCCATTTGCTTTACTGCAGCGGAGGATGCTCGCAGTGCTGCGGTGCCTTCTCACAGAGCTGAAGGCCGTTGCGCTATCCCCCGGAAGCAGCAGCTGCTGCTCCTCTGAAGCTACAGCCAATCGTTTGAAACACCTTGTGCTGCTTCTGCCACCCATACAGCCGCACCAGCAGCAGCAAGAAGGAACCGTCCAGATGGACCTGTTGGTCCAGGCTGCAGTGAACTTCTTACGAAACTCAGCTTGCTGCTGCTAAGGTCCCATGATAGTTCGCTTCGTGCGCTAATTAAGGCTTGGAAATCCGAGAATAGACACTCCTCTCTTATCTTCAAGTACACTTTTTCACGAAGCAGATTTTAAGGTGTATGAACAAGCTAGGCCGGCCCAATGAACTAGCCGTGCAAAAGCAAGGCATACTGTATCCAACGTAGCTAAAAAATCTCCGGGTGACCACTGTCTACCAATGCTTTAAAGTTGCAAGTTTTCAGGAGGAAAGTACTGACAGGAAGGTGATTGCCAAACACAGCTTTCTGCCGGCAATCCTGTACTGCTTTTTTCATGTTGCCAGACTCATTTTGACTGCCTTTCTGTTCCCAGACGTTTCGAGAACGTGACAGGAGTGTTGTGCACACTTTACTAGTTGACCATCTTACTTGAGAAGGGCTGTGTTGCAGGATCAGGTGGCGATCAGGTAGTAATACCGAAGCTTAGTTACAGTGAAGACACTACCCCATATATGCTTGCGAGACTAATTGATAAAACGCGATGGTACTTTCGGGCATATTTCTGGAACCACCACTGCCCGCTTTTTCAGTGAACTGCAAGCAGGTTTTAGAACAGCATGTCACGGACATTTCCCTTCGACTTTGCTCCATTAGGCTTTGCCGAAAAAGTAAGGGATGATTGAATCTAGAGTGACGCGACTTAAATGCGGACTACATACGCTCTACCAATTTTTGTCCGGCCACCACACAAAATGTTCCTTTGTATGAGAAGAAGCGACCCACCGATATTCACTGGTGTTCTAATTTAGTATACACTCTATAAACAGGGCAACCGAAATCATGGGGATCTGCGGATGCAAACTAAGGAAAACATAGCAATGAATTCTGTGCCTTGGCCTGCAGGGAAAACAGTGAAACAAAGTAGGGTGTGCACTCTTTCCAGGACTTTTCAATTCCATCTACGTGATGTACACTCTTTCAAGGCTTCGGTACTTTTAAGGCATCTAAGTCTGATAGTGAAGCATAATGGCACCTCTCGGGGGAATAACTAGTGGGTTTTGTGATCTAGTGCATAACAGTTGAATGACCTTACGCTTCCAGCAGATGGCAACACGCTACAGCTAGAGTTCGAATGAAAAGAGAAAAGCATAAAGGCTTTCGCTCAAGTTTAAAGTCAACCAGAAAAAGCTAAAATCCAAGTATAAAAGGAAGGTATTCACCCCACGATAGGGGATGTTTCCACAAATCGAGAAGCGATTAACCAAGATGGTAGAGGCTGCGCCTTTTGCCAGCAACTGAATTCCAAGTGCTATTTCTTACCAATTTCGCTCCTGCTTTTCCATCGGACTTCCCTTTTTGTTGATGTATTGCCAGACATGTCCTACAATCCGCCGGGGCACCTACGATTTACCTTAGTTGCAACTAGATTAGCTGGAACCTCAGCGAAGACATCTATTGCCAGTCCAGCCGCCGCTGGGCCTTTTCCCTAATCGCTGTAGGCACGCTAGTCACTTGACAGCCCTCGTTGGTAAGCTTCAGGCAGCGCGGTATCAGTGAACTCATGAGTACCAAACGTGCATTGACACTTGAAAGACGAAGTATTACCATACCATTTCCTTTGTATGATTTGAGTAGTCTGAAAAGTTCAGCAGCACTCGATCGGTCTAACGGCTTATCTAAGATTGCTGAAGAGGTGCACTTCACTCGAAACTCAATATGTAGCGGGCTACGTTACACTTGAAACCTTCTATTGCACGAATTATCTTTGGCTCAGGACTAATTGAATATAGACTGATTAATCTGTCTATTTGTATATCCTATTCATTGCAGTACTGTTAACCCAATAAAATAAATTGCAATGTTATGCGCGTTTGGGATAGATGCTACTGGAAACTAGCTGTGAATGCTGGGGATGCTTCGAGGGTGCAAGCACAAGCACCCTAGCGGTTCCTCTCCCCTTATTTTGGAAACTCTGAGGAGTCTGGGGAGGGGAAGGTGGAACTACTTTTAGAAAGCACTCAACAACTTTCTAGTGAGTCTGTATTAGGTTAATAGCCAAGTTCTTATACATGACATACATCGAGCATTACACTTAGTAGCACAGAGTGGTTTGATGCAGCTGTGTCCACGCTCATCTACTGGCCGTGGACACACTAGGATTTCTGCTTTTCCAACGACAGTTGCCGATTTCCCATCTGGCTGTTTGGAACTGAAATTGTCTGAATTTCGTTGGCAGCTTGTGGAGGGCTCCATCTGAGGGCTTTGTAGGAAGACACTTAGCTCTGAACAACTTAGAAATTAAATAGAAGTACCTAAGTTTACTCCAAAAGAACTCCCTCATTCCCCTTCCTGTGTTCCTTAGAGTTCGGGAGACACGGGGAAAGAGACACCTAGGGTGCGCGTGACTGTTTGCGCCCGCACACAACTTTGCGTCAGCTTGTATAGAGCTAACAGTACTGTGCAATAATAATTTGCACTGCAGGCAACCAAATAGTCAGTTGCTTATCAAATCGTGGCTGAATATAATTAGTTAGTGGAAAGCGTTTAAGTCTAGCACAGCCCGCTACAGTCGGCACCACAGGAGATGGCATGTGCGGTAAGGTCATGAAAGAAAAAAAATTCGCACGAAGCAAACACCAGCTTAAAAAGGTATGCTTTCTTTTAGCTTTTAAAGGTAAATCCCAACGAATGGGTGTTACTGATCACCTTTGCTACAGGACACACGATTGCATGCCCACCGCCGATACAGTGACAGGGCGATAACTTCGGATGCGATCCTCGGCAAATATTGCCCCACCTTAAACCTTATTTTCATGCACTCTTCGCCTAATGTGCGGATATTAATCTGGAGTGCTTTGACTCATTTGGCTGTTGGGATGAATAGCCAGCAAACATCCCACGAGGGGTTGATGGGTGGTTCATCGGGAGCTCAGCCAGCTGCATTCTAGTGAGCTCCCATCACAAATAGTACTAGCTTCGAGAACTGTAAACTAGTGTATTTCGAAAGAGCTTCGTGATAAAGGGCTTATGCTTTTAGCTCTCCTCACAGATACGCCGAACCCTGGAGGTTGCCATAGACTGCTCTGCTCTTCTGTTCTCTCCTACCTTTAGACAGTAGCTTTAAACCATCTGAGCAAAACAGTACCATCATCCCCTAACTTACGGGATCTGGGAGAAGGCGTATAGCTCAAGCTTTGCTGGGTGACCCTGGACGGACGTCGTATTCCCTGGAATTCTGATTAGGCAACCCAACGGTGAGGCCCTATGGGTAGCCAATTTCTTCTGAGTACTCAGCTCCACAGATCTCGCGAAATCCGAGTCTCCACGCGGCCAGTTCCCCCGAAATCGTGGAGCCATGAACCCTAAGGTAAGCTGCTTGTTGAGACCCCTAAGCTCCTGCAGGATATCGTTGCTGCTGCTGTTGCCATCTCCCAGACCGCTAACTGTATGTCTTCCATCTAGATCGCCATGGAATTGTAAGAAAATGCATGGGCTTTCAAGAGTTGCATTATTGAACGATAGCCCAAAGACTTCGATCGGGCATGCCCTCATGCTTCAGGCAGAAGAAACCACGAAGACGGCTCATTACTGGGACTTGGTCCATGGAAGGGGTCGCGTGGCGTACTTCCTCTCCACTCGCTCTTTGCTGAAAATAATCAAGCCCATCTTGAAACAGGAAGGCCTAGAAGCCGCAGCACAGGTGCTCATGGAAGATGCTCATGCTGCTGCCCTTGCATCTGTGGCATGCGGTAGTGCACTGCAGCAAGATCACGCGCCACAATATCGGCATCAGCGGGAACGAGTTGTGAAGCGCTCGCTCCCGCGGTCTCATACTCTGCTAGAGTTCATGTGCGGCTCGAGGCCAACCCATGTAAGCAGCTTTTTTCCCCTGCTCCTCCTCGTGGGAGACGGCACGTGCATGCTTGGGGGTCACTTTTTGATGCATCTTTCACTGTTCTTCTTGCTAGATCTGGTTCTGCGGTGCCCCTTTTCAGGTACGACTACTACATGACGGCGTGGTGTCCGCGTACGTGGGAATTGACGCTTCTCAGCGCGCTTTGCATTTGACACGGGAGGCTTGCAAGCAGCAGACTTCCGCAACTGCGGCAGGCACTGCTGCTCCAGCTGTCTCCGCGAGCCGGATAGATGCAGAAGAAGGAGGGGCAGCAGCAGCAGAAGAGACGCCCTCGGAGCTGCAGACATCGGTGGCACCCTGCATTCATGAGGCGTTGGGGTGTTGCATGCTACTGCGTCACGACTGTCGCTTGCTGAGCGACGCGCTGCCACTGCTTCAGTCACGGTTCATTCTGCTCGTTGCAGGGCTAGATGACATCATTGCCCGCAGCACCACAGACAACACTGATGCCCAGGGGCCTTGTGATGAGGCCCTTCTACAGGTACTGCACTCCGCGGCTTACGCGCTCCCCATCGGCGGCATACTGCTGCTAATCGAGCCCACGTGAGTATGCATGTGTGGCTGTTCGGGCCCCCACACGAGTGCTCTAGAAGGTTTGCTGGCTTGCGTGGCTACGCGCAGGTATATATGTGCGCTGCGCGTCTGGCAGTCTTTAGTCCACCTTGTCGGCGTCTAGCTGTATCTATGCCTCTCTCAAAGCATCTCTGCCGCCTCGTCGTGTATAGTAGCGTCGACAGGTGCTTCACTGCAGTTCAATCGTCACTCAGTGTAGAGATTTTTGCGCACCGGACTCCTGTGTTGCTCAGAAAGCACGCCCCTGAGTTGTTGTTGAGCCTTTACAAGGCCTTGCAGCATCCCGTCCTGGCGTGTCGGTTCTTACTTTGTGAAGGGGCAGAGCTGGTGGGGCCGTCCAACGATGTCCTCCTTCTGCGGCTACGGAGACACACAGACGCTGCTGAATGCATGCAAGCCCTGGAGCACTTTCATACCAATAATATTGTCAAGTAGGCTCTTACAGGCGGTAGAGGAGTCGAGTTCCTGTCTTCTGGGAGTCTTACGGCAGCTGCAGTGCGCACAGTCTCTTTAGCGGCTTGTATCGGCGTAAATATAGACCTTTCCCCATCCGGTTGCCCTTGTCATGCATGCTCGTGCTCTGGTATGATTTTAGAATTGTTCGCTGCTTGTTGGGATGCCTTCCGGGCAGCGTTGCTACTGGACACCATTCGTTTAAGCTTCTTCTGTCTTGCCTGTTTCTGCGTCGTCGCCTCGATTGTTGGTCCTCGTTTCCCAGTGTTTGTTCTCCCCCAGTCAGCTCGTCTGTGCGCTGGCCTTTGTCTCTTCCTCTACTCGCCTCCCAACTCCACCGGTGCTAGCCAGCTGTTTTGTGTTGCGTTGTCTTTCTTTATTATTACTATTAGTTAGCAAAGTGTCGTCTGCTAACTTATCTGGATGTACTCCCCAACGCATTGCTGTGGGAAATCTCTCAGGCAAGTGCGTGTCGGTGTGCACTCCCCCAAGTGCATTTGTCTGCATGTGAGTGCCTCCCTTCAGAATGGCAGCAAAAAAGCCCTTCCGATCCTGCCTCTCGGATGCTCTCGAGGCTCCTCAGTCCGTGCAACAGGCGATGCCTCTTCTGCACCGCCTCTCCCTAATCCAGCAAGCGGATGAACTGGCCTTTCTCCTACTCCAGGTGCTATCCGGCAGCGCCATGGCTCTACTCCTTCATTCTTTGAATGAGAGAGCCTGGTGGCTTGTGCATATTTCTTATTTCTGCCCAACCACCTGTTTAGCCTCTGCTGTATACGTGCCCCCCCCTTGAGCTCATCTCACCCTTACTGCCTTCAGTTTTTCTCCTTAAGCCTCCTGCCTGGCCGCACTTCCAACTCATGCCCACACGTGCCCGCGACACCTTTGTCCGCAGGCGTCGAAGGAGGGGGACTTGCTTGCAGCAACGAAACTGCTAGCCTTGGGGGCAGATGTGAACCACGGTAGCACCGGCAGCGAGTCACCTCTGCACGCAGCAATTGCCGCGGGAGCACCGCAATTGGTGGACTTGCTGTTTCGCCACGGGGCAGAGGCCATGGAAGGCCCTTCCGGGTGTCCCCTCTTGCATGCTGCGGAGCTCCTGCTGCAGGAGGCCGTCTCCGCGGGGTTCAAACTTCCACAAGAATTGGAGTGTAAAGCCGGCACAAGCTGGTCAGCAGCAGTCCCAGGGAACCAGCAGCTGCCTAGTGCCATCAGAGTGCTTTCCTGGGTAGAGGGCGAGATGGCAAGGCTGATGACAGGGGGAAAGCCTTGCGGCGTCAGCAGCCAAGGAGACGACTTCCTACAAAAAGCTGCAGGAATACACCCGATCCGTGGTTTGATTTGGCCATTTGGGGACCCTCTCGAGGAGCAAATAGGGCCGCCCGTGTGACTGCCACTGCTACTATTGACACTGCCCGTTTATCCTGCACGTGTGGCATTATTCTTGCTGCTGCAGACAGTGGAAAGGCAGTGCCTGTAGATCCACAAAGGCCCTAGCGTGACGTGGCCGCAAGTCTAGATACGATACGGAAGGCATGCCAGCTGACTGCTGCGGCGATCGCAGCCACCTGCTGCCGCTACTGCTATACGGCGAATTAGGATTTCCCTTTTCTGACCCCGCCTGCCTCTCTGCTAAGTAGTCTCGGTATGTGCGATCTCTCGATGGAACAAACGGCGAACAGAGGGCGTTCCGTAAACACTGAATTCGCTTTGCTACCCCTACAGTTCCTCCTAAGCGGTGTGCAAACTTCTGCCGGGGGGACGCAGCCACAACTAGCCTAGTAATGAATATAAAGACCGTCTGTCGTAATTGTTGAGGTCGTAGTGCTACCAACCAGGGTTCAGCCACCGGTTCGACCCGCTGCCCCCAGCAGTAACTCCCTCGGAACGTCTCCCTGGCAATGTTTTCCAGCTCCGACGCAGTACCGCCTGCTGCTTAAGCAGCAATCGCCGCAAAACACTCAGATTAGCATATATACATGTATATCCCATGCAGCATTTCTGCTGCACTGGCTTGCCCACGTTTGTTGCTGCCATCATGGTGCAGTGAAAGGACGCGTGCATGCGATTATACATAGGTGGTTGCCACAGCATTATGTGTATATTAGCCACTTCTCCAGCTACTAATGTAGTTGCTGCTTCAGCCGCTACTGCGGCAAGCACGGCAGCAACAAATATTGAGCTGCCGCGCTGCTCATTTATGGTCCAGACAGGACGAGTCGGGATGCCGTGTCTGGCCCCCGTCACAACCCGTTGATGGCAGCATTGAGGCTGTTCATTCTGGAGGACTGATCTCTGCTCTTGTAGCTGCTCCTGTACGCTACCTCAGTAAGAAAGTTGCGCAAGCACGCTTCACGCCCATGAGGGATGGAAACCACCTGGTAGAGCCTCTTACCAGATTGACGAGTTAAACGCATTCGCTGTGAAAGGAGGAGCCCCACCAGCTCCTGCCCAGCCGCTGTAAGACACACACACGAGACAAGGCACATGCACGAAGACGAGTCCACAGCGGTGACAGGAGTAAAAGAGAACTACAAGCGCAAGGCGTCCCTTCTAAAAAATACACAGATACGGTACTCCAGGAAATCAAACTGGTCAGCTGCAGCAGCCGCAGCAGCTGACGCCGCTGTGGAGTGCATGTGAACACGTGCAAACAAAAGAGACCCTGCACGATGAGGTGCGTCCATGTGTGCCGCCATAGGAATGCGTAGGATGGGGAACAATCAGGCGGAGCGCGCGTGGATACGAGCAAGAATAGGAACGAAGTTGAAACCGCCAGCCAGAAGAGCGAAAATACCGAATAATGAAAAAAAGAAAGAGTGGCCATAAAAGCCAGACACAGGGCCGAACCGAAAGGGAGAGAAGACCAAGGCAGCACATGAGGGGAAGAAAGAAGGAGAAAGCCCGCTGCACGCTTCTGAATGGTAGGCAGAAGGTTTGAGATTTACCCGCTTTGAGTCGTTGACGCAAAAGGATTTGTTGCAGCAAAGGAGGGCCCCAGAGGGGCTCCCGTAGAATGGGCTTGCTGCGTTCCCGGTGTTCTGTACACCTGTTGCATGCCTCCAAAGTTTTGCTGCTGCTGCAGCTGCGGCTGTTGCAACTGTGGTTGTTGTTGTGGCTGCTGCAACTGTGGCTGTTGTTGTGGCTGCTGTAGCTGCTGGTGCTGAGGCTGCTGCTGGAAGGGACTGCTCCCGTAAAGAGGCCCTTGCATCGAGGCGAAAGGATTGGATGGTCTTGCCACTGCGGCTTGCTGGGGACCCCGCATGCTGGCGAAGGGGTTCCGTTGCTGTTGCGGTGGTCGAATGGGCTGCAGCATGGAGTTTGGCTGGGTCTGCTGTTGAAGCATCATCTGTGGAGGGCGGCCTAGCACTGCGCCGCTTCCCATTCCAAGTGCCTGCTGCGGAGGCTGCATGCCGAACAACTGGTTGGAGGCTTGCATCTGGTGCTGCTGAAGCATGCTTTGCTGAGGCATGACCTGCTGCAACTGGAGACCAGTCCCCGCATTCCTCCACTGCTGCTGAGACAGTTCCCCGCCGTAGGAGCCCATAGGCGCACCACCCCCTTGCTGCGGTGGCATCTGGATGTGCTGCATGCCGGGGGGAATAAGGCCTTGTGGCGTTGACGTCGGCATCCACATGTTCGTCGGCTGCGACTGCCCCGAAGCAGCAGCTGCAGTAAGCCCCATGCCTGCAAGTCCCCCCATGCCTGGGAGAGCTGCTGCATCAGTTGCACCAGTCCATGGATTGGGAGCCACTTGCGGCCAGGTAGCCGATGAAAAGTCTTCCTGCGCGCCTCCTGCTCTGCGTCTGCTGCTGCTTTTCTCTGCCCGAGATCCGCGAGACTTTGAGGCCGCCCAAGACACAGAGGGAGGCGAATCCTACGGAGAAAACAATGAGAGGACACAAATGCTCCAAACGCGCTGCTGTGTACATGGATATACACTCTTGCATGCAAATACGGAAGCAGGGAAGATCATACACATGTAAACATGTGTATATATATATATGTGTGTGTGTGTGTGTGTATATGTGTATATGTGCATATACATATACATATGTATATACATATATACACACATATACACACATGTATATATATACAGATACACACAACCATCAGTAGCAACAATGCCAAAGTAGCAAGAAAAAAAAGCCACCGACAAGTCAACAGCAATTTGAGGCCTACATCACTAGAGACAGGGGATTCACTGGAGGGAGAAGGGCTGTCTCTCCTCCTCGAGTGACCCCGCCCGTGGCGTCTCCTCCTGTCGAACGCCTTAGCCGAGGAAGAGGAACGCCGGTACAGATGGCTTGACGTCCCCCCGCCACTATCTCGCGTGCTACTGCTGCTGTTGCCACTGCGCGCAGCAACACATGCAAACGCATGCATGCATTCAGCGAGAAATCACACATTCGCCTGCGAATCAGAAAAATGTTCGAACATGGATAAGTGACAGCACAAATGGGAATTCGGCATGGAAGAGGGCATTCCAAGTAGCAGATTTTTCCCCCCTCTCTCTCAGTGTTTCTCTGCCTCTCTTTCGCTATCCTTCTGTTTGTGCCACCTCCCTCCCTCCCTCCTCCCCCCTCCTCCCCGCAAACACCAGTTTCGCATGTTCTACCAGCCACAGCCTGTCTAGGACTAGATTTTTTCTGCCCCTTCCTCCTCTTCTGGCCCGAGTGTTGCCGCCTCACCCCCCCCGCTGACTTTCCTTCCCTCTAGCCGCAGTCAAGCCGTTGTTTCCGAGAGTTGTGAGTTGGCGAATTGAGAGGAACCGTAACACAGCCAGGAAACAAAGATCGCGCCGCACCTATCTCACCACACTTTCTCACGTACCCGAACTTGTTAAGGAGTTTTTGCACCTCGAAGGTAGAGAACCTGTCTGAGCCAATACGCTTTGCCCCTGCCTTCCCCGAGCTGCAGCCACCGCATAGGAACTCGTAGCGTTGCATGTCCACTGCACACACGCCCTAAGAGACAGCCAGCCAGCACACGCACAACACACAGAGAGCACCATCAGCAAAAAGGCTCGCACGCGAACACCTGCAGCCAACATGACGAAACAAGTGCGTCAGTGTCGACGCCTTGCAGCCCTTCCAGCCAACACTGGACGAGCACGCAGACACAAAACAAGTGTAGCAGCAGCTGCATTGAGCCCACAACACGCCTACAGCAGCACGCCGCCCCCCCGCGGCATGACAGCATATGTCGGCTCGTTATACCCCTCGACTGCAGGAGGCGCAACGATCATGATTGTTAGCCAGGAAGTACAACTTTTCCAGATTGACGGCATCTTCATACTCTGTCTTGCTAAGGCCCATCTCAGCCGCAGAAGCCGAGCTGAACCCCATTCTCGCTGCCTATTTCTCCTGAAATACAGTTGATTGAGTGTCTTTCTTGTTCCCCTGATACTTGAGAGCGGCTAATGAGACTCGACTGGACTAGGCACTGCTCTTGCGGGTGTTCTGCTATTGCTGGAAAAGAACGAAGACGGCCATCTGCCCCTCATTCGGTCGCTTCATATAGATATATGTACATATCAGCAGGTGAGAGCTTCACACGGGATTGTCGCTGCTCATGCAGCCCTTGTTATCGCTGCTAATTTGGCTGCCCCTGCTCCCGAGTGGTCTGCAGCGCTAGCATGCATATGGGGTGGCACCCTGCGTGTCTGCGAGGCGGTCAAAGCAGCGCAGATGCTCCGACACAGCGTGATGCGCTGCGAAACGGTGAGCGAAACGGTGCCAAATTAGTAAATTGGAGGTTTCGCCCGGTAAGGGGGGGAGCCCTTGAACGGCAGGAAGGGCGGACCAACACAGCGACACGGAAGAGATGCTACGCTGCTTCTTGGGGATGTATCTCTCAGAACACAGAAAAACAGGGGGCGGGACCTTGTAGTCGAGGAATTAGTACAAAAAGTGAGGGGCACTGCGCGAAACAGAGAGCCGGAGGCTAGCGCAAGGGGAACTGCCGCAGGACAGGCAGGCGGCCATCTACGTGAAAAGGCAAAGATTGGGGCCCCTTTGTGTGTTTAAACGAATGAAACAAGGCAAGATGGAAGATGAAAGGGCTTCTGCTGCAGCTGCCTATCTTGCCGCTGCTGCTGCAATTGCTGCTGTGCCGTTGACGCTCCTTGGTTGGTTGCTTATGGCTGCCAGGGAGCCTGTCCTCGCATCTCCTCTGTCTGGCCTTTCTCCGGGATAAATATCTTGCATTAGGAGTACCGCGTGAAACGTAATGTCTAGTCGAGGAGGCAGATGGGAGGGCAGTGAAACAGCACACAAGCATCAGCTGCTGAAGTTTCGCGACTTTGCGCAACGCCAGCTGCAGCACTAACAACAGCAGTGGCTGGTGCTCCTGCTACTGCCGCTTTACTGGTAAAGCCCTAGATGCTCGAGCTAGATATGAGTTGACTACAATAACACTGGCTTCGGGGAGAACGAAGACTAGCAGGATCTCCGACTTACAGCTGCACGGGAGTCGTTGGCGGTAATGACTGATTGTGTTACAGCCAACGAGCAGATCTTTTGTCTAGCATTTCGCTCGCTGAATCAGGGTGTTTCGCGCTACAGGCGACAAATAACGAGAGGCGCGTAGGAAAGCTAGGGACTGTGTCAGAACAAAGGGAAATGAATCATGCACTTGGGGTAACAAATTCTGGAGAGACACAACTGAATTGCGTCATATATATCTCCTAAACTCTAAGCGATTTTTCCGAAGTGAAGAGCGGATAACGTGAGCTCTGCTTAAGTTCTGTAGGGACATGAGGGATCGGCTCAATGGGGTCTGTGAGATTTCGGCAATTGGCTCTATAGGGTGATGGGGAGAGGGAGTTTCCCACCTGTTTCAGCTGCATTCGCTTCCGCTTGTATTTCGGAGCGGTCTGTCAAGCGAAACATCACAGCAGAAAATAAGCGGCCATCCGGGGGCGTCTAGCTCAAATGGTAGAGCGCTCGCTTAGCATGCGAGAGGTAGAGGGATCGATACCCTCGTCGTCCATTAGCGGGGGAATCCGTTTTAGGAAAGAAAAGCGTTTTCTTGCTTCAGCTACCCTTCGTAGCAGCGAAGTGGCTACGCTTGTGACGGTGACACCCTGCCGAATTATAAACGAACTAAGAGGCAACAGGACATTGGTTTTGCTACCATCCACGGACACACATGAAAAGTGTATAGACTGCGTAGATGCATGCAAACCAGCTACATTACAGGTTATTACTCATATGACTGCTTAGCCAGTCGGTTCTGTAGCGAGCTATGTTACATTGAAACCTTTTCGATTACAGTAGTTATATTTAATTCGGAGGTGGTTAGGAATCGACGAATGGTTTGGCTCTTGATATACCTTATTTGTTGTATAGTCCTACTAGCTCGATAATACAAGACGCTCTGTTGTCTGCATGTACGCTTGATGCTATGTGCAACTAGCTGTGAGCGCTCACAGCTAGTTGCACATACGCAAGCGAGCTCTCCCTTCCCCCTTATACCAGCAAGCGACGTTTTTGCGAAACACGAACCTTTTGTACTACAAAATTTGTAGGGCATCTCGGGTTAAATGCCACTCTACAGAGACCTTGGATGGCGTGTTTTAGCGTGGACATGTATGCCGATGCACATCCTTGACCGTAAAGAGCCTACGCATTGGTGCGTATACTCTTTAACGGCCGTCGTGAGCTCTCTGATGCTCTGGTTACACAACTTTATCATGTGCAATCGTTTTGAAATTTTCTAGCTCGCTAAATATGCGTGAACATCGCTAAAGGTTTTGGCGCATCCTTGTACGCGCAAATCAGTGCTTGCAAGCGACCACACTGACAAGATATGTAGGCGCATGGATGTCAGACATACAGGTGGCCAACACGAGGCTGGTTATTGCCTAGCAACGCCTTTTGATGTTCTTGGTGTGTGGGTCTGGTGCGACCCTATGCAGGCGAATGTAAGCCGACAGGAAAGCTTCACATATTTGTTGTGCGATCTCGGCCGCCTTACGAGGAGTATGCTAACATAACGCACTGCAGGCATCCAGAGCGTCGTCTAACAGACAGCCTGCTTATATGTCCTAGGATATATGAGCCGGCACGTGAGTAGCTGTACATGCCTTCACATTGTTGCCCACGTAGCTGGAGAAGCATGGCTCATATTCATGTATATATATAAATAGATACATATATACATGCATACAGTGTGTGCATATGCGTACTTGCGGCTGTAAGAATACTCCCATATGGGTGTATATGCGTACGCATCAAGAAACGCCTGTGCATCGAATGCTTCAACATGCACTAGGAGGCAGGCATACCATAGAGGGATTACACACAAGAGAGATGAGAAGCAGCACCGAGGTTTGTATAGCAAAAAGAGACATGTCCGAAGCCCTCACCAACCCAATTGTGGCATCCACGCCTTGAGTTCAATCCAAAAATTAAACGAATGCCAGTTGCTTCTTTTTAACAAACCGAAAAATCGAGTGCGTATGAGCTGTTGCTGCTCAGCCGGAAAGCTGTCTGATGTTGTTGAAGCAGCTGTTGCTAATAAACTGCCTAGTAAACTGCCTACCTTTGCTACTGCTGTTGTCGCCGCTGCACCGCGTGAGGCCCTATTCCAAACAAGTCGCAACAAATGCCGCTTCAAGGCAACTGACCAACAAACTGTCCAGCGCCACACCGCAGCGGCTGCTCCTGCAAACGGTGAGGCAAGCAACTGCAGCAGCTGCTGCTTGCCACACCGTTTGCACTCAGCCTTGTTGCTACTGTTGATGCTGTCGCTGTTGTGGTGATGAGAAATAAAAAATATCCTGCCCTTCGCCGCACGCACTGGTTGTCGGTGAAGGCGGTGCTCCATTGCAGCTGCTGCTGCTCCTGCTGCTACTGCTGCTCTCGCTATGACGCCGACGGCTGTGGTGCCCTCGCTGGCATAGGCTATGCCTCAGGGATCCTTTGTTTTTTGAATCTCCTAGGGAAGAAGATGGCCACTTGAGAGGCCACCGAGGGAGCAGCAGCATCGCCACGCTTTCCCCCCAAGAGAGATCCTCGTCCTCGTTGCTGTTGCTGCTGCCGCTGTTCAAAGCCGTGTAGGAGACAGTGTAAGGTCTGAGGGGCACAGTGTACTTGACGCCGCACGAGCCGCGAGACGCTAACTGGCCAGGATGTACCCCAGACTGGTGAGATGCTGCAGAGAAGGCTGCAGCTTCGTGTTGTTTGGATGCGTCAGAGTTTGCTGGTCCTGCTGATGTCACGGGGGTGCTGTCTCTGCTGCTGGGAACGCTGCTGATGCCAGACGCACCCGTCTGAGCCTCGCAAACGAAGAAGGGCTGACAATACAAAGCCGCAGCAGTGGCCACTCTCCTACTCGTCCTCACGGAGCGAGGTGTAGGATAAGCGGAGAAACAGCCCTTCATCTGCTGCGCATCCAGAGCACCAGAATAAGGAACAGGGTGCTGCGGCCATGTTTCTTGAGCATCCTCGAAGGGACTGTCTGTCGGCGTGGATGCAGTAGGCGCATCTCCTCTTGCTTCGTCTTGCAGCTGGATGAAGCTAGCAAACGCCTGCGTGCTACAAATTTCCTGTAGCAAAGGTGCCCCTTCTAGGAGAGCCTTGGGGGCCCCTGTCCTGCTGGCGCTGAGGGGCCCCTCCTTGCTCTTACTGAGAACCCCTCCCGACGCAACTCCAGAGAACGCGCCGCTGCGGACTGCAAGTATCATCTTGCAACCTCGCAAAAGCTCGACGAAGAAACGCAAGAAGATCTCCCGAATCGCAGTATCCGCTGCCGCCATCTGCTGCTGCTGCTCCTGCTGATGCTGCTGCAACTGCTGCTGCTCCTCCTGGCTGCTATCCACAGCCAGCGCCGAACTCCACACACGGAGGTAACCCAGTGGGTTCGCTGCTGCATCCAGAGGATGCACATGAGGCTGCACAGTCACTCTGCTTGCCTGCTTCAGAGCTTCGATCCGGGCAGACACAGCAGCCACAGCCGCCGCTTCCGCTTCACTCTCTTGCTGCTGCTGCTGCTGCTGCTGCTCCTGTATCGCAGCTGCTGCTTGTAGTTTGGCTTCCGCGTGAGCCCTACACGCCTGTTGCTCCTCTTCACCGCTGGGGTTAGCTTTAAGTCTGCTATCGCGTCCAGCAGCAGTATCCTTCCCTGCATCCTCTCTGCCTTGGCTGCTCTGACCGACTCCGGAGAGGGTCAAAGCCTCCCCCTCCTCAGAGGACTCAAACGAGACTCCCGAAAACTCACGCCAGACGGGTAGCACGCTGCTGCTGGAGTCTGTCGTTACGGGATTCAGAGCAGCATCACCATCCTCTTGTCCTTCGGAACCACCAACAAACGTTGCGGGGGCAGAGGAAATCGTAGCGCCTCTTCCCCAAGCCTCGTCTCGGTGACTAGTGGCTTCCGCTGCCGCGACAGCACCAGCTACAAGAGCTAATCCTGGTGCTGTGGTCAGTTTGCACCTACCCCAGGCTCTACTGCGTTCTAGAACTTCGCTGCTGCTTCTGCTTTGCCGCTGCCACAGTACCGACACTCCCCTTAGTCCAGGGTTCCTAGAAATCAATGAACGCTGCGGCTTCTGCTGATACTGATGACACAGCAGTTGTGACTTCTGTTCTGGCCCCTGCGTTCGCGCGGCAGCAACTGCATCAACAGACTCTGCTTCTGCTGCTCCACGCTGTAAAACATTCGATCCCGCCTCCGCAGGCGGCTCCTGCTGCTGCTGCTGCTCCTGCTGCTGCTCCTTTTGCTGCTGCTGCTCTTGGTCCTGCTGAGGCTGCTGCAGCTGCTGAGCTCCTTGCTGCAGCTGCGTCCACTCGGTGCCGTCAGCAAAGGCAGCAGATGCCGCAGCGGCAAGCGCTCCGGAAGGAACAGATGAATATCGAAGTACTGCAGGCTGTCTGGGCACCCGACGTAGTGTTGCCGCTGATGTTGCAGGTGCTGCTGGTGTTGCCACTGATGCTGCAGGTGCTACTACTTCCGTTGCCGTTGCTGCTGCAGCAGCTGCTACTACTTCTGTTGCCTTTGTTGCTGCTACTTCTGTCGCCTTTGTTGCTGCTACTTCTGTCGCCTTTGTTGCTGCTACTTCTGTAGCCTTTGTTGCTGCTACTTCTGTCGCCTTTGTTGCTGCTACTTCTGTCGCCTTTGTTGCTGCTACTTCTGTCGCCTTTGTTGCTGCTACTTCTGTTGCCGTTGCTGCTGCAGCTGTCGCAGTGTTCAGGTCTACACCAGGCACTGAGGGTCGCTGCCCCCAAAGACGCCACAGCCAATTTTCCCTCCGATGTTGTTGCTGCTGCTGCTGCAGTTGCAGCTTCGGCTGGTGCAAATGCATTTCTCTTTGCTGCTGCTGCTGCTGCTGTTCGGCCTTGCCTGGAGGCAAGAGATTCAGAAAGCGGAAGACAGAGAGCAAGGCTCCACTGTGCGTCCGAGGCGGTGCTCCTCTGGGTGCAACTGCGCTGCTGCTCATCCTGCTGCTCGCAGTGAGGGCGAAGAGGCCGCTGGCATCCGCGTTGCCAGCTGCCGTGGCAGTCGTTCCGCAACTTGCGATGCTAGAGCTCCCCCCCCCCACTTGGGGACTGAGCTGCAGCGTCAGCGGCTGCTGCCTGCTGTTTGTTGTGCTTGCACGCAACAGTTGCAGCGGATCTCCTCTAGCGCCTCCCTGTGCGGTCTGCATTGCTGCTGCCGCTGCCCCTGCGTTGGTGGAATTTCCGATCTCAGCGCCTGTAGCAGCGGAGAGCCGCATGCAGTGTGCTGCTACTTCCTCCGCAGTGGCAGCAGAGACCCTCTCTCGCAGCACCAGCCAGTTAGGAGGGAGGAAGGCAGGAAGTTGCGGTTGTTGCTGTTGCCGCTGCTTCTTGTGGTGCTTCTGCTGATGCCGCTGAAGCAGCTTTCGCTGCTGTTGCGTCAGGCTGCCATCAACTATCGCCGCTGCAGCGGCAGCGGCTGCTGCCGCTGCAACTGCATCTCTGCACAGAATCGGCACGAGATGCTCAATCAGTTGCCCTAGGAGTGTCTCTGGCAAAGCAGGCAGTCCCCATGGATCAGCACCCTGGCATGCACCTGCTTCAGCGGCTGTAGATGCTGTCGCTGCGACTGCTTCAGGCTTGAGGCATTCGCACTGCTGAGGATCCCCTATTGCCGCTGCGAGGGCAACGTGCGAAAGAGAGACGCAGCACTCGTCTAGATCCACCAAGTAAACACCTGCATGTGCAAGAAAGCGGAGAAAAAGCGAGAATACGATCCGCTTTGTGTGTCAGACAGCACGTCTAAAGCGCCTCCCTCCTATGCGTACATCTTCGTGGGCAAGTGCGTGCGGGGCACCCCTCTTGAGGGCTGCCGCTGCAGCAACAAATATGCGCCGCTAACATTTGCACATGCAACAGCTCTTCTCTCGGAAAAGCACAGCAGCTGAAGCGGGGAGGCACAGGCGGCAGCAGGAACCCTCACCGACGGGGAAAGTGTCTAGAGCCTGGGAGAAGAGGTTGATGGCGTGCAGCATATTGGTGGTAATGGTGTTTGTGCAGTTGGCAGTGCAGCTACTGCACCGAGAGCTGCAGCTCCCGCTGTTGCCAATAACGGCTTCAGATGCTGCTGCTGCAACCCCTAAATCTGGAAATGTAAATCGATACACAGCTGGAGGCACTGCCCTTCCTCTAGGTGCTGCTCCCCGTTTCTTTGTGCTGCCAGTGGTCTTCCCTTGTTGCCGATTGCCTTCTGCTCCGCTCCACTGCTGCAACAGCTGCTGGGCCGGCTGCGGTGTCTGCATGCCAACGCAGAAGGGGAGGGGCATGGAAATAAAGTGCGTCAGCGGCTCGGGCAGTAAGGGGACAAACACTTGGGAGTACCGCAGCGGATACATCAGAGCTGAACCATACACAAACACACATACACAGACATACCATACACAGACATACCATACACATAACATACACAGACATAACATACACATACACAGACATAACCTACACAGACATAACCTACACATACATAACCTACACAGACATAACCTACACAGACATAACATACACAGACATAACATACACATACACAGACATAACATACACAGACATAACATACACAGACATAACATACACATACACGTACACATACACAGCAGCAGCAGGTTGCAAGAATCATACATGATGCTTCCGAAGCAACAGCAGTGTCATCATCACTCCCTTCTGGCCAGTTCGTGGTGGAAAGATCCCCGTGCAGCAGCAACTGGGGTGCAGCAAAGAAAGTAGTGCGCATCATGGAAGCAACAACGCACTGCACTCTTCAAAATAAATTTCTCGAAATTTAGGTGCCTTTGCAACTGATCGCACCGCTAACCTGTGAGCATGCATGGCAGTAGGCACAGTCTGTTCAGAGAGGCGGAGAGCAGGACGATCTGTTTCTCGCAGAGCAGGAGAAGCAGCAGGAGGAGCAGCAGCTCTAGCGGAAAGCTCTTGAGCACGCCAAAGAGTGGCAGCTGCGGCAGGGACGGCACAGACACACATGCATGCACACACAGAGACACACGCTTTCATGAAGTGAAGCAAGGCGCAGCTCGCGTAGTGGTCGCTGCAGCTGCTCCCTTTCTAAACAGCAAGCATAGAAACAAGCGTGGCAAGGGGGACTGACTTGCAGGAGAGGTAAACTTCCGGGGAAGGGAAGCCCAAAGCAGAGAGAGCGCGAGCATTTTACATTCACTGAAAGTGTTACACTTGTTTTTTTGCTGGCGCTGCTGTCTTCAGTGCAACTCGCTCCGTTGTGGTTGTTACTGTTCTCGAAGCTGCCGTATTCTACGACAGTGAGGACCTCTTGCAGTGGCAGAACCTGCCAAATTTGCGCTCCTCTTGGGGCCGGTGTCTCTGCCACTAGCCTGCCAGCTTGCTGCTGTACATACAGCAACGGCGAGGGCAGCAGCACGCGCTGCTGCTGCTGCTGCTGCTGCAGCAGCACACGCCCTTTCGCACTACAGGCAGTGGACTGACAAAGCGCCGCATACGAGGTGTACATACACCACAGCCACTCGCTGAAGGCACCAAAGAAGGGAAAGGCCGACAGTATGCAGAACGCTCTCTCCACATACACAAGAGACGCCTTTCTGCAACAGCAGCAGCACCCTGCTGCTGCCTTGATTTCAGATCCTTCTTGAGCTTTCCCCGTGGTATCCGGGAAGGTCTTTGCTGCCGCATCGTCGTCTGCTTTTCCAACAGCCTCCTGCTGCTCCTCCGAAGCTGCCGCTGGTGCTCCCGATGCACGCGTCGATGCAGCACCCTCCCCCCAGTCGCGTGCAACCCCCTCAGCAGAAGGCGGAACGCAGCTGCAGCAAGAACGCTGCAAAGTGACCAGCTCAAAGAAACGGAGGCAGTGGCCATACAGCCGACAGCCTTGAACATCTGTCAACACGAAAACAGACGAGGACGGAGAATGGACTCTTAGCAATGAGGCACACGGGCAGCCCTCCCACTTGCATATGCACGCCGTTTCCCCTGCTCCCGACATGACAGGCGTTGTCGGTGATACTGCGCCTTCTTCTGGTCCTGCCGAGGCTGTTGTTGTTGCTGTCGCTGCTGCTGCTGCTACCCCGTCGGCAGAGACACTTGGAGACAGCAATGCCGTCCCAGCATGAGAGTCATACGACTGCCATGGAGAGCTGCACGACCACGCAGCCCGATCTGTTTGCGGCACCTGCTGCTGCTGCTGCGTCTGCTGCTGCTGCGTCTGCTGCTGCTGCTGTTGCTGTTGTAGGGTGCACACACAACCGCTGCTTGCGGGCAGCACTTGCACTATCCCCTGAGGAAAGCAAAATAACTCTACCGCTGGAGGAACCTCTGGTGGAAGACGCGAAGTGTACTTAAAGGCCCCTGCCTCCGCAGCGTCTTCTGCTCCTGCTGCAGCTCCTGCTGCAGCTCCTCCTGCTTCACAGTCCTTTGCTACAAATGCGTCCACGTTGTCTCTAGGGTTCAACAGGACCCTCGGCTTGCCTTTAGATGTAACCGCTACGTCAAAACTCGCGCTGCAGCTGCACCTCCTCTGGCCAGAGGCACCACTGGCGTTCCCGCTTTGACAGCCACAGCTGTTGCTGTGGCTCTTGTCACTACACATGCAGAGATCCCTGACCCTACAATTGATGAAAACGGACTTGTGGTGCCTAGGCTCGGTGTTTCCTTTGTCTGCTGGTAATGGTGGTGGTGGTAATGGTGGTGGTGTGTTTGCAGCAGCTGCTGGTGGTGGTGGTAATGGTGGTGGTGTGTTTGCAGCAGCTGCTGATCCTAAAGAAACAGAGTCGACCTCCGCAGCAACTGCGGCATCACGCGATCGGAAAGTGGCCAGCGTGCAGCTACTGCTGCGCCTTCCCTTCAAAGATCCTCTGATGGGCCGCATGCAGCGCTCACTATTACAGCGTCTGATGCTGCAGCTGCAGTTGCTGCCAGATCTGCTCGTTCTACTGCCGTCACTCTGACACGGGATTGCCGCTGCTTGAGCCTCCGCTCTCGACGTTAACTCCAGACCGCTCTCCCTGCTCTTCTTGCGACTGGTGGCAGTCTTAGCTGCGCCTTCTGGCCTGCTCCGAGTACAGCTGGGAGCGTGGCAGCTGTTATTTCTCCTTCTGCTGCTGTTGATGCTGTTGTTGCTGCTGCTGCTGCCACAAGGGCAAACGCTGCTGCTCCGCCTCGACTCCCGCGCCAGTGGAGTGTCACTGCCGCTCTTTCTGACGCTTCCAGCATCCGAAAGAGACGTCGAACGCGCAGATTCCTTCCGAAGGAACATGCCGCTGATGCCTTCCTTCTCTTCTCTGCAGTTGCTGCTGCTGCTGTAATTGCTGCTGCTGCTAGTACTCCTCCTGCTGCTGCTAGTACTCCTCCTGCTGCTGCTAGAACTCCTCCTGCTGCTGTTGCTGCTAATACTCCTGCTGCAACTACTGCTTGTTTTTGGTGGCTTAGCCCCTCGTGGGAAGCGGAAAGGCACAGATCTGCAGGTGCAGCACCAGAGGATCCGTGGCTGCAGAAGGCTGTCATTGCAAGTGTGGATGTTGGGGATGCTACAGTCACTGGTGTTGCTGCTATGTGTGAAGCTTTTCTTTAGCCTCGCTGCTGGCTTCAGAGCCTGGTGCTGCTGCTCGTCATCATCCCCGCCCTCCTGCTGCTGTGGTTGTTGCTGCTGTGTTTGCTGCTCAGGTGCAGTTGCTCCAGGCATCGCTTGAGCCACGCGATCAGGAGTCGAGCTGCTGCTCCCAGAGGCTGAGGCGGGGGCACACTGCTGCCCACGAACTCGATAGCGCGCGCAGCATTGCAGTTGGTGCTGCTGGAGGTGATCTGCAATGCAGGCATCTAAGACGGGGGAACCCTCAGAGGGGCCAAGCACCAGGAATGCTTTGGCGAGAGACGGCATACTGCGGGTATACCGCGAGAAGCGGCGAGATAGTTGTTGCCTCCCCTGAGGCTTTTGCTTCGAGAGAGGCTGGCGATGGAGGCTAAGCGCATCTCGATTCTGCAAAAAAGGGAGAGTTTCCTGATCTGGTTGCTCCTCCGGCTGCTTCCGAGGGGGCTGCAGCTCATGTCTTTGCCTTACCTGCTTCGATTGCTGTTGCTGTTGTGGATGTTGAGAATATTGTTGTTGTTCCTGTTGTTGTTGATGTTGATATTGTTGTTGTTTCTGCTGTTTTTGATGAGAATATTGTTGTTGTTTCTGCTGTTGTTGATGAGAATATTGTTGTTGTTTCTGCTGTTGTTGATGAGAATATTGTTGTTGTTTCTGCTGTTGTTGTTGAGAATATTGTTGTTCCTGCTGTTGATGTTGTTGTTGTTTCTGCTGTTTTTGTTGAGAAAATTGTTGTTGCTCCTGTTTTTGTTGAGAATATTGTTGTTGTTGCTGTCCGTGTTGCTGTTGCAGCGTATCGGCCCTTGCGAGATGCGCTGTAGGCGACCAGCACTCCAATAATGCGCGCTGCTGCTCTTGCTGCTGCTCTTGTTGCTGCCTGTGGCAGCGTTCGGCAAGGCCCTCAAGCAGCTGTCTTCGAGGATTCCAGTCATTGTTAATGGACCCAGAAGACAGACGTCCACCATCAGCATTGGACCCTCCTCCCCCGCTGCACCACTCCAGGAAGGCGTTTGTTTCCTCTGCGGGGGGAGGGGGGGGGGAAGCCGTCAGTCCTGCAGAACTGCTCTCCCCCCTGGAGGCATCTCTGGGAGATTCCTGCGAAAGAAAAAGCGAGCCTCGAGGAGCTCCCGAAAGGCTCGTCGAGACGATCGCCTCGGAGAGAACCAGAGGGGCCCTCTCGGGGGGCCCCTCCGGGAAGCCCGCGGGGGACGCTGGAGGCGATTGCCAGACGATAATATCCGTTGGAGGCCCCTGGGGGCCCCCCATTGCGGCTGCGCTCAGGGGAAGAGGACACGACGCAGATGCATGCCTTGGAGGCGCTCCGGAGGCATGTGGGGAAGCCACGAAAAAGTCGTCAGAAGCAGTGCTGACCCCTGCAACAGAAGCCGTGGCATTGACGGCGATCTCGACTGCCTCTGCAGCTGCCGCTTGGGCGGTGGCATCTGCATCAGCTGAGACGGAGGGGGCAGCCATGTCGAAGCCAAGGCTTGAGGACGGGCTGAAGCGCCCAGAAGGTGTGTTGTGAGGGGCAAAAGAACTCCCTAGCTGGAAGCCATGAGTCACTGCACCGTTGCCAGCGGCTGCTTCGGCATCCTCTGGATCACATGCTGAGCTGTGCGAGCTCGCTGCTTCGGCAGATGGTGGATTGCTGAGGGCTCTTGGGCCCATCTGCTGTTGCCGGTCCTCTAACTGCTAGCCGCGCTGGGGTGGCAAGTCTGCCTTGAGCCGTCGCTGGATGTCTCAGCTGCAGCCAGGCGCATCTGCAGCAGAAGTGCCAAAGGCAGCGACATTCGCGTCCGATGATTCGGCTTTACTTAACCTCGAAAAGGAAGGATGGCACCCGATAGCGCACACCCCATCGGCGGGGGCCCCTTCAAGGGAGCGAGCGGCTCTGATGCCGCTGCCACTTTCGATTTACGGCTGGTGTTGCTGCAGTCACTGTTCTTTCCGCTTCCACAATACATAAAAGTGTGCAGCTGCACATCAGAACGGCACGGTAGCCGTAGCTTTTTCGCCGCCGTTTTTGTGGTGGGGGAGGGGGGGCCCCCACAGCAGCGGGTGCTGAAGGACCAGAGACACTAGGTACTCCGCTCAAAGGCAGGCGGGCTGGAGGTAATAATAGTAGTGAGTCCACGAAAAGATATATTCGTGCTCACTTGGGCCTTGTATTGAGAGTTTCGTGCCAAACCCCCCAAATATAGAAGGAAAAGCCGTCGTGTGCGTGACCCTTCGTTCCCAGGAAACATTGGTCCCTCCTTTAGAAAAGCAGCAGCGGCTGCTCTTTTGCTTTTAATGCAGGGCGTTGAGCTATGTTTCACTACCCCTTTGCTCGCACCTAGCTACTAGCGTGTCATTTTATCCTGGCGCTGCAGAACTACCTCCTCACTCCCTGCTGTGCCGCACATCAGAATCTGTTTGTGTAGTCTTTTAGCAAGCAAGTAAAATGCAGGCTCCCCCTTTGAGCATTTCTCCAGCATCTGATGACTGTTGCCTCCCAGGACCTTGCTTTAAGGCACCCTTCAGCGCACCAAAGATTCCCGGCCTCTCGGGTCGTGAGGAGTGGTCCACAGCTACTCTTCGGCATGCACCTTTTACTGCATTCGTTACGTTTAATTAAGCCAAACTCAATAGTTGAACAAGCGGCCTGTCAGTAAGGACCTCCTGTTCATAGAAGACTGCTGCCAGCAGCCCGATACACACAGAGACGCGACGTTGTGTGGGCTTGCAGCAGAAGCTATCTGGAGCTAGCTGTGAATGCTCAAATTGCTTAGAGGTTGTACTAACGTGCACTCTAGGTTTCCCTCCCTCTCCCATCGTATGGGGAATCCTGAGAGGCGAGGGCAGGGTAATGCGGAAGGTCTTCTTAGCAGCCCCCAAAAGTTTTATCAAGTTTGTATGAAAGGCGGGGATTCAACATCTCCTGACAAAAACCGTAGATGGAGTAGTGCAGCTGGTAGCACGGCATAGATTGACGTAGTTGTTCTCCTCTAATTCACTTGCTGAGAATCCAGTCGGATGCCAGGTTTCCCTGCAACGGCTTTTCGGGCTCGGTGAAGTCCTTTGAAAATTCAGCAGTCCGATTCCGCAGAAGATCACGGAACCTATTAGTTGTGTGCATGCGTGTACGCTAGGTGCTTTGTACAGCTGAGTTGAATGCTTGGAATAACTAGCGGGGGCTGCAACGCCCACACAGAACCCCCGTACTCCTCTTCCCCACTGGCGAAATCTTGAGGGGTGACGGCAGGGACAGAAGGGGGCTCCTTCGGAATAGTGTGTCGTACTTTAGTATGAACCTTGATGCTGAGCTTGAGGCAAATCGCCGTGCTACGAGGGTGGAGCGTTTCGTTGCACCATACACTTGCATTCTGCAGGATAGTGTCTACGTACACTGCAGCGCGTGAAAAGGCCGCTAAAACGCCTTCAAAAACTGCGTTAAGTAGCGGAGTTTGGCAGCCGAGGGCCGTGGGCAGACGCACGCACCCGCGGCATTCCTGTGAAAAGGGCAATATGCATGCACTATGGAGCGTGTTCGCTTCCTGTGCCACAGGTGACTTCACAACTGCTGCAGAGTCCAGCTGATGGGTCGACCATCCACAGGAAATAAAGCCAAATAGGGGCCCACGAAATGTACTTCTGAAGAGGAAGCCCGAAGTTGCATGCGGCCTGTCAATACCTGCTGAACCGGATTTGCCTCTTGTTCGTGTGCAAACAGAAGAAGGGAGGATGACGGATGTTCAGTTCCTTCCTAATGGTGCGCGTCAGATGCCAACGACAATGCAGCCAGCTGCTTCTGAAGCGCTTCATGGCCTTCGGCGCTGAGTAGGGTGCTCCAAGCCTGCACAGCCTCGGGAGAGGGGAACCCCATAAGGGTCTCAGCCGGGGGGCCCCCCAAGATCCAATCCGCGACAGGGGGCCCCACCGGGTACATCAACGCCGTTCCGAATGCAATGCAGCGCAAGACGTAGATGCAGTTTTTCGCCAGGTACACGGTTCTCTCCAGCAGCCCTAGGAAGCCACAAGCGACAAAAGGCGCAAATTGTGGCACAGAGTCCTCCTAATAGACAGGAACGCGTTGCTACACGCTTCTCTGCTAGCCTACGCATATGCATATTGCACTTTGATCGTTCGCACTGCGAAGGCACCACCCAGACGGCCCCCTGCACTGCACTGGCCACGCATCGCCGCAGAGACGGCAGCACCAACACAGTCATTCAGATAAGGCGGAGAACGGCTCACCATTAAGGCCCTGCTTCCAATCTTCCTGATCCACAGGCAGCCCGCTGAGGCTGATGTGTAGGAGTGTCAGACACCGTCGCTGCTCCGGGGAAGCGCATGGGGGCTGCTGCAGAGCAGCGGCAGCGCCTGCAGCACCCGCTGCAGTTTCTCCGCTGAGAGACAGCAGTTGCTTCTCCAAGAATACAGACACTAGAGAGTCGGGGTTCCTCTTAGGGCATCCGTCTCCTCGTCCCTCGCCAGCCGTGTCTGGAATATGGGGTGTGACTTCGGAGGAGCTGCCGTGTTTCTGTCCGCTGCTGCTGCTACTGCTTGGGGTAGCTGCAGCGGCACTGATGAAGTGTACAGCAGACTCTAAGACAGCAGCACAGCGCTCAATATGGAGCCTTGCTAGCCGAGGCAGCACATCCTGTGGGGGTCTAGGGGTGCTACTGCTGTGAACAGCAGCCGTGGCGGTACAAGGAACAGTGGAAAGTGCGCGGGAGACGATGCTCAGAGCGAGGGCAGCAAATGCAACGGAGACGATGGAAAAGTATGCAGCTCTGAGACACACAAGGCACCAGACAGGGCGCAAAATATCGTCAAGCTGGTGGATGCGCATTTCGAGCACGCGAGTCAGAATGAGGGGCGACACAAAAAGAAATTGGCAGAAACCTGCAGAAAGCCTCGAAGCGTAAACGGCACACACACGTCCTGTATCGTAAAAGAATGGGGAGGACAGCCGGGAAAAGGAGTCGAGAGACGCAAAAAGCTCACCGCTTGGTAGACAACATGGACGATGCAAGCCTTAGGAGGAGCTCGTTGAGTTGTACATCAGGTGTTGCATACGAACACACATCCAGCAGCTGCTCCCTTACGTCTGATGCAGTAGCCACAAGGGCAGCCGAAGCAGCTGCGAGGAACTGCGATGGATAGCGCAGTCCCCAGCAGCAAAGGACTGGCAAGCAACCACAAACTGCTTGTTCATCCTCTCGCTCTAGCTGCATCATCGAGGAGCCAGCTGCCACTGCCAATGCCTGCTGCAACAGCTCCTGCAGCAGCGGCCAGTCTCCCCGTTCAAGCAGCAACAATAACATCAGCAGCATGCTACATGCCCGACTTTGCTGATGCACTACTCGTCTCAACGTCGACGTCTGAGCGACACAACGCAACGGCAGCGCGAGAAGCGTGAAGGGAACTTGGCACACACAGCCCTTTCGAGGGAGGCAGAGGGGCGAGGCAAGGAGCAGGACCAAAGATCAGCTAGCAGCTAAAGGCTGCAGCATCGAGTAAAAAACAGATCGCTGGACAGCTCGAGCCACTGCAGCAGCAGCAGCAGCAGCAGCAGCAGCAGACAGCCACACGCTGCGTCACCTGGACAAGTCTGGTAGTCGCGCAGGTGTACAGCAACGGCAGCAACGGCTGCACCATATGCTGCAATTCGGGGGCACTCTCTGAGGAGGCCCTTATGGCAATGCAGAAGGCTCCTGCCTCCAGAAGAAAGAGCAACAGCAGCGGCAGCTGCGGGTCGGATAAGGCGAGATGCGAGTCGGCTGCAGCAAGGGCCAGCTGCACCAACAGTACGGACTGAAGAGACAGCGGCAGGCACACAACACAAAAAAGGATCATGAGGCCAAAACACATCCCTAGACAACACTGCTTTTTTCGCATTCCTTGTTTGGCGCAAACACCCCCTTCAATATGGCAGCTCCGGAAATATGCAGCACGCGCGAAGCTTTCGAGAGAGAGAGAGAAATGGATATGCACATCGCCCCAGGCGTGCACTCCTGCAGCCATGCGTTCTGAGGGCCTATAAGCTGCCGGAGGTAAAATCAACCACTCTTCGTGTCGGATGCCTGTCTACCTGATTATGTGGCGAAGAGAGTGGATCGGCTGCCCTAAGGGTGCCGATCATCAAGCGAAGGCCACTGCGCTGCAAAGCACCAGACGGCTCGTCCAGCACTGCAGGAAGCACAAAGAAAAACACGTGGGGTCCAGATGTGCATGCAGCACAGAAGGCCTGCATGCATACTGCGAAGTATGGAGAGGAGGGAGCCACAACAAGCGTGCAACCGAGAGAGTCAGAGAGACTTTGCAAAGATGCCAAAGAAGGCGCTGCAAACGGCGTAAGAAAGGCGCAGAGGAAAGCACATATGCACACGGGGACAGAGGCAGAAAAATTCACGTGAGAAAAAGGTTGCGGAAGAGAAACGGAGAAAGAACGTTAAGAGATGGCGGAGGAAAAAATGAGGCGAGGAGGGAGGGAAAGGACGCAGCACACGACACAGGCTATACCCGTTTGACTTTTGTCGTTGAATCCCAAGCCTAATGCCCATCCAGCAGCCTAATACGCAGCAGGCATCACTCTAGGACGTTGCAAAGCGTGGAGCCTTTGGAGGTGGATAGACTGCACGTTCGCGGAGCAACCCGTGGATCAAGCAGTAGGTTTCGACATCGTTTAGCATGAGCAGCCGCAGCACCAACTCCCGTAGGCCAAACGATCGCCATCTCATTCTCCATGAAAACAACACAAACACGCGCGAAAACAGCCAGGACACACGCACTGCAGCTGCAGCAGGCAGTTCCACAGTGGCGGCAGTTATAGCACAGTCCTCGCAGCAACAAAGCCTACCTGCAGAGCGGCGGTAAGCAGTCCAGTGGGCATAGCCTCGTAGCGAGGCATCCCTGTTGAGAAGTGCAGAGGCACCTCAGAACGTCCCAGCAACACTGCCCCGTGCAGAAAGGCGAGAAGCTGCAATTGAAGGCCTTCATTGTTATGATAAGCCTTGAACTGGTGTAACAGCTGGCTGTACACCTCAGAACCCCCAAGCTTCCCGCTGCCGCTGCAGCTGCTGCCGTTTCTGGTGCTACCCATGAGGACACAGCGGAGGTACTCAACGTCGCTGTAGTTGGGAAGCTCTGAAAAGTCGAAAAAATCGTCTGTCAAGGGCTGTCGCTCCTGCTCCTCGCGGCTGTCAGACTGTAACAGCAGCAGCAGTTGCAGCAGCTTGCTGCTCCATAGGCTGCGATCGCTCTAAGGCACAAACCACATGATAAACGTCCGACGCTTCAAGTGCTCCTACGGGCTGTACAAAAATGGCGGCACTGTCTGGAGTAGCTGCGAGCCGTGTTAGCAGCAACACCTTCTGGTCGGCTACTATATACATATATTGATATGTACATATATAGATATAGATATATATAGATATAGATATATGCACGGACTTGCGCCAAGAGCAGCAGAAGCGTCCTCTGTAGCTCCTTGTACGGCAATTTCTGGGGAGTTTTCTGGTGCTGCAGTAGCAGCTGCTCGACAGGCAGCTTGCTTTGCGCCGAACGCCCCTGCTGCATCATGTACAGCATCTCCTGCTGTTCAGCGCAGCTCTTGACCACCGCCTTGCCCACGCTTAGAGCGCCTACTTGCACGCATAAGGAGACAGCCAGAAACAGGGGGGCACCTCGAGCGGCCTCTGCATGCGTTCGAGTGTCGTGCAGCAACATCAACAGCTGCTGGCGCTGCTCGTGCTGCTCTGGACCGAGCTGTAACTGCTGCTGCAAAAACGTGTGTCGATCCACCAGGACCTTCATGAAGGGCTGAGGAACAAGCAGCTGCTCGAAGAAGAAAGCCACAGCCTCTCTGAAATCCTCTACGGGCATCACGGGGTTTATTTGCAACAGGAGCTTCAGGACGGCACAGCACCTCGCAGCAGCAACAGCGAGGATCGCTGCCCTTCCCTCCGCCTTGTTGAGTGCCGCTACGGCTACAGCGCCAGCGAAGGGGCCAGCCGTCAGAAAGCGACTCAGCAGACGCAAGAGGATTCCAAACTGCTGCAGCATCTGCCTCATTTGCTGCTCCGTATAGAGGCAGTTGTCGGCAGCAGGGTCTTCTTCGCAGCCTAACAGCTGCGCCACTGCCGCGTGCTGCTGCGACGCAAGCCGCCGAGGGTGTCCTTCGTGATATTCCAAAGTAAAGACACCCGAGTGCATTGCTGCCTGCAGCGAGACAGCCAGGAGGGCTAGCAGTCCGTCGATCTGCTGGACGCCATTCAAAAAGCTGGGAGTGTTCACAGGAGCAGCAGCTGCCGCTAAGGCTGCTGCCAAGGCTGTCGGGGGAGGGCCTGCCACGCTCTCGAGACGACAGTCCACTGCGTTGCAGAGGCGCAGTATGAAGCCTGACCCCAATAGCCCGTTGCGCATGCATTCCTGCAAAAGGGCTATTAGTGCGTCTCGCACGAGGCAGCCTCCCTCTTCGAAGCAGACAAGGCCCCCATAGAGCTCCTCTGGGCGAGAGAGAAATTCGAGGGCCTAAGGAAAACAGCAGCACATCCCACAGGACCACAATGCATGCCGAGAAGGCTCTTGCCGCATGCGCACTGCGTGTGGCAAGAGCCTACTAGCGCAGCAGCGGTGTGTGGCATCTGAAGACTTCCCCCACAAACAAGGGCGCATCCTCCTGCAAAACCCGCCTCCATCCGTCACGCCAAAGAAAAGACACAGATGCTGGTGCCACAGCCTCGCTCGCCCTCCGCATTGCTCGTTTACGCGGGGAGAGCGTCTCCGAAAAGAGAGACAGAGAGATAGAGAGGGAGAGGGAGAGAAACAAACCACCCCACAAAGGCAACGGCACAAGGAGAGCAGCAGCAGCAGCAGCAGTGCCATGTACATACACCGCAATACACGGCACGAAGTGTCTTCTTTTTGCACCCGCTAAGACATACCTCCGACTCAGTGGCCCCCAATCGGGAAAGAGCAATGGCTTGTATGAGGTTTGGAATCCCTCCGAGAGCAGAGAAGGTGGCTTTTAGCTCGCTGGCTGCTGCCCTCCTTAAAAGCTCTGTTTCGCCTTTGAGAGATACCCCTGCTGACTCCGTCCTCTGCCCCTGTGGCTGGTCCGCATGCGCGCAGCCGTTCTCTGAGAGCAGCGCAATGCCTCCCCGCAAGGCAGCAGCAAGCAGCTGCAAGGGAAGGGCCTGCACGAGCGCGTCGTGCTCAGCATCACCGCTATTACTGCTGCTCATGCTCTGCGACAGCAGCCAATAACACACAAGCATAAGCCGACAACACCAAGGACTATCAGCGGAACGTGCTGCAGCGGCTGCAACAGGACCAGTCAAAGTCAAATGCAAGCAGTAAGAGCGAAGGCGAAAACGGCACCATCTGTCTTCTCAACAGCAAAACCCCCAATACACGCGCAACTCAAGCAGACGTACAAACGAACGCACCTCATAATGCTTAACGGAGGCAAGCAAGAGTTTCTGCAGCGAGCCTTCACCCAGCTTGAGCAAGAGAGCGAAGTGATGGTCCGCAACCCCCGTAAAGCCTATGCGAAAGTGGCGCATGAATAACAGCAGCAGCAACAACAATACCGTCCACGAGCGCAGCGAGTCGCTCCGCGAACCCATAGAACGAGCCTCACAATACGCGAGACAAACAGCACAGATGGTTCGTTTATCGGGGGAAACACCGCCGGAGAGCTTGCATAGTTGTGTGTTGTGTCTGTCTCTTACCCCTAAAAAGGGCCTTGGACAGCTTCAGCACACTTTTTTGTGCTGGTTCAAAGCACTGCAAACCTGCAGCTCCCCGCTTGTGCTGCAGCTCCTGGAGCTGCAACAGCAGCAGCTGCACTGCGAGCAGCTGCTGCAGCGCTGCGGGATCTCCGACGCCTTGCAGCTTGCGATCTGCCCGAGCCTCGCAAATTAGCAGCACGCCACACAAGTGCGCCACCAGCTGCAACAACAGCAACAACAACAGCAACACAGAAACGCATGAAGAAACAACAGACCAAAGCAACCGCAACACATGAACGCATGAAGAAACAACAGACCAAAGCAACAGAAGACGTATCTATCGGCTTGTCATCACGGCCTGTGCCAACAGAGGATGTCTTTACCGTCGCTAGCTCGCTCCACGTTTGTGTCTGGAGCGCAATCTGATGCTGCATGCGTTCCGCTACCTCAGAACCCCCTTGCTGCTGCTGCTGCTGTTGCTGTTGTTGCTGCTGCTGCTGTTGCTGTTGTTGCTGCTGCCAGCAAAGCTCCTGCAGGTTCGCCTCAAGCTCCATGTACTGCGTCAGCAACGGCACCAACTGCGCTGCAATCGACGCGATCGGGTGCTGCAGCCAAGGCAGTAGAGCCTTGCACAGTCCACGAAACATCTGTTGGGCCCCGATCCTCACAGTCATTAATTCCTGTAGCACCAATTGAAAGCAGCAGCAGCACCGGCAGAGGACGAGCCCCTCATCCGACGAGCCATGACTCTCCACAAGGCCTATGAGGCGAGTGGCAAACATTACGAGTCGCTGTTAAGGGCCCTTAGAAGCAGCTAAGGATGTCGAGCACCCGGCTGAAAGGAGATCGAAACGTGAACATGGGTTACCTTAAGTAGCTGTTTGAGGAGCTGTGCATACGCCAGAGCATCTGCGGCGTTCCCAGCAACTGCAATCAGCAGCTTTGTGAGAACTGTCTGCATGAGAACAGACGGCAGGATGCCTTCAGCTGCTACCAGCTCTTCGACTTCGCGCTGGACCATTGAGGGGGCGACGCAACAGGTGCACATGCCCTGGACGCTCTTGCACAGGCTGAACTCGCTGGAGGCTTTCCGCAGTGCCTCTTGAGACAGCGCCTGAGACAGCCGATCTGCTGTCGCACCAGGGGACGCTGCCACCGTCATGCGGGCAAGCCGCCGCATCAGTGCCAGATACACTTTGAAACTCCGAGGTGAAGCTGGAGGCCCCTGCGCCTTACAGAGAACGACCAGCAATGCCTGGACAAATAAAATCTCTGCACGACCAGCATTGTTAGCAGCAGCTCCGGCAGGAGTAGCACCTTGAGCCAAACGACAGGCAGCGTTGGATGCTGCCTGCACGAACAGAAACACGCGCAGGAGGGCAGGCTTCCCAGTGAAGCAGTACACTGTAAGCCTTAGGGTCACAAAGGCATGCGCAGCGTAGTTGCCAGCTGCCACAAGCCTTCGCAAATCGAGTTTTCAGGATGGATTTAAGGCTGCACGTGCAGTCTGTCTCTGGCCAAAAAGATGCCTCCCCGCTTCCAGCTATGCAGCCACGACTCCTGACGGCGTTTGCAGCCGCGAGGAGTGGTGCAGCCTTTGCTGCTTCTGCTACTCAGTAAGCAGCAGCTTCTGTCTGATCTTACTTGCTGTCCACTCTGCAAGGCCCCCTTGAGCAGCAGCAGCGCAGCGAACGCCGCTTCTGCGTCATCTGCTCCCGGGTGGGCAAGCTTTTGAGCGAGCTGGACTAGCTGATGGGTTGCTGCCGCTGAACCCTCTCTTGAAACTGCTGCTGCCCCCACTCCCATTGCCGTACAGCGCAAGTAACACTGCAGCAGCATCACCAGGTAGCCAGGCCTGCTTTGCAGAGCCATCAAGGAGGCCTCCGCCTGCTGGCGTTGCGCCAACGTTGCGGTGTCTGTCGCGAGCAGCACAATGCAGCTGAATGCATATTCCTGCGTTGTAGAATCTCGTAACGAGGAATGGCCAGAGTCTGCTGCTGTAGATGCAGCAGGCAGGTTTGCCAGATACCGATGACACACTTCAATAGATTCCAACAAATGGTACAACTCATACTGCCACGAAGCGGCAAGAGGACTTCCACCTGCTCGCTGCTCCTGCTGCTGCTGCGTCAGAAGCTGCCCTTGATCCTGCTGAGGTAACATCTCGCGACTTTGCAGCAGTCGCTCTTGATCAGAAGGGGTAGACCGTTCAGGGTGGTAGCCTTGGGTCTCCATTTCTTTTGCGCGATTGCCGAATCGGGATGCCGGGAGTAGCTTCCGCCAAAGAGTGGCAGCCGCTTAAGTGCATGTACACCGTGGCGTGTAGCAGAAGGAGCGTGAGAGACCCCGACTCCCGTTAATTTGGGAGCTCTCGACCGTCCTTCTCTGATTATTATTGCTTCCTTCCCGCCCCTTCGTCCTCGAAAGCTCTGTAATGCTCCACGAAGTACGCTCACAAAGATGTCAGCAGTGATGAGCCTACAGGAACGGGGAATACAAGACAGCTCTGCGCTGTAGCGGCTGACAGACACTACACCTCCCCATCATGAGCATGGCAGAGGGGAACAAACAAGGCAGTCACTCAAGAATACGATCAGCTACAAAAAAACTGTAGAAGCCAACGATTGCACATCCCTCAAGCCCTATCGGGCATGGGTGCTGCCCTCGGTGTGCATGCGCTAAGAAGGGACCCCAGGGGCCCCAGTGTGTGTTATGTGTACCGATCAAATCATGATACAGGTATAACATTGGGCCCATAAAGCACAAGTGCCTGCTTCTAAACAACGTCAGATAGAGCTTTGGCGAGGGGGCCTTCCGTATCTAGTCGTGAATGCACACCCTCGGTGCTGACTCATCAGATGCACACTCACCCTGTTGATCTGCCATAGCCATTGCATATGACGCGCCTCAAGGCTTTTAAACCTCAAAAAGGGTATGCAGATGCCTTAGAATGAAACTTTTTGCCATGTAGCACTGAAAGAAATCGCTGTTACGAAGCACTATGGAAGACGTACAGGATTTCAGGCTTGTTCGTTCTAAAGCTCACATGTAGCGCGCTAGGCTACACTTCGGCACTTTCTATTACATCCGTTATACTCTATTTGAAATGGGTAGAGAACTGACCAGATGGCTTGGGTGGTTGTACATCTTATTTCGTGCAGAGTATACGGTTGGTGCATCTTTTTTACTGCAAAGGGAGGCTACCTCGGTATTAAAATGTGCATTGGCGTGTGGGCATGTCCTAGATGCTACGTGCAACGAACTAGGAATGCTCGGAGTGCTTAGAGGGTATGGCCACACGCGCTTTAGCAGTCACATTCCTTTTAAATCCAGAATCGGCAGGAGTGAGCCCAGGAGGAGGTGGAAGCTCTATTGAGAAGCACTCAATAGCTTTTAGTTGAGAGTGTTTTGAGTTGGCAGTGAAATGCTTTTGAATGGACAAATTAATTAGAAATCACAGTCCGTAGCACCACTTGGTTTGATATAGCTGTTTCCCTCTGCGCTACTGGCTATGGATACAACGGGGTGTCAGGTTTCCCTACACCAGTGGTCTTACTCTTGTGTAAGAGTCTAGTAACTCATTCGCTCGTTCTCTTGGACAAAAGTCTGAGAAAATGTATGGCCATGGAAGTTGACAGTGGCGATTTGCTGGGGAGGCAAGGGCCTGCGTGCAAGCCGAAGTGAACGCACCAGCTTCATAGCTGGTAGAAAGGCATTAACCGACAGCGGATACAGTGTTTACGGATACGTCGAAGGTTGTGCTGACATCAAAAGTAGGAAGGCCCTTAGGATGAGCAAGTACTCTTCGGTTCATCAGCCTACTGAATGGGCACTTCTCTTGTACTTCCCAGTTGATGAGAAGCGAGTGTGCCCTGCTATAGTATAGGGAGAATCACTTCAACCATGGGCCTGCTAATGTAAAGAAAGCCGCCTGCCTGCAAGGATTCCTACATTCGAAGCCTTCATACAGTTGCAGATTGATTGGTTTATGCCGAAATCAGCTCGGCACCAAGCTTTGGGGGTCGGAAAAATCCGAAGCTAGAAAACCTACCACTAGATCGGTATACCGAAAACTGTGCAATTTGGGGGTGCAAATGCCATAACGTGGACTAGGTGCTTTGGTCTCAACGGTTTAGCTCACATGTCAGATCTACACAACGTGTCATGTCAGGTGGTCGCTGGGTGGGCATCAACTTGGCAATTAAATTGCCAACCGGTAGGGCTTCTGCGAACAATAACCTCCTTGCGGTTTCAAATGCGAACGCATGCACCTCGTTTGACTTTATATGAGATGAACGAGCCACATTGGGACTTGGGAGCTATGAATGTCGGGGCCTACATGTTGAGGTAACGATGAAGGAAAGCCCGAGCGAACTCGCTCTCTTAAGTAGTTTCAGCCATCTTTTCAAACAGTGCATCTGCGGTTCTCGTCATGAATTGGGTAAGGCTTTTTGAAATAGCAGGTGTATACAAATTGCCAACGAACTTTACCAACAGGATTGGGCACAGCGGAAGCAGGCTGGTCGGCGGGCGAGACAGGCACAGCAGGAAAACTAACGGTCCCATACGTAAACTGTAACGCAAGGAAGGGAGCTACGAATGGTAGAGTATAAGTGGCGTAGCTGCTTTAGCCAAAACGTTGCAGAACACCTTCAACACCTACGGCGTGAGCTTTAACCTGCTACGGAACAAGCAGTGGGAAGTGAAGGCACATAACTATCCGGTTTTACCGGATCCTTTGTAAGCGTGAGACTCCACGATTTGACTGCATTCACTGACCCAGATCTGGCAAAGATTGAAGCAGTCAGCGCGAGAACTTTGCCTTTGCGCTCCCGCAACGACGTTCCAAAGTTCTGTGGCCTTGCCGCTAATTATCAATATCCCAATTTCATCTCTAGACTTTTGTGAGCGCTGCTCCTTTGATCTACATACTGCACAAAATGCAGTCTGTGGCCTGGACAAAGAAGCTCGATGCCGCAGCAAGGACCGTAATCCGCCGCCATACAGCTCTTCTCGTACTCGTGATTTTTCAATGTAATAGTAATTGGTTCATTTCGATTGATGTTAGTGACGGAGCAGCAGGTGCTATACTTTCCCAACACACTACAATATTTCCTCACTACTATAATGTCGTTTGTTATTCTGATAGCTTTACTGATACTGGCAACGATATCCAATGCGGAGAAAGGAAGTACAGGCTGTGTGGTGGGGAGGCGGGGATGTCCCACACGTTAGATGAATTTCGTTTACTGCTCAGCTCCATACCAGGGTGCTCCAGTATTTTAATGATTTTTTGATAATTCACTGGCTTCGGTGCTTCGGGAGAACGACTTTACAGTGCGTGATCCAAGAATGAAAATATGCGCTTAGCCGCCATGCATCCGCTGCTATCGCTAAAATTTAAAAAAGGAAAAGGAAAAGGCTGAAGCACTACCGCATCGAGGATGACTGCTGTGGCTCGAAACAAAGCAAGGACTTTTTGTAAATAGGGCCTGACTCGCTCTACACTGCCGTTCTGTACGAAGCATATGAACATATTCTTTCGGGCCAGGATGGGGTTCACACTACAGTAGAAAAAGCTCCCGTATTTTTTCTATTGCCTTGGGATGCTTCTAACGGAGAGTGAGTAAGCATTTCGATATCCAGATTGTCTGCAGCTGAGGGCACATAATTCTCCTGGATCCGGCCGTTTGTAAGGCCTTCCAGTCGCTAAAAGTATTTGGATAGATTTGATTGTGGACTCTTGAAATTCGTACATCCGAAGCGGACTTGGGATGAGCCATTTATGGACTTTAGTTCTGGACTGCCGGAATTCAGAATCTTGTGGTATCTACGTTGACGTCGACCGACTCAGCTCATACGACTGGTTCATTCTCTGCTCCAGTTCTGTCGCGGAGCCAAAGTTACTGTGCGCTGGCGTGCCTCTATAGACAGCCCACACCGTCACCGCATGATCATAACTAAGAACCACCCTGAGTCAGGTGGACAGACTGAGCGCACTACCCGAACTCTTCTACAGCGCTTGTGGCACTAGGCCCACAAAAAAGCAAGTGCTTTCATAAGTTTCTTGCTTGTGCTGAGTGGGCTTATAATACGCCACTACACGCGTTGACCCGCTGCTCTGGGGCAGTTTTGATCTACATTCAGGTGCTCTCTCCGAACTGGCCATGAACTTGATGGTTCGGGGTAAACCCACAGTTACCAGTGGGGGGATTCAGGGAACCACTGGATAGTGCACGCGAATGCATGCGCAAAGCTCAGGACAGACTCGCCCTCAATTATGATAATTGGTGGGGCGAGTATTTGTTCCGACCCCGGAAATTTGTTTTGGTGGACATTGGCAGGGTTCATTAGGTGCACCAGAAGTTGACCAGATACAGAGTTTTATAGCTAAGTGACTGAGACCACTATCCATCCTCTAACTAACCGCTCCTCTAACTTACAACTCCTCCGCTTTTTTCTTTCGAGTCCCTAGAAGTTTGAGGTGCCAACAAGCTAACAATATTGGCTTCCTGGAGTTTTAAAGCTGACAAATTATTGGCAGCCTTTACGTGGCAGGCAGGGGACCCGTCTGGAGGCAGAGCATTTATAAGGACCCGGAAAAGTGCTGGATTATTGGAACTTTTAAGCGTCTGGAAAGACATCTACGCAAGTTACTGAAGAAAATTGTTGAGCGCGAGCCGCAGTGGTTGAAGAGACAGTTCGGGCTTCCTTCACCTGCAGTAGAATTTGCGGTTCTATTTGGTTAGCAACGCTAGTTACAATGGATGGTATTGCCTTGTATCTTTTGTAATTATTTTCCCCACAGTGCATGTTGTGCAGTACATAATTATCTCCAGGGGATTATGCCTAGAAAGCCCCCGGTTCTTTTTGCTATGGAGCTTTCCATACTGAGCATTATGCACAAGCAGTCTTAGGCATGTTGTTCCCCAAATCTTCCTAATACCCCTTTTGGGGCCTTTATTCCATCAATGGTGCCCCAAAACGCCTTATTTTGCACGCAGCGATTGCATCAACAGCCACGAAGCTACTGCTACACTAAGGTATATTTTGATCCCCTTCACAAATTTTGTGTCTTCTCGTAGCGGAAACCTCACACGTTTCCGATCTAACACTCTATCTGACGACACTCGATTCCAGATGCAGTACAAACTTAGTAGGAAATTGTTGGGTATGTTCAAAGATACTCCTACCTTCCCCTGTCCGCGGTCCTCAAAATCTCAAACATAAGGTGTCAGGGACAGCTAGGCTGCGCGAAAGTGCACTCTCCTCCACGCATGCACAACTTTGATACACATAACAGCTGGTGCACACACACACGACGTTGCGAATTCGTGTGTGTGCTAACGCGAAATGTGCAGCAAAGAACATATTTGAGCTAACAAATTCAGTTCTCAGCTCTCTGCCAGGTTAAATTAACGTATGCTGTAGGTGCTCAAGTGAAGCTTCGTCTGCTACAATGCTTCCATTCTATCCTGTTCCTCGACTGACAAGTGTTTTGGCTTCTTATTGGAACTGCTTTTCCGTTTCTTTGGCTCGTGGAGAGTAGGGATTGGGCCGCAACTCTTCGGCTCTCCTGCACGTCGTTGGTTGCCACAGCCAGGTACCGAGCACGACTGGGTCCGTTTTCAAATAGCGGGGAAATGCAGCGAGCCAAGCTGCATTCCAATACTTTCTGCTACACCAGTTATGCATGATTAAGGAGAATCAACACAGTGATTAATTGGCTTGTCTGTAAGTATATATGATTTACTGCATACTGGATTTAGTTAGTAAAAGAAGGTTTCATGTGTGCTAGATGCTATTCGCGACTAGCTGTGGATGCTCGTAGTTCATAGAAAGTGCGGGCGACTGCGCGCAACCTGGATGTCTCTTCTCCTTTATTCCAGAAATGCTGAGAGGCGTGGGCAGGGGAAGGCGGAAGCATTTACGAGAAGCCCTCGACAACTATCGGCAATGCTGGCATCTGACCTGGAGTCGAGCGTCTCCCTACAGAGACCGTCAGATGGCGCGTTGTAGAGAGGACGTGTGTGCGAACGAGAGCTGGCCACTATGTTGTCAGACTAGCAAAGCTCATAAGGTATGCAAGACTTGAGATAAAGTAAGCAAGCACATAAGGAAGAGAAAATAAATTTGATTAGGGTACTCTCCGAGGCGCAGCGGCCTGTACGGGCGGCCTGGAGTACTGGGGCTGCATGCGGCACCGAGTCGTCTGCCTCCAAAGTCGGGGGGTTGAGGAGGGGAAGAAGTTTGACAAGACTATTTTGAAAAGGGTTAAGGGTACATAGAACAGTTGTGAGCCGCCTCTACATGCAGCCCCTCCTGCTATCCGACTGGCTGCGCGTAGCAGGGGTCTACGCCGCTCGAGATGCACAGCATTCTGTCTTCTTGATATCTTGACCATTTACTGGAAACCGTTTCTCTACCCCTTATTGGATTTCTGTATATTAAGGGCTGACTTCTGCTTGCGTAACGCTACAGAGAGGTCGTCGGGGACTCCCGACCCTCTCTTCGTGCGGCGGTTGACTGTTCAGCTCCGGCGCTCCTCTATCCACTCTAAGGGCCTGTGGGGCTTGTCATCACTCCCTTTTCCGGAACTCATCAGCGTGCTGCTGAGGGGCACATCTGTTACACCCAGAGCGTGGGGTCGCCTTACCCGCAGAAATGGACGGCAGCTTCCAGCCACCGCATGGCGCCGCTGCAGGCCTTCCAGGGGGTCCCCCACCCATAGTTGCGGGGCCTCCCCCTCTAGCAGGCATGCCGTCTGGAGGCTTCCCAGGGGGCCCCTCCACCGGCGGACCGCTTCCCCATTTGTTGCCGGGCTTGCCGTATGGCGCGCAGCCTTTGTTACCCCATGGCGGGGGGCCTGGTTTCGCTGCTCCCCCCTTAGGCCCCCCGCATGCACTAGGCCCCTCAGCTGGGGGCCCCGAAGAAGGCGGGGGCCCTTCAGGGGCCCCTCCATCGTGGACTCTGGAGGGTCGCGGTCGGGCAGAAGCAACCCCACGCCAGGGTGTCGCGGGAGGCCGAAATCTCTACATCCACAACGTGTCTAAGGAGGCGCGAGAAGCAGACGTGAAGGCGTTTTTCTCTCAGTGCGGAGAGGTTGAGAGTGTGGCCCTTAGAGTGAATCAAAGGGTGGGGCCAAATGCGGTGTATGCGTTCGTCCTCTACAAGAGTCCGGAGGATGCTAGGCTCTGCTTTGAGACCCTCAACGGCAAAACATTCAGTAAGCGGCCGTGCGTGATGTATTAGATCCGCCTAGTGCAGCTAGGGATTCACGCAGGATGTCGGTTTTGTGACATGCGGACTGCCCGCGGGTCAGTCTGTGAGGACTGCTTTTCAGGTAGTTGTTCTGAGTCGTTTCGGGTTGTGCTTCGGTCCGTGCGTTTTGCGCTGCTTGCTTCCGAACGTTCGCCCATTTGTTGCAGTGTATGTGGTGCGACTTGCGACTGTGCGTGTGTACTACACACGGTTGCATTAATGCCTCGGTACTCTTTGGGTGCTGCTGGTTTCTTGCTGGCTGCTTCTCAGTGGGCCGCTGCATCCGCGTGGAGTACCAGAGGGGGCGCACAGGCGGTCGCAGCAGCGCCGCAGATGATGCTGCGTCTGAAGCGAGTAGCGAGGTGTATCCATCCGGTACTGGTGGTGTGGGGGGGGGGGGGCCCCTAGCACAAGCAATACAAGAGGGCCTCCTAGGGGCAAACAGCCGGAGAGGGGAGCACCCGGAAGCAGCAGAGATTGGGAAAGACGAGACCGACAAGGCCTGAGATCCGCGGTGAGAGTTCTCCCCTTCAGCGCCAGGTGTGAGGCGCACATTGAAAGCAGCTAGTGGGCAAGGGGAGCGGCGTCCAGAGAGGTCACCCTGTTTCGAAGATTTTAGGCTTTGCGTGCAGGAGGAAGAGCGGAGGGATAATAGGGAGTCCTCTAGATCGAAGGATTGGGGCCATGAAGAAGATGCGGTGAGTGTTTTTGACGAAGATGGCGGACTTATGCCATATCAATTTCATGGTTTTTGGAGAGAACCTGCGACTCTTCTTAGTTTGACCTCGTTTAAGTGCCCTCTGCATGTCGGCTTTAACGTGCGTGGCTTCAGGATTTGGAGGAGCCAGGGTGTAGCATGCAGCAACCTACCAGCCAGAGATGTTTCTACAGGACGGCATTGTGTATAGAGACGCAGACAATTGGGGAGCGCAGGGTTGGAGCAGTGCGGCTGTTCGCTTGACTATTGTTGGGGGGGCGGGAGGGGGTTGTACTCATTGTGTACTCTATATATACAGTGCTGTCGAGTTCGTGTGTGTTTGTGTGTCTACGTGGGGTATGGCAAGAGCGGCGCTTTCTAAGTGCTGTAGTGCCTTGGGTGTGTGGACCAGAGATAGAAGCGACGGAAAACCGACAGAAGTGTATCTGTGAAGGTTGAGCATAGAGGCCTGAGTGTAGGGAAAAGGGGATGTTTCGGAGAGAGCTCTGTCCCGTGGCTGTGCGCGTGTGCATACGACCATCATGTGCGAGGGGTTTGATGGGATGCTTCTGTTGTGGCATGTGTGGTGGCTGCAGTTTTATCGGAGGGACGGCCCCAACGATCTTGTGGCAATGCAGCAGCAGCAGCAACAGCATCTGAAGGTGGATGCTCCTGCTTCCCGCGAGCCGCTGCTGCTTTTCCCACTGTTGCAGCACCATCGAGCGCGTCAAGGCCTCTCTTCCCCGAAAGCCTTTGCAACTGGCGGTGCAACTGGCATGGCTGCCTCAGTATCGGGGGGCACCAAAGGTAGTTCCAGTGGCGCTGGAGCCCAGTGGCGCTGGTGTTTGGGGAGGAACGACCGGAAGAAGGTTGTCGTTTTCGCTCTATGCTTGCAGGGCAAAGTGCCCCTAGAGACGCAACAAGTAATAATTATCCCTTGTTGTGGTACTGCGGGTGCGGGTTTCCCATTCCTTATGCGTCTGCTCTGCGTGGAGCTGCTGTGGGGGCTACTTGCGGATCCGCCGTCTCGTATATGCACATCTATATATACATACATATATATATGTATATGCACAGCTCAACCTGCTGCTGCTGCCGTCATTTCTTCGGCAGCACCGGCTAGCCTCATTCGCCTCCACTCCCGATGCTGTTTGTGACACTGGGGGTTTCGGACTGACTTGCGTGTGGCGGCCGTGCAGTTGCAAAGCCTTCTAAATGTCAGCCATCGAAGCAAGTGCGACGAACTCGCGTCTAAGCCAATGGAAGCGGCGGTCCTTCTGCAACCCGCAACCCCAGAAAACGAGGCACCCTTCCAGGAATATGTCTCTTACTTTAGGTCCAAAGAGAGGGTAGGCCTCGACGTCGCTCACAACAGACGGCTGCTAGATGCACGGATGCTCTTCTCGTACTTCTGCGACATGCGGTCTACTGGATGCGTTGTGGGCGGCATGGCTGCTGACATGCAACTTCGCCGCGTGTGTGTGTTGTGCTTTTTGCCATGCATTTGCAGGCAGGAGTCGCCTGTCTCCCAGGTGGCGTGTATTTGTATTTGGTGCCACCTGGATTCCAAGTCTTTGACAAATATAGGCCGCTCTTTCCACTACATCTTCGGAACAGCAACGCGGTGTATGCGCTTTCCCGCCGCTGCCGTCACCTGGGTTGGCTTTGCTCTTGCTGCTACTGTACACTTGACAGGCCTCGGGGGCGGTGCCTATTAGTTGCTCATGAATTTGACGGGCCGGTTCTACGGTGGCTAGACTCCATGAACTGCATTGGATGTGGGACTGGATTTGTTGTGTCTTGCAGAATGGTCGGGCTTCTCGGCCCCCCTCCCACTGCGGCAGGTGCAAGTGCTGCTACCGGCACCGCACAAGCGGCAAATGAACAGCAACAGCAGCAGTGGCAACAGCAACAATCCCCAGGAGCTGCACCACAGCAGTCGTGGCAGCAGTTGGAAGGCCCTCCTGCACACCAGCAGTCGCAGCAGCAAGCCTGGCAGCAGCCGCCCCAACAGCAACAGTCTTGGGAGCAGCAGCAGCAGCAGCCTCAGCAGCAACAGCAGTCATGGCAGCAACCGCAACTTCATCCATCGTGGCCGCAGCAGCAGCAGCAACAACCTCAAGTCAAGCAGCAACCAGCCTCCGCACAGCCGTGGCAACAGCCGCCGCAGCAGCAGCAGCCGCCTCAGCAGCAGCAGTGGGCTTCCGAGCCGATGCAGCATCAACAACAGCAAATGCCTGCGATGCAGCAGCCGCAGCAACAGCAACAATGGCAGCTGCAGCAGCCGCAGTCGTCATGGCAGCAGCCGCAGCAGCATCAAGGTGGTGCTACTCAGGGCAACACCCAGGAGCATCAGCAGCAGGACGGGCCCACTGGGGGGATTAGCTGGATGCAGCAACTGAGCAACATGGCGGCTTTCTTAGGGGCAAAAAAATAGGGTCACTCTGTCACAATAGATGCTACTGGCGTGTCTGGTGCAACTGGCGTTAGTGCTGTAGCAGCAGGGAGCGCCTCGCCAGTCAACAGGAGGTCCTGCCATTGGACTGATGGGCATCAAGTGGGTTTCGAATTTTGGGTAGCAGATTATCGGCTGTGGAGCCCTCGGGGGTAGCGAACACTCCTGCCACCTTTCCAAATGGCTTCACTAGCGGCAGCTGTTGTTGCCCGTTTGAAGCTACGGGCTGCTGGGGGTGCACCTGCGTGCTACCCTCACAGGTTGCCGCCTTCCGGTGGAGTTAAGATGCGGGCAGCGGTACCTTTTAGACGTAGGGGGCCCTACTGCCACCAGGGGAGCTGCAGAGAGGCAGGGGCCAAAGCGACGGTAGGGGAGTCCGGTGCACATCCCATGTTGATGCAGCCCCACAGCGTGAAACTGCCCAAGGGGGCAAAACCTGAAAAAGAATCAAGGGTCCAGGGAAACCAGAGATGGGCAGACAATAGAGAGAGTCGGTGTTCTGGACACGAACATGCGGGAAGGACAGGCGGCAAACGGGACTGTGGGGGAGTGCACTGCATGTAAGTATATCATCAGAGGTTCAGCAGAAGGGAAGGGCGAACGGGAGCAGGAACGAGGCAGAGTGTACGATTTAGGATGTCGAAATGCGAGCAGTCGGAATGGGAGCGGTAGGAGCACATGCGTGGCAATCTGATACGGGTGGCATAGATGTCCATTCGAAGTGCGATACAGGCGCTGCGATGAAGAGAGCTCTCGCCAATCCTTGCTTTTCTGTGTCTTCATCACGCCCTCTGTGCGGGTTAGTCCTGGATTCACTACGAAGGAAGACTATCGAGACGGGTCGTCGGGATATAAGACAGAGGGACCTAGTGGCGTAGGATGCTGCTGCTTAAGAGAAGAGGCAACGAAGAGCAATACATGGGCTGAAACAAAAAGGGCTCACTTAAACTGCAAGATAGTGTATACGGCACTTCAGGTTAATGGCCCAGGCGCGCCCCTTTGCTGCTTTTTTCGCCGCCTTTTCACCCAGTAAGAAGGGGCCATTTTTCAGCGACTTATCCTGCATGCCGTGTCGTACTTTCTAACTCTCGACTTTGTAATGAGGCTCTCCGGGCCCCCGTAACTCTCTGTGTTGCTGTCCGGGCTTTACTGTCTCTAAAAGGCTCCTAATACGCCTTGCAGCTAAGCATAGAAAATATATTTCCGAAGGGAGTTTCTGTCTCTTGCCTTCACATGGATCGGGTGAATAACTCCACAGGATGGCAGCACCACCCGGTGATCGAGTTTCCGGAGTCTTATGCCACAAAGGGTATTTAGGGTGTCTGTTTTTCCTCGCCCCTGCAGATGCCGGCCACTAAGCCCCTGGCACCCCTAATACGCGTGATTGCCTTCCCCCACCTAGCCTATGTGTCAATGCGTCGCTCTAGCAGCACAGCCCAATTGTTTGTGTCATTCCAGCAGTCAAGAACCTTCACGCGCTGCTCTTGCGCACAAAGGCCCAATAACTCGTCCTGTGTAAAGACTCTGTAGTACCTGTATACCGTCTCATCGCCCAATGTGTCCGACGCCTCAGGCACACAAGAGGGGCCCTGAAGGGGTCCGGAGAAACCCCCTGCTTCGTTTCCACCATCCGCGTCAGCAGGTGCGCGTGACTGTTCAAAACGCTTCTGGTAGACCCAAGGTACCAACACTGAAGCAAGCACAGCAGAATCCCGCAACTCTACCTATTGAGGGGAAACGTCTATTTATAGCTACCCGATGCGGCAGATCAGTACAGCGACACTGCCAGAGATGCGCACGAGTAAAATGCAAGTAACAGATGAACAATGTTCTTAGCAGCAACAGCAGCAGCATTTGACCGTCTTGGCTTGGAAATCTTCGTTCCCCGACGCTCCCCGCCTCATGCTGCAGTGCCCTGCAAGTCCGAACGCATTCCAGTGAGCCAGGTAGATGGGCAAACACACTTAGTGAATGCAGAAAGGTTCGGGTCTATGGTGTACAGGTGTGAGCGCACCATACGTAAATCAGGATACGCCCTCCAGGACGTGTAATTCGAGCCAATTCCCCGAGTGCGTGCAACCTGCAAAAAAAAATCGGCAGTAGCGCTCACTCCAACTGCGACAACAAAGGCAGCTGAGGCACAAGCACAGCACTTAGCGCAGGAAACACTATCTTCAGAGATATTCTTGCTGACCTCCTGGCCTCAGTCGTGAGGTGGTGGAGTACTGCAATGCAGAGAACGCCATCAGCAATGCCTGAACGCATAGCCAAACACACGCTCGATAGTCGTGTATTACGGGGAAGCTTCCAGAGTATACTGTCTCAGCACTTAGCAGCAGCTCTTAGGCCTATGCCGCATGTGCTTTCTCACCGTCTCGTATTGGCGTGTGCAAGCAGTCTGCCTGGATCAAACGAGGCCCCAAGCCACCCTGGTGATGTTGGGAGGCGCAACGTAGCAGCTCCTTAGACCTATCGATTCCGATGGACAAGCAGCTGAAGGCCCTTGAGGCACTGCAGCCCTCGCTATCGTCATTGTTGGTGTTGCAGATACCAGGCCTGCAGTGGAGGTACTTTCCATTCCCGCAACCGACGTCCACCAGGAGTGCATCCGGTGCAAGCGACTCAATGAAGGCGGCTACGCGAGGCCACGGTCGGTTCCTATGTAGACAGACACTCTTCAGAGAAGCTATATCTGCTGAATTCTCACTGTTTCCACATTAGTGCGACATTTTGTAGCTCTTACATGCACTGTGTGCTACGACGGCTGCCCCCTCAACTCACGTGCTGCCACGGGCGGCTTTTAGCCGCCGCAGGATGCCTCCAAAGATGCCCCGCCATGCAGCAGCAAAGAGGGCTTGTTGAATGCATGCAACAGTGAAAAATCAAAGGGCTGACTTTGAGAAACCAGATATTTCTCTGCACACCTGAGTAACATTACCGGGTAACAGTTTACGGTTAAGGGCTAGGTACCTGGTGTGATTGAAGTGTGGCGCGATTTTCTCATAAATATAGTCAACATGCTGCCGCTCGAGTGCAGCTCCTAGCAGCTCAGGGGGTACGGCCACAGACTCAGGGCGTGAAGGCGCCTTTTGCTGCCGCTGCCGTCGAGGATGCCCACGTCGGCGATGCTGTTTGCAATCCTGATGCCCATCCGCAGGTTCTAAATGATGCTGTTGCTCTGGAGGAGTGTGCTGCCGCCGCTGAGAATCCCGCTGTGGCCCCTCATCGCTGGGGGCCTCAGCAGCCAAAGTGGCCCTCATCGACATGGAATGATCTCTACCGTCTCAGCAACAGCAACGCAGCGCTAGGATGACAGATCTTACTGGATAAAATCGCAAGTGGAAGAGCGCGTTCGCTCTGTATACATACATATACATAAATATGGATCAAAGTGTGTCCGAGGCCAAGAAGGCTGGACAGGGGGTCCTCGGGGGGCAGGTGCAAGGAGTGACTCTATGTGCTCCCAGGTGGTTTATTATTGCGGAAGTCCACAGAATTCAAACCATGTTGGAAAAAAAACAAAAAGCTTGCCTGATGAAACAAACTCCCAAAGGCCTAAAGGGTAGAACCGCATCTATGGATCCTTGGACAGCCGGATGGACCTCCATGGGATGTGGGCCCCAATGGGATATGGGCCCCCATGGGCCCCCGGAAGCTTATCAAATGTAGCAAATACTGTGGAAGCCCAGGGATTCCGGTGTTTCTATGGCAATTAAAGCACAATGTAACCCTTGCAAACCTTACATTTATCGGATTGCCAATCAAAATTATTGGAGATTAGTCTGAGGCCCACTGCCGGGTAGCTCGGGAGTTTACCTTGGTGGTTGAGTCTCCAGAATCAGACGTGGCACCCGGGACCTTCAGCAGCAGTGCCAGAAACTGCGGCTCCAATTGTGGCGACAAGGACAATGAAAACAACTGCGTGAGCAGCAGCTTCAGCGGCGGCTCGAGCACTAAGGGAAAGGAACGCATCAAGGACTCAGCTATTTCGCATTAATAGTATGGGCAGCATTTCTCAGTTGCTGCCGTTACCAGAAGCAGCATAGCCAGCTGCAGAAAGTTTGTGTAGCTAGTATGTTACGCTCTAGTTTGGCTGTACGTTTAGCCAGTCCACGTGAATCATCGCCTCAGACCGGCACAGCTGTTGTTGTTTCGACTCAGGGTTCTTTTGTACACACACACTGGTAAAAGCATTGGAGTGACGGCAGCCCGCCGGTTCTGCCTTAGCAGTCCAAAGAACTTCTGGAGCTACTTCAGCACAAAATAGACCCATAAGAAGCAGGTGCGTCTGCCGCTGCTGCAGCTGTAGGTGACAAAGTTCAAGTGGCACAAACGTGGAGGCGCCGCCTTTAGATGATAACGCGGTAGTGGAGAGCGCAGCGACTGATCAGCAGCAACATGCGGTCATGCTGCATGCAGGCACCAAGCACCTGCGACCGTGTTTTGCCGTTCTTTGTAGATGAGGGGGCACGTATGATGTGCCTTCTTTTGAGGGAGGGCATTTGCAAGACCTTCTTGAATGACTCACATAGGCCTCCAGGACTACCTAGTGAGTTCCTGGCCTCAAACTTAAATTGATGCTTCAAGGAAGAAAGCCAACCTGCAGTAGTGGGGAACCTTCAGGAGGCTCATTTAGCCTCTGTTGCTGGTGCAAAAGCCACAGGGGCCGACTGCGCCTCTCTATTTACAGCAAAGGAGCTTTTCAGGAGGCCCGACTGCCCTCTTGTTGCTAAAAGCCACGGTGAACCAGGGGCCCTGGGTCAGCAACAACAGCACCAATCAAGTGGAAATGTCAGCCTGAAGCTTCCTGTAAACTGAGAGCCTATCTCACGGGGACTATAAAATATCAGAGCAACTTGTGAAGCGGTCACAACGGCTGCAAAAGAGAATGGCCGGGGTTTTGTGTGCTCGCAGTCTGTCGCCTACGCCATAGTTGCTCAATTCACCATTCCACGTCCGGTGCCGTGTACGCCAACTGAGGCCTTCAAAGCTTCAGAGCAAGCGTTTTTCGATTGCTCTCTTCAGCTATACCAGTTACTCTACAGCCTTAGAGCTTGAATCTTCCAGCAGTTTAGGCGCAAAAGATTTGATTTCTGAAAAATATAATAATTATGCTCTGGTCAATGTTTGTTTGAGCGTGATAGCCTGTGTTACTCCTCTCAGGGGCTCTGTGTACGTAGGGGCTGTGGTTTGAGGTTACCCATATAACTCTACGAAAAACTTCTTCTCGATCTTTCCGCTTCTATGACTGCACTATGTGCTTCCTGGTTTCTTATACTGTTTCCTTCTAGCCTCCACGCATGGCCAGAGCACCCGGACTACGGTATTCGCACAGCTCCTTCATCTCACTTTAAATTGCTTGCGCTGGTCCGGGGGGCCGAATCCGGCCAGGTGGCTACAGCGGTCGATAGTCAGACAACACCAGACGAGGTCCACAACGAACAAAAATCGACAACCAAATTTCAACGCAAACGCAATTCGGTGCCCTATGGGGAGCACCTACGGGAATACTCGGCGTAACGGCTGTGCTCCTACTCCAGAACTCATAGGTGCCATGCAACGACTTCTTTATCAGAGTATTTGAGTGAGACTTAAGTAAAAAACTAGAAGAAATGGGCAAACGCTTACGAGTTCGCGGACGTGCTAATGTATGACGAGCTGCCTGCCGGCTGGCCAGTTGCTGGTGCTCCGGCGCACCTTTACGAGATTATGCCCGGGTCAGACCCGTGCTCTTTTCCGCGGTATCGGAAGTTCCCACAGCGTAAAGAAGATAATGAGCACCAGGCGATGATTTCGCTTTAGAAAGGCAAATTTTAGGCATTGGCTGGTGTAGTTCAGGCTTTACCTAGTGTGACTACCGAAAAAGGACGGAAGGAAGCGCTTGTGCGCTCCATCTAGACCCCTGAGCAAGATATCTGTGAATCAGAAGGTACCAGTGTGGCATGCTTTTGGATTACTCAGCAACCTACACAAACCAACGGTCTATTTGATATCTGACTCCACGAACGCCTTCATTGAATCCCCACTCGGTTGGATGACGGACAAACAACGGGAGTCCTTGATTGCACACGCAGAAGTAGGTATGTATATATGTCTTTCCAAAGTGTTAATGCCTTAGCTGAACAACATCGTCATATTACTTGGGATTTTTCGGAGCCTATCAGAAAGAGGTAGGCGGTTGTCTACATAGACGATGTTTGAGAATTCTGTCGAACTACTCGAGTACGTACAGCATCGACTGTAACAGCCCACCTAGGGTCTCTGTAGGAAGACACTTAACTCAAGAGTCAATGCAAACTTAGTAGGATGCTACTGGGTGCTATTCCAAAATACCGACCTCTTTCCCCTGCCCGCGGACCTCAAAGGTCCCGACATGAGGGCAAAGGATCAGCTAGGGCGCGTGCAGCTGCAACACCTGAGCGCCCCAAGCATTTACTGCTAGCTGTGCATGGCATCCAGTTCACAGGTATGCAGGATTGCATCTTCTTGTATCAGGCTACCAATACTCTGCGGTAGGTACGATGCACGAACAGGCAAACCAAGTAGTCAAATCCTTGATATCCATTAGCTAGATATAGCTATTTTAGTAGAGCGTGCTCAATTGTAGCTTGGCTCGATACATCGTCACCTTTCATTTCACAACAAACTTCTAAGCGCTCCGTACCTGTGTAGAACAGCTCAAGTGTTTCTGCACTATCGCCACTCTCCATACAGGCAAAAGTGCGAAGAAGTGCGAATTGGAAGCGAAAACCGTTGGCACAAATAGGTTAAAAGAAATCGAAGGGAGGAAAGACTTACACACTATGCAGCAACGAACGAGGGACCAAAGCGACGTGACCACGGAGGCACGCTCGCTCACTGCCGTCAGAGAAATGCAACGTGTGAGCCTCCTAATACAACAAAACAAAACAAATAGGATGTACAGAGCGAATTGAATTAGCTATTTGATGAAAAGTGTCTCTGGACCTCGTGCAAGGTCTGCGTTCCATTACAGGCAGTGCATGCAGTACACTTATTTTTAGTGCTCCGAAACAGGCACAAAGAAGATCATAGGCACTGCAAACCTAAGAGCGCCTTCGAAGAAATCTGAGTGTAGAGATTCCCCCATCAAATTCTATCCAGTTTTAGGAAACGCTGCTTCCCTGTTTACATTGTACTACAGGTAGATTGGCTTTCATGTTTTGTTTCTCCGGTTGTCTCTCGAGAATGAGGAGACGTTTACGATCAGACTATCTAGTGGTGTGCGTTCAATGGAGAGGCCTAAAAGCTGGTGTCGATTTCACAATGTGTCTCTCTTACAATCAGGTCCATGCACTGCTGAACGCCAAGTCCCATAAAGAGCTGATAGTGAAGGAGTATCACGTAAGCTATCAGAACCAAAGCTGTTTAAGCAGTACCCGTAGATGCATGCTGCAATTTTATTGAGAGCATGCGCTGGAGAAGGAAGATTACCAGAAAATGCGAGGTGTGGATCTATGGTGACTAGCGTTGTTAGTCACCCACAGCCGTAACTTCTCCCGCAGGACAAGAAAGCTCGCAAATGCTGCTGCTTCAACCAATGAGGTTGGCAGTTTCACCATGCTGCCTCAGTAAGTCCCATGTAGTTTGTTTCCGGCGAAAATTACTGCTAAACTTTAGTGCATCTACAGCTCCCTGAGGATTCGCCGCCTCAATGCCAGTTGAGTGCCTGCGGAGGATAGTTCGCGAAAAAATCGTGGAGGTTGAAAGCTATTTGATGAAGCCAGTATTGATTGTTCTGTGGTAGCTAAAACTGCTAGGGAAAAAAAGAGTGTAAGAACAAGTGTTGACTCGTGTAAGGATAGCAAAAAGTCCTAACTACCTGGCCGCAAACACCCTTGTTTGGTCACTACATGTACCTCATAACCCTGCTATTCACAAGAACCAATATCCAGGTTCATAATGTAAACCGGCGCGACGCTTTTCATCACTCCATACTTGCCTCTCTTGAGCTTTCTACACCAATTTTCGTCCACCAGCCAGTGGATTTCTGAAATTTTCCACTGCAACGGGCGAATGTTGAATCCCGCCCACCATTTTTAGCCTTGGGTCGGAGAGGAGCTCCTCATTGTAGACCAGGAATGCGGGAGAGCAACTGACCGACGAGCGTACTGTCCTGTTATATACCTGCTCAGCATCAGAACGACACTAGATCTACGAACCAAAGTATTTGTCCACAGACAAGCTCTCCTTTGTCAGGAGCATAGGGATGATGCGCTCCGCATGTCCACACGCTTCAGGATGATTCGCAGTCGTCATAATATGGTCACTGTGTGGATGGGTCGTGAAGCCATGTCAGACGGCATGAGCAAACTTCGGGTTTCTGCCCGTAATGCTACTCTTGAGTGATCTAGGCTCATACCAGAAACGAGTTAAAATAGTCTGATCAACCCTTTGGGCTGTTACAGAGATCGTGCAAGCTGGGAAATGAGCATATCCGCTGGGTTTGTCAAATAAGACGTAGACAAGATTCTTACCCTTGACCCCCAGCAGTCCAACATCCACGTTTCTCATCAGATCAGTTCCAGTCCAATCAGGAGTATGAATGCCTTTAATTAGGCATTTTATAAGGGGCAATTAGCTGTAGCTTCAACAAATGCTCGATAGAAGTTCATTGTAAATCCTTCCCAAAGGCTCTTTCTTTACTCTATTCCTGCCCCTGGGGTTCGGGGAGGACCAGTAGCTAGGCTGCAAGTTGTTGAGCCTTTCAAGTTCACCTAATGCTCACGGCTAGCTGGACAAAGCATCGAGTAGATATGCACACATCATTGATTCTTTTTGTATTGAAGTAACGCTGCACTGGAATAAATACGAGATGCCAACAAAAAAATAAGCGTTTATTCTTTCTACTTATTCCTTGTTGAAGACATCTGATTTAATAAAATGTGCAATAGTTGAACTCAGCCCACATGGGTAGATCCTTGATGTTTGGTCTAGCATATTTCGCAGGGCCTTTGCATCATTTGCAGTTGCCTGGTGTACAGGAAGACCTAATGTTGGCCAGATCAAGCTGTTCCGTATTTGATGGCTTCCAGCTGACCCTTCAATGAATCACGCGTGTTTTACGAGATGCCGAGATACCTGTCGCACTTCGGCATTTTTGCACGTAAGGCTGCCAAGAGAATCAGTGAGAAGACATGAATAGCTAGAAAGAATAAAATCGTATGCACAAGTTCCGGCTCAACAAAAGGTTACACTCACCAACATGGTAGGCGGGTGCCGGGTGCGGCTGCCGTTCGCAGATGCTACGAAGTTTGCAGGGATTTGTTTGAAACTGAAAAATATCTTCAAATCGGAAGACGTGCAAACACACTATGCCATTTAAAAACAAGGAGGAACAATTATAGCTGCAATATATCACAGAACAATATGCAGTCTTTGTAACCTGCATTGTACAATTGTCTATCTGAATGTCCGATGGTCAGACGGGTCACTAATCCTAAGGCTGCCCACGCAGCAGCAATGTAGGATACCAGTTTCAAAGGTGTTGGGATTGCTTTAAGCTTGTATGAATATCACATATAGCTGGTATTTCATACACTCACGTTAAATTGGGCGACTTCGGAGGTTGCAGGTTTGTGGCAAGGCGCTGGCCCTTGGGGGCGACGAACTCAGGCAACACAGGGGCAAAGGCGGGGTAACCTCTCTTCAAAGTCACCGAATGCTCTCTTTAAGTATTAAAGACAGCTAAGTACTTCCCAAAGTGCCATTGTATTGAGTATTTCAGTACTTGGTATTCAGTACACTGCGCTTCTCAGCGCCAGGTAAAGACCCAGGGAAGTGGCAGTCCACGCGACCTGCCGCCACCGCACCGGGAGCTTGTTGGATTTTTTGGTTGGGTTTCTCTCAGTTTGGTTGTATTTTTTCAGTAGGTCCATACCTCTGCGTCGTAATGAGGAGTTTCAGGTATATTCTGTGCTCTTTTGCGGCGTGTATGCTGCCCATCTTCTGCGGCGATGTCGCAAACGGGAGTGCAGTGCTGGGCAGTTTACTGCGTCCTTTTGACACCCTCAGTCTACATTCAGCGTTACACCCCTCGAGCTTGCTTAGTGGGGATCGTCGAGTGCCCGGAGCTGAAGTGCGTTCTTTCCTCCCGAAACCCGGAGACGTGAGTCTTTTGGACGCAACAAATACCGTAGAACTGCTTTCAACAATCAGACAGCAACGCTCTTCACTACCAGATCATATTCAACCAAGGTCTACCAGCTTTTCAGGCAGGAAATTCACCATTGTCTCGGCTCTGTTTGGAGACGACGTGGCGGATCAGAAGCTGAGAGAAGGTTTTGGCCCGGTGAGCAAAACACACACTGCCCCTCAAAAAGGATCTTGCATAATTAGAGGCTCACAAGAGTAATCACGTCAGAGTACTACGCTGACACTCCCTAGAAGCGAGTATCTTTTCTTGTCCCTCTTCTCAGCCTGGGACAACCCACTTGGAGCAAGATACTCTGAAGCGGCGGACTACCACAACGGAGTGGAAAGCGACAGATCCACGGCTCCGCAGCGTAAATGAGGCTTTAGGGCTACACGGCTATCCACCGCTGCCGTATGTGCCTGCTTTCCTTAAAGAAAAGGCCAATGCATCCCTCGGATCAGACCCTTTAGAGCAGCTGCTTGAGCACATCAACAGTGGGAAGGGTCTCCCGGAGACCGTCATTAACGAATTCACTTCAGATGACTATAACTCGATCCGCACCACTTGGCGCCTTCCTTCCACAGTCTTACCCTCACCAAATAAGGGCCTCGCCAACAGTCCGTGGCCAATCCCCCACCGGAACAGCTCTGCGCAGGTATGTCGAGCATGCTGGTATCAAGGGGTGCCCTGGCTGTGATATGTGCACATATTGGATAGTCAAGGCCCAGATTCCGTTTGGCTAAAATGCATCATGAAAAAAGGAAATGCGAAAACTATTGCTATTGTTTCCGTAGGCTAGCACCACCCTGGCAGGTCCTGATGGGAGCCATCGTCTGAGTCACAACTTTTTGAATCAGGCTATGGTAATATCAAATCCAATAACGCTATTCTATACGCCAGACGAAAAATATCTCTGGGGTAGCAGCTGGACTACCATTTTCAAAGTAGCACGCACAAAGACCTCACTGTCAATTGTGGGCTTTGTGCCAAAGTCAGTAGAGACCATCCTAGGAGACAAATTCCACGGAGCCTATGCGCTCCTCACACAAGAAGTAAGTGGGCAAATTTAAGCATGGTCAATGTCAGAATAAAAGCACTCAGGTTAATAGCTCACAAAGGAAAGAGGGAGCATGTGCAAAAGAATGGAGAGGATCTTACTGGCTCATGTGCTAATGCATAGGTTGCTCTGATTACCGAAAGCCACTAGGAGGGCTCTTCGTAATCCTTGTACTAGGACTGTGGCATAGCGGCAATGCGAAAAGATTGCTTTACTGTCAAACGATTTTAGCTGCTGTTTCTGCGCAGGAGGTTTTCGTCGTTTCGACTGGCAAACGTTTGGAAGCATACTACGACGTGCCAGGCTCCAATGGACAAAAAATCATGGTACACCCCGAGGCTTTTACCCTGAAAGAGGGACTCCAAAATCTTGGAGCAGAAGCACCTCGGTCTCAAGAAGTTTTCCGTGCCCTGTGCATGACTCACGACGGCCACATTGCTTGGGTAACCAAGGCACTTGGCATATCTGAACTGCACGTACCCCCGCTTACATGGCTACCGCGTGTGCCCAACCTATTGAGAACGTCTGGAATTCTCCTAATATTATAAAATACCGGTATCATCGAATTAAATGGCGTAAACAATGCTTATACAAGCTCATGGACCAAAATGGTTTTGTGCACTTTTCCAGAAAAGGAATATGGAATGTTTGGGTCAAAGGTTACTTTACGTGATTTTGCTGGTGTTTTACGCATAAGTCTCGACGCGATTGAGAGCACTACTGTCGCCATGCCAGTTGAACGCATGCGCAGTTACACACTAAAGCATCTTGTGCTCATATCATCTAATACAGCTAAATTATAGTAGTTTGAGTGTGTCTAAGCTATTAAGTGCGGCACCCTTTCTCTATCGTTATCGTACAGGTCACCAACGTTGGTCGTATGGGCATTTTGAGCCGCGACGTGAAGAATGGCGGTTTCCGCAATGCTTTGGCCACTCTGATGTTAGGCTCGGCAAAACAAGCGAGATCGCCTGCAAAGACAGATAAGACAATAACCCCTGATGGTATATCAGGTTCATCCGATGTCCCTGAAGTTGAAGCAGAGGATCTCGACGTGTCAAACAATATTGCGTGCGATAACAAGGGTGGAATATATGTGGTATCTTCCAAATACATGCACAAGGCCGTATGGGATGGAGAGAAGCTTACTGTGTCATGGGAAGAACCATACGATCTTGAACCTGCATTGGGAGGGACAGCCCCCGTGCGCCTTGGGGAAGGTTCCGGCAGTACTCCAACCCTCATGGGCACGGAAGATCGTCAATTTGTGGTCATCACGGACAGCTCAAAGCTGATGAACCTGGTAGTACTGGATGCACAAACGGGAAAGGTACATGCCAGGCATCCAGTTACCTTCGGAGATCCAGCAGCTAAAGAAACTTCGAGTGAGCAGTCCGTGCTAGTTCATGGTTGGCGCATGGCCGTTGTTAACAATCAGCCCACTGAGGAGGCAAAGATGTCTACCAGCTTCTTGCAGTACCTTGGAAGCCCCAATAGCTTTCTATCAGGACTGAAGTCAGCGGGAATTCAGTTGCCTCTACTTAATGAAACAATTGCCTCGGCTCTTCCAGTCATTGTGGGGGATGCGCCCAAGGGCGTAGAGCAATTCGAGTTTGACCCAGACACCAAAGTAATTCGCACCACCTGGGTTAACAAGAAAATCTCCATTCCTAATGGCATTCCAACTATGAGTGCAAAGTCACAGCTGATGTATGGCGTGGGCAAGCGCTGCCCTCTCGGGGGAGATGCAGCACCCCTTCGAGGCATGTGGACTCTCGAGGCGCTCGACTGGTGGACCGGTAAGAGTAAGTTTCATTACAACATTGGGGCGGGGCCCATGAGCAACTCTGTTTATGCGGCAACGCAAATTGGCCCAAACGAAATTATCACGGGAACTGCAGGGGGTATCGTGCGCATCCTAGAGGATTGAAAGTTCCTTTTATACAGCCTCACAAAGATCAGAAAATGCGAGCAAATCACCGAGCTGGATGTTGTGTCTCTCAATACGCAAGCGAGTTTTGGGAAAGGCTGCTAATATTTCATATTTCAGATGTCTGATTGTCGCTCCAAGTCCTCCGTTGTTTAGCGGTGCCTGGGGCATTAGAATGCGGCACGTATGCTGCAGTGCGCCTTTCGGATGGTACTCTGATAGCACCACCATGCAGTGCCTCATGGACCAAGTGGCCCAGTAATGTGGAAGCACCCCAGATGAACATTGTAAACCAGGTTCCTACAGAGCAGCACTGACGGATTAGATCTAGAAGGGATTTCTAACGAATTTACTAGATTTAATGCGGACGGGATTGCCGTTCCTTGCGAAAGGGATGATACACGACAGAAAGAAGTGGAGCTTCTGCAGCAGGGCCATGACTGCCCAACAAACAGCACTTTCGACGCAAGTAGGATGAAATAGGACGGAATGTTCGCCAATGTTCACTATGAGCTTTTCGCAAGTTTTATGGAAGGGCACGCTACAGTCAGTTTTCCTTCTCTGGTGTTACCAAAACCTTCTCTTTTGATCAGACAGGATTCGGAATTTCTGCCTGTGAGTGGGTAGGCCGGATACTCTCGCTTACAGATACGACGCGGCGCTGCGACGTCGAAATTACACAAGAAACGGGTGGACAGATGGTAGTGGACTGTTCATGCATATGCCTTCCGTGCAGTATAATTCAGCCAACAGCTCAAAGCTGCTTTCTTCCACTTCAGTCTACATTGGCGGCCACTATGAACGAACATCCCTTGGCGAACAGAGGTAATTCAAAAGGCTCGCAAGTACCGTATGCAGTGTGATGAAAACACACTTGTCGGCTAACCGGCTAGGAGATGGGAGCCAAGCCATTCCGCCGCCCCATGACTAGCAGAGGTACAGGTAAACAGACAACGGAGTCGCCAGCTAAGCGTGGCAACTAAAATACCTTAACGCCTTAAAAACAGCCCTCCTCATATGTCAGTAAAAGTCCAATGCTGGTCGCAAATGGTACATCGATTGAAATAGATAGCACAGAAGAACTCTAGAGCAATTCAATTTCATTTTAAAGACTCATACACCACCAAGAGTAATGTCTGCTAACGTCGCTACCAGAGGTCGCGAAAAGTCGTACCTTTGGTAAGTTGCCTTGCTAATCTTGTCTGGAAACAGCATACATGCACCAACGGCGAGCGAGGGGTTGAGCAGGCACATTTCTAGCTGCAGTGAACACGAAGCACTTCATACTAAAAGTTGCACGAAGCGAGCGTATCTGCAATCTTGTACTGCTCAGATCTGGTCGAGATCTTGACGTAGCACACCAGTTGCCCCCAAACACTAGAGAGTTCCTCCCAATGCACCTTTCAAATGTCCGAAGTAATTTCAATAGCGATGTGGTCGCACTTAGCAATATCTGAGGACCAAACGACAGAGCCTCATATTACAACCTCGGGCCTCGATGTGCTCTGAGTTATGGCATTAGACGAGCTCTTGCCTGTAAATGTCGATATGCCGCAAATGACTGCATTTTCAGGTCGTGTGGCTTGAACTCTATATGACACTTCGTGTCCCAGCCACTTACATGCTCTAAATGTTTAAATCAGCCGTGGTTTTTAACGACTTTGGCGTAGACCATGCCTCCTGAGTCCTTTGGATTTTGGTGTGGACACGCCTGAGAAGTATTCCGAGCAAGCATCTTAGCTCACAGAGTGACTAAGGCGCATCGCCTTGACTGCCCGCATCGTTTAGATTTAACCGTGCCACGCTCATTGTATTCCTCCATCTAAAGTTCACACAAGCATATTCGTGGCTTCAGACTCGATGCACATTCTACAGAAAGTTATTGAATCCCTTCTAAAAAGGCTCCCAGTTTTCCCTGCCTATGCACCTCAGTACTCCGATACGAGGGTAGAAAGCATGCGATTTGCTGCACCCTATAAGCACTCTGTGCATTCATGACGAGTTTCCACGAACTACTAGTTTACGGACACAACAGTTTTACTTTTTATATTACTGATTGCGTCGTTCAATGAAGTAGATGTACAAAGAGACAAGGCATTAGTGAAAAGTTCATCGTTCCATTGTCATATCTAACCTGTGCAGTCGCAAATACATACGCATGGCAATCTGTGCTTGATTCACCTAGTAGTCCGCCCCCGAATTCAGAACAAGTGCCCTAATGCTGCGTACCTGTACGCCGAGACCAACTGTGAGCACAACAGCTCAAGTGCTTCTGCACTATCGCCACTCCCAACGCAAGCAAAAACGCGAAGAAGTGCAAGTCGGAAGCGAAATGCTGGCACAAATAGGTAAAGAGATTTGAAAGTGGAAAGGCTTACACACCATGCAACAACGAACGAAGAGTTTAAGCGACACGACCACGGAGACACGCTCGATCACTGTTGTCAAATAACTGCAATACGTGGGCCTCCTGCCATAAGAAAACAGATGGCGAATAAAATACGTATAGCTAGCTGGTTTATATACTTGTTGAATAGTGTCTCTTGGCCTCAAAGGGCGAGGTCTGCATTCAAGCACAGCATGAAGCACAGTTGTTTTAATGCTCGGAAACAGTCACATGAAAGATTTTAGGGCCTGCAAGCCTGGAAGCGCTTTCAAAGAAATATGACTTTACAGAATAGCTTAGCAATAATAACCAAGCCTGCTCGAGCAGTGCCCGTAGATTTAGGCGCAATTCCATGGAGAGAATTTGCTGAGGAAGAAAGGCCACCAAGCACCGCGAGAACTGGAATCCATGGCCACTAGCTTTAACCACCCAGAGCCCTAATTCTTCCGCAGGGCAACAAAGCTTGCAACGGTTACACATTCAGCCAGTGCTCACCACGTTTGCTGAGAAAGTCCCATGTAGTTTGTATTCGGTGACAATTAGTCCTAAAAGTTGCTGACCTTGCTGGGGATTCGTTCAATATTCTCCCTAATAAAGTAGTGCAGATACTGTCCACTCCGGTGAACAACTCAAGGGCTTTGCAAACTCTGCAAACCTTTTGTGAGGTGAATTAGAGCCTGACTGTTGGTCTGGAAAGTGCAGTGACACCCATTTAAACAGTGCCGGCTTCGCTCATTCCCCGGCACACTGCACATGTACCCGTTTCTCGCACTGGATGCTGCTGCTTAGTTTTAGTGAAGCAATAAAAACAGTCAGCAATAAATACATGCTTTGAAAGATTTGTAGCCTCTTGGGTGAAATTGGCACCCTCAACTCTGTCTACAGCATCGATTCTGAATAATAACTAATTCTAACATTGGGACAACACGAGTACAGGAGGAGTTGTTAGGCTGTTGAATGGTGTCCTTGCTGCGGCATCGCCCTCCATTACCCAAATCACCTACTGGTTTCTCAACAGTACAACAGTAGAATGAGGGAGGCACCGAGCCACTCAACAAAACTTCGCTGATATGATGCAGGGCTAAAGAACATTGCAACGTTTTTGCGAATGTGTAAAAGCCACACCTTGATTGCTTCAATTTGTGTCGAATCTGGATCAACGCATGCAGGAAGAACACGAAATCCTAAATCGCAATTGTTCTCACAAATTACAAACACTTGCATGCCTTTACTTGCCACTGCTTGTCCCGCATCGGATGAGGCAAAGGTCATGGGTGTAGTAAGTGCTCTTTGGCGGTGTGAATGAATTCCAAAGTGACGTTTGTGTAGGCAGCTGTTTGGCTTTCCTTAATCGCTCGTAGAACTCCCGACTAATGTGCCGTTGCAGCTCAACCGGAGTATCAACAAGTCCTGACAGCATGCAGTTGTGCCGTGAAAAAACATTTTTGTGCATGAAGTACGGGTGAAGGGGATTAATGAAGTGTCTTTGAAGTCAAATGTCGACTAGACTGGTTTTCCGTCTGAGTTGCCATTATGAAGTATCGGGAAGTTCTACTTCAGAGGGATGCTGCTCAGTGGCGTAGAAGTAACTCCCATGTCCCACGCTACGTCTTTCAAAGACCAAAACCGGACTACGCCCCCCCAATTCTCGTGAATTTCTGCAGTCTCCCTTTGCCTGCTAATCATTCGCCTGCCATTAAAGATTTTTCATGCTGAGGACACCTCTGATATGGCGGAACACATCTTGAAGCTCTGCCGGTGTTTAGCGTAATACGGTGCGCCGCCCGATTGCTAAGCGGCCAGCTTGTCCCATAATCATTGTTTACAACACAAATAGCTGTTTGTTTATGCTTTTGTATACCTGCTCTTTCTCTACTGATCACATACCATAGCATCCTAATAAAGAACTGCATACAGTGCACAACAAGATGAGTATTCACAACTGTCTTCCCTTGCTGCACTATTGAGCCAGTGGTATGAAAGCTGTATCAAGTTATTGGGGTGCCAAACCTACCCTGCTTGAAATATGTGGAATCCGCATTGTCAGGGGAACCACGAGTTGGTTCTTCCTAGCGTGCTGGCGCCCTGAAATCTGCAGCTGGGTATTGTAGACGCATGCACGCCTTCCATGAGATCACCCATGGCATACCTAAGATTACATTGTGGTGCACAAATTCATCACGGAAGTTACGAACCATGCTGCTAAAACACTATTTTGACCAGTCATAGCAGGAAACTGCCAGCCTTCCCAATCTTTACGCTCTCCCGCCCCTCAGCGAGCCCGAGTCTTTAGGACAGCCCGACAAGTGAATTCGCAGAGTGCACTCCCGTCTGTTCATATCACCGATCATCTTCACAATTAACATCGAGTAACCCTGGCAATCTTGGTGATTGCTTTTAACCTGTGTCAGCGCAGTATTGACACGTGGTGGGACTCCATCCCCGCTTCTACTATGAATGTCCCCCTTCATTGCACCGCAGCCTGCGTGGAAGACTTTCCGTTTCCCCGATGCGTCTTTATGCTTACCAAGTAGCGTTTCGCAAACCAGAAGGGCTTCTAGAGAGCCTCCGGATGTGCACTCTGCCGGGGCCATTTGTCCGCCACTCCGAAGCAGCATAGCTCGCTTTCCAGCCCGCTTCCGCTGGGCCCAGTCCCGTTGTTCGTTCTTTCCAATTTTTCGCGCACCCCGATTTTGAATTATGGGACTCAGTTGCTTACGGTATAAGTGGATGATTTGTTGAAGGAGCCCTCTGGGACTGCTCATGAACGCGGATCCCGCCCGGCTTCCTTAGTTTGTCTGGCTTAGGCTGTGGGCTTAGGCCGGTTGACACGGCGCTCTCATCCTTGGGTTCTATCCTTAACCTTGGCTGTCCCGGTTAAGCTCGGGGAGCAAGATACGCACTAGCTTGCTCGCTAAGCCTGAAGGAGATGCTTTACTTGTGAGAACCTAACCGGCCGGTTGTTTCTCTGCTGAGCTGCTGTCCACCTCGACCACAAAAAGTAAACATTTCGAGAATACCTGAGATAAACTATCGACAAAGTGGTTCTTCACCTGCTTTGTGGCTTCTGTTAACCAAAGCCCCATATTTCTCAATATGCGGATTTTATTGACAGGTAATTATCCGTCAGCTCTCTCAGGTCTCCCAACTGCTTTATATTGAGCACATCTCGACATAAACTAATTAGTCCGTGCTTTCGTGGAGAATTGGGGTGTAGTACTGCCTACAAGCAAACAATATCCACTAGGTGAATGAAGCCAGCTTTGAAGTGCGTCTTACCTCGATAAATGTGCCGCGAGAAGCCTGGGATTCTCCTCCTCTGGGATCTACAAAGCAAGACACATCTCCTATCAGCTAGTGGAATTTTTGCTTACCCGCCCATTATTACGGCCTGCACAATATTCTGGCTGGCATGGCGTCACTGATGCATCTAAAGACATTTTAGCGACTTTTGAATCGTGCCGTTCTACCAGCTGTGAAGCTACTGAGTTCACATTGGCTTCCAGGCCAGCCTCGCCGGCCCCAACAGGCATTGCGCCACAGTAAACTTCGATTGCCATGAAGTATCCCGCCTCAGCCAGATGCCGAAGACAGTGAAACCTTTGAGGTACCAAATAACTTGATTAAAATCAGGCAACTGCGATAGGGAGCCATGAGCAGTGCATACAGCCTCTTAACAGCTCACTGACCGTAGCAAGCTGCAAATATCATCTAGCGCATGCGCACTCAACATTGCACCTTGTTCTGCTGCTCTAGCAGCGCTCCGCAATAAAAGCGATGCACGAGCAAAGAAGTCCGATTGTCAATTCTTTCTGCCTTTAAGCTGAATATAGTGTAATAGGAGTTCGATTGTAGCTTAGCTTTGTGCGAATCTTATGCCCCAACTGCTCAGAAGCAATGGAACTCAGTACATGCATTTTCAGACAGAGCTGAGGTATCGAATATCGGAGAATGATCCTGCTACTATGGACATATAAGCTCTTCATGTTGCATCAATGTAAAGCCAACCTAAGGCCTTTTGAGGTGTCGCACTTGTATGCAGTGAATATCTAGCACCGCGAAAAAACAAAGCAACATTGTGTTGTACATGCAAGCAGGTCTATGGGTTCCTTTTATCGCTCTGGCGCACAATAATAAAGTTATGACAATCTGCATCTTTTTAGAACGAGATTCTCAACGGATTACGAAAGGGAAGTAGGATCAAAATGAAAGCATGGTACTGGTAACGTCGCAAGCTGCCATTCGGGAGGCTTTTGACCTAGTGTCGCGGCAAGAATCTTGTAGGGGCACTAGTCAATGATATCACATTCGTATGTGCGAAACCTCCTGGAGAGTGAAAGCTGAGTCAGTATACACTGAGCGAAAGTAAATTTCGTATGTGCAGTGGGCGGTGCGGCAAAAAATACGGGGTGTTTTCGCGGTTGGACACCAGGATCACTAGAAACACATAAGGAGTTTTCTGCTTCAATACCAAAATGAAGAGTATTTTGGCTAGCTTGCGGTTCCTTGAGCCCTCTGGGTATGATTGCTTACATCGTGCATCAGCTATGCAAAGCGCCCTCAATTATATACGTATGAAGATCCGCTGGCACTAATCTAGATGTATGCGCATACGATCGTACACAGAGGCAGCGGTCATAAATGGTTCTCCTCTTGTGGTGGAGGTGTTTCGCCGTACCATTTACCGTAACAATTGAACATCAGTTGCCATCAGGACGCAAAGCTGCCTTCTGGTGGGCTGCAGACATTCTTGGCATCCAAGTTGTTGAAGGGATTTCAAGGATGCAACTAAGTTGCATTATAGACTGATGTTACCGGAGTCACAAAGCAATTCTTAGTTGCGTAAACCAGAGGCTCCGGTAGTAGTTAAGCGAGCCTTGAGATAAGTTCACTACTCCTGTAGTGCCCAACAAAATACCAGAGAGCTTTGTTGCGATTTTTTGGCGGAACGTCATACTGCACCCAATATCAAGGCTGTCCATTGCTACATCTAGATTGCTTGCGAGTGGGCCCTTGTGCGATTCAATGGTAATAACAGCAATTGTTGGAATAGCTAGGCAATACAACACTTTGAAGCGGCTGATGTGCGAATTTTTATGTAAATCCAGATTGCCAAACAAATGAGCTAACTAAGGACGTCCTACTTTGTTGCATGGAGCCCTGTGCTGAATACAAAACTACCTTCTCGCGCATTCCAAGGTAGTACCACGTGCCGACCACCACATATTGTGACTTCCAGCAGTACATAAATTACTGAGCAAGTAACGCTTAATGAGGTATTCAGGGTCTCTGCGTCTGCGTTTTTCCCGTGCCCTCACACCTTGGAGGATGCCTTCACATCCCGTAGAAATGCCGGAGGGTTCGGGGGTAGGCGGCTTACTGGAGTCGCAACGTTCTCTCCGCTATTCGACGGTGCAATGTACATATTAGTCGAGGCCACTTTGGCGCCCTGGGCTGACTGCGAGGTCTCGGCACTCATGTCTACCGGAGACCCAGGCACACCCTGTCCAGCTAGAGGATCCTGGCTCCTAGATTTATGGTAACCAGAAAAACTCTTTGCTGCATTACAGGCTGCATCTATCTGCACCGGCACTAGGTCAGGGACTGGCGTTCCATTGGACGAAGGCTCAATATCAGCTGGGGTGAGAACGACGTTTCTGTCGCAATCCTCAATAACAACCAAACCATGGGGTCCCATCTCAGCCTGAGAGACCCCAAAAGAGCCAGTGCGATTCGAGGGAAGGCATAACACACTAGTTTAAGCTGCTTCACATGTCAGAGACGAAATCATTGCAGAATTCGGGTCGTTGCACTACCTTAGGTGCCCGTAAAGCCCTCTGATAGCATGGCATGCTGCCGGAACAGATACTTGCTTTGAGAGTGAAATACTGTGACAGGAAATAAATCGACGTACCAGTGCGCGCTCCATAAACTGCAATCGTCTGGACAGAAAGTCACTGATGCGCGTCAGGGTTGTGTTACGCTGCACAAGAACAATCGATGCCACCTGATGGAACTACTAGCAGCATATGACGCCAGTTGAGGGAGCATAAAAGCAAGAAAACGCTCAACTTTTGGGGGTGGAGAGCCTTGACGGCGGATGGTCAAGCAGAAAAATGACAGCTACGCCAATCAATTCCACAGTATGTATTCTTATCATGATGCGCACTCACGACAGAGAGCTCTTCATTCCTCTGTTGCACCTTTTGTGTCTTCAGATTCAGATCCTCCCAAGCGGGCGGCATGGAATTGGGCATCTCCTGCATAGTCAGCATTACACTTTTCAGCTCAATGCTGCAACTAATGGCGACTCTCAGTGTTATCCCGGAGCGTCGTCTGGCACCCTAAAGTACGTGTCAACACCTGTTGAGCTCCTTTAAGACAATATCAGAGAAGTGTATACACAGCTTTATGCAGGGTTCCCCAAGCTCGAATTCCAGTAATAGCCTACGTCTCCCGTGGCTTGTGTGCCTGCTTCTCTCATTTCTTGGCGGCGATGTGAGGCCAATGCGGTTGCAACAGCCTCAGCGTGGGATGCCTCAATGGCCTCAGTAGCCGACCGCTGCTTGCGAAGCTGCTCCTGAGCAGTAACAAATGCACTGAACTTTAATTGCACCATATATTGTGGGTGTTTGTACTTGTAGTGCTTGTACACGGAGGCTCGATGGTTCAAAGTAATGGTTCATTCAGGCTTCTCAGTGCCTTGGGATGGCTAAAAATCAGGGAGAGGACTCACTTCCGCCACAACTAAAGACCTTCTCAAGGCGTCTAGCTCTGCAGTGGCAGCAATGAGGTCTGACTCCAGTCTTTGGGCTCGGCGGTTACCTTCTGCGGCCTCTGCACGTGCAGCCTCAAGCTGCTTCACATCTACAGTATCCTGCAGCAGTTGCTGCAGAGCCTGCAGCTCCTCCTCAACACTTCGTAAGCGCAAGTCTTTCTGCTTGCTAGCCTCCTCCTGACGCTCAAGCATAGCATTGACTTCACCTAACCTGTCTCGTTGAGACGCTACCTGCTCGTCCAACTGGTGCTGCAACCGCTGCGAGAGCCGAACTTTCTCAATAACCTGCTGACGCAACTGATGCAACTCGGCTTCCATCGCTGCTTGGCTCTCTGCATCAGGTGTACGTCGCAGCTTCAACAGTTCCTCAATCTGTTGCTCTAAAGCCTTGCTGCGCTGCTCCCATCTTATTGCCTCTGACGTCCTGGACACCATCTGAGCCCTTAAAACTGCCGCCTCCTCTCGTTCTCTGGCGAGAGCCTCCCGTTGAGCCTCAGAGGACTCTAATTGCTGCTGCTCCTCCAATAGCAGCTGTTGCACCTGCTTCAGTTGCTCCACGACTGCAGCATTTGCTGCCACCATTTTACTGCTTTCTTCGTTCCACAGATGCTCAAAGTGGCTTCGCAGTGCCTCTTGCTGTTCCTGGTGCTCCTGCTGCATGCGCTGCTGCATCTGCTGCTGTTCTAGCGCGTGTTGCTCCCGCAGCTGCTGCGTCAACAGTGCGTGCTTCTCTTGCTGTTGCTCCAAAATCTGATCATGCTCCTGCTGCAGCTTCTCGCGATCTTCTAATTCGAGCTGGCGCAGTGCCGCTAGTTGGTGCTGCACATCTTCTTCGTGCTTCTGCTGAAGCATGATCGGCTGCTGCAGCAGCTCTTCACGTGCAGCTTGCAGGAGCCTCTGCTGCGCCAGCAGCTGCTCCTCCAAACCCTTCACCCTTTCATCCAGCTCGGTCTTCTCGTGTGTATGCTGCTGCTGCAAAACGTCGTATTCCTTTTTGAGTACTTCATATTTCTGACTGAATAATTCTTGCTGTCGTTTGGACTCCTGGACCGCAGACGCTGCTTCCTGCAATTGATGCTCAGCCGTCTTGCGCTCCGTCTCAAGGGACGCCGTCGTCTCCTCAAGTTGCTGCTGCACACTCTGCAGCCGCTCCTCCGCAAACGCTGCCGCTTCCTGGAGCCGCCGCTGCAGCACCTGAACCTGTCTGCTGAAGTCCTCGTTCTGCATGCCATATTGTTCCACCAGAAGACGTTTCTCTTCTACTTCCTGCTCCAGCAGCTCCAACTGCTCCTTCGCCGCATATTCCTGCTGTTGCAATCTGCGCAAAAACTGCTCCAGGTCCTCCTGTTGCCGTTGCGCCATGAGCTCGTGTTGTTCCTCCTGCTGGGCCAACTGTTGCTGCAGCGCATCCACTTTCTGCTGCGCACGATCAACTTCCTCTTGATGTGCAGCAGCAATGCACTGCTGCTCCAATGCTAACTTCTGCTTCTCCTGTTCCAGGTGTATCAGGGCCTCCGCATGCTGCGTTGTAAGCTCTTCTAGCTGCGTGGCGTGCCCCCTCTCCTGCTGCTCCAATTTAGCCGCGTGCTGCTCCTGGAGCTGCCCTTGCTTTAACAACAAGCTATTCACCTCCGACTGTAATTTTTCAACCAAAAACTCTCGCGCAAGGAGTTGCCTTTCCAGACCTGCAGCAGCACCGAGACACAAACATTGGCAAGCGCACTTTACGTCGTCGCTAGTCATGAGGCGGGGCAGTGCTACTCCAGCATCTTTCCAGCGAGCTTGCTAGTGCCGCAAAAAGCCCCTTTTTCACCGCCAACACGGCGGAGATAAGCCCATCTTACCCTCTTGCTCCTGCCGCCACTGCGCAGCACCTTCCTGTTGCTGTTCACTTAAGGACAGAGCACTATCCAATGCCTCTTGCTTCTCCTTCAAGGCTGTACTCAGCTTGATCTGTTCTTGTTCGCGCTGCTGCAAGAGCTGCTGCAATTTTTCGCTTGAACGTAGTGCCTCTGCAACCTAGCAGAACAGTAACAACACAACACAAAGCACCAACGCAACAAGAATTCCAATTGCTGGCTACTAGAAGGTCAATTTGCTGCAAGTTTTCTGGGTATTGCACCGTGAGCCTAGCAACGATAGCCAGCCGTGGAGCGGTCTCGAGGTAAATAGATAGCAGTAGCAGCAGCAATTCTGCATGAACATGGAGGGTAACAAGGATGAGGCGGCCACGTGCATGGCGTTCGCAACAGAAGGCCATGTTGGCGGGGAACTTTGCTAAGATGGGCCATTGTTTTTCAAAAGTTCTATGCTGGAATACCTATGTGTATGCAGGCAGATCAATATGCACAGAAACGTCAATTCATAGATCTAAGAAGACAGAACTACGACGGATTTTCACTGACCATGCAAAAGAGATATCAAAATCGACAAGCCTATACCTATCGATTCCGATCCACCCGAGAAATACAGAGGCACAGGCTATTGGCTTGGGAGATTCAATATGTGAAACGCCAGGTTGGCGAGCGAGGGCACATAGCTACGCGTGTACAGGCCAAGCAACAAGATGTCAGATACAAAGAAATAGAGCGCACGAAATTAGTACATGTATGAGAAAATGTAAATGGAGAAACACCTATTACTTTGAGAGTTAAGTGAATGAGAAAAAATAAACGCTGATTCCCAAGTAAAAAAGCACTTTGGGAAATACAGGAAACTCATCCACAAACGGGGACCAATAAACGCGATGACACACACATCTGAATGCGTGCATCACGATGTAAACATGCATGCACGCACAGGTAGTATGAGGGCCATCGCGCATACGTGAGAAGGAGCAGAAATGGACAAATCGATAGTGTCGGACGGGCAATTGCAGGTGACGAATGATGTATTGGTGAAAAAAACTAAGAGCGACTTCACGAAGAGTATACATGTTAGACGGAGCACGAATCCGAGGTCACTGTGAAGCGCACCAATCTACATTTCAGGGAAAGGCATGCGCATCATATGAGGTGCATTTTTAGAGTACGGACCGGTTAAGCAGACACACACCGAAAATGAGCAAAACTGTTGAAGCAGAGCAGCGCATTATGTACATGAGGAGCACTGCGAGCCGGCACAGACCAGGGTGCCCACCAATTGAACTGCCTGCACATAGCTGCCTATGCATATGTGTCTACATCTCTCTAAGTGTCCTCAAAGCTAGCAAAGCTCGGTGCTCTAGGGGGCAAGACTGTCCCCTCACTTGGTTTTGCGCGTCTTTCTGCGCAATTTCTGCTGCCACTCTTGCTGCAGTGGCTGCTGCTTCACGCTCAACTGCTGCCTGCAGCTGCTCCTGGAGCTCCTGCAGCAACAGCGTCTGCTGCTGTGTTTCCTGTTGCAGCTTTTGTAGCTGCTGCTCCGACGCGTGAAGCTGCTGTTGCCAGTGTTCCGATTGCTGCTGCAGGTCTCTTGCTCCCGCGGCATGCTCCTGCTGTAACTGGTCCAACAGCTGGTGATGCTGTTGCAACTCCTGCTGCGTGCTTCCAAGCTGTTCCTGCAACTCTCGTTTCTTCTCCACTGCTAGCACCATCTGTGCTTCAAGATCAGCAGCGCGGGCACAGCTCTCCTCCATCCGCCTGCTGAGGTCATCGTGCATACGCTTTAGGTTGGCTATGCTCTCCTGCTGCTCTATGTGGGCTTCCTGCAGAAGCAGCTGCTGCTGTAGAAACGGCTCCAGAGATCCGTGCTGCTGCTGCAGCTGACTTATAAATTGCACCACGTCCGCATCGAAGTGCATATCTTCCTCTTGAAGTTGCCTATTCCGCTCCATCTGTTCGACCAACATTTGCGTCAGCTGCAAGCAAGACAGAAGCATGTTGAGCAGCAGTGGTGACACTTCTGTGGGGATGGCAGAAGCATCTGCGAAACAGGAGAATGCGAAAGAATACAACAAGAAGAGAACGTATATATAGCCAGACACCTTCCCTGCAGCTGTATGCACGTCTTGAGAGTTCCATCTTATGTTAGGAAACGAGAATACAGAGGAAAGGGGACGTACGGCGGAGACTGCCCCATGTGCTTCCTCGAGAGCTGCTTCTGCATCCGAAATACCGCTGCAGGCTGGAGAGGGCTGCGCCTCGGAGTCTGTCCCCATGGGTGAGGGGCACTCAGCAGCAGCGGCAACGATGGCATCCTGCACAAGCTGTGCCGCTCGTTGTCGATCAACCAGGATTTCCTCACCAGAAAGCAAGTGCTCAATCACCTGCCGTATGTTCGTTGTTAGACACGCATTACGAGATCGCAGAGCCCCCACTTGCTGCTGCAAGGCCGCCAACTGTCTCAAAGTTTCACCGCTGCTCTTCTCGAGATCCTGCACAGCCCGCGCGAAGCCAGGGAGAAAGTCCTCCATAAATACTTCTTGCTGCAGGTTATGCTGATGCTCGCTCCGTGGCAGCAACATCTGCTGCTGCTCATTCCGCTGCAGCAGCTGACGCTGCTTTTCCGCTTCGTCCACATGCTCCTGCTGATCCTCCTGCTGCTGAAGATCTGCTACACACGCGGGTAAATAGCCACACGGCTCCGTGGACGGATGGTGCGAGGCCGCTGTCGCCGATGTTTCCTCTGTACTAAACGACGCCGAGCTGCTAGATTGATCTCTACTGGAGGCAGCTACAGGACATGCTACTGCCATGGTTTCTGCTTGTAAAGCAGGAGTCGCACTACTAACAGCTGCCTGCGAACCCCTGCCTTCCGAGTCATCGATAAGAGGGTCACTAGAATGCAAAGGGGCTCCCATGTTGCATGGACTGCCCAGAGCGTTAGGAGTTTCTAGAATGTGTTCCTGGTCAAGCGGCTGAGCAACTGAGGAGTGCTCCTGCGGCGGCTTCTGCACTTGTTGCAGCGGCTGGAATTGCGTTTCCATCGAATGCCTCCACTCTGCAGGGGCAGCATCCAGAGAACCCGGTCCTGCACCAAAATCCTGGGATCCGATGGTGACTACTGCTCTTTGGCTCGCGTTCCCAGTGCTGTTGAGCTCTCTTTGCCGCATCGGTTCAGCTGCAGCAGAGATTTCTGTCGAGGCTGCGCCTTCTACTGGTGCCGCAGTCAGAGCGGCGGGAAGGCCGTTCGGGCCTTCGGGAAAGTGCACCACGGCTGCTGCGTACACTTTGTATTGCTGATGCTCTGGAGTTGTATCCCCTGAAAGATCTTCGCTCAGTTCAAGATGCTGCTGTTGGAGAGGCTCCGGATCGGTTAGCAAGTACTCGTTGCCCTCTTTCTGCTCTTGTCCTTTTCGGTGTAAGCTGCCTTCCGGCAAATTTCTATCCGCTTCATTTTGGTACTGCACCCCGAGCAACGGCTTCACGCCATTTGTTGAACAAGAGTCCTTTGTGGGTTGGAGCTGTGGCTCCTGCTGCGGTTGCTTCTCCTGCACGCCTAAGTAATAAGAATGCGCACTTGCTTCACCCTTCGGGGGTGAGGGTGCGCCAGTGGAGCACTGGGCAGTTGAATCAGGATTCAGACGCTGCTGCAGCACTTCCGCTGCATCGGAAGATCCCGCTTCTTCAATGGAAGCTTGTTGTTGCTGCTGCCCATGTTTGTCATCCTCCGCCACCATCCAGCCAGGGCTCTCACCCAGCGGAGGCTCCGACACTGCAGCGCGCACCCTGCAGCCTTCTTTGTCAATTGTGCTATCAGCACTTGGAGGAGGAGGAGATGCATCTTCTGCTGCTCCTCCCAGCGAACTCTCTGGTTCTGCCTGAGACCCGCGTGCTAGACTCTGCCGCTGCAGTTGCTGCAGCCTGTAGGGAGGCATCACAAAGGCTAAGGGCTTTTTCCTTCCATCCGTACTGCAGCTGCTCTTCGTTGACAGCCCAGGGGTCGCAGTGTATAAACTGGCAGCGCCACGAGCTCTGCAACAGAGGCAGCCGCAATCACAGGAGTAGTAGGTTTGACAAAGGACACCACGATGTATGCAACGGTGTGGCAAGCTCAGCGTGGGGGTTCCAGCCCTCACGTAAATAGCACAGAGCTCTAGGCTCTTACACTAAGCTCCGAGCTAACCTCATTCGTCTCATGTTCCCCATGGAGGAGGAGATTTTTTCTGGTTGCCCTGTACTATTTGCCGTCGTTTCCGTAGTTGCCGTTGCTGCAGGGGGAGGCGGAGGTGTCTCCAGCTGCTGCACAAGATCTTCCTCGCCTCGAATAAGCCATCTCTTGAGCTCTTTATTGTAGTAAAACTGGTTCTCTTCACCAAGCTGCGAAAAGATACAAACACACCCAGGTCTCTAAAGCTGTACTTGTGGTCGTCTCGAAGCAAACAACTCTAACAAAAAGCACTGTATGGATGACAGTGATGAACAGTTCGCCTACGTGGGCGCGTGTGGCCTTCCCCTCGGTTTCCCCGTCGTCTCCACCTCTCCTAAAAAGACGCCAGATGCCTGTGCGCACGCAGTGTTAAGCAACAAGATGAACGGGCAAGGTCTTGATGAAACTGTAGAATAAGACTTTGCCATCTGAATTTTACAAGGAAACAGTGTTGTGGCACCTGTAGACATTCTGAATGCCTGCGCATTTGTATATTCGTGTATCCTTGGAACGATAATTTTCCCGCGGCAGGACCTCACGCCAGAAGCTGAGGGGCGGATCCCCGCGCAGCCCCCGCTTTACAATGCTCTTCTGTCACGTGCACCTGTTCAAATTGAGCTGGGTAAACTGTTTCTCGGTAATGCAGCAGGAGTACACGCAAGAAGCCCGTTACTGTTGCTCATGCTCCTCCGATGGTGGCGGAAGCCCTGCGTGTCTCCTACAGAAAGTATAGAGACTGTATCAGCAGTTGGGATCCCGGGTAGGACACTAGAGAAACATTAGGAGAGATGGGCAGAACACAACGAAGCCCAGAGACCCCGTTCTGCATGTACCTCAAGCCGTGCGAGCCGAGGAGTTAACGCCGCGTGACGGAAGCAAGCGGCACCCAAAGCGAAAAATAGGATTTTAACTGATATTAAGAAGTCCAACGAAGTCTCACAATTCGAAGAGTGCGTTTGCGTACTCCAATGCTGCAGCTAACACACCCTCGGATTGAATCCATTGCGGCGGCAGCGCCCCCCCACCTGCTAGGGCCGCTAACCGCTGTCTGCTGCCGATTCACCCAGCATTTCCCCTACGCTAAAGGTACATTTGACTAGAGTATATCACAGAAGGGGGAATCTGGCGCTTAGTTTCCCTCGGATCTGTGAAAGACTTTGGACGGCCGGCTAAACCCAAAGAACGGACACTGTATACGTGGGTAGGTCCAACCGAGAAAAATCGCCGATGTTGGCGCTAAATATCAATTTTTTGCTCCTGAAAGAAGTTTAAGGCAGCTTTGCATTAACACTTTGCTTTCGTCGGATACAAACAAAAGGCTAGATGCCGTGTGTCTGGAGGGTAAATGTGAAATAGTGAGAGAAGAAATGCATCGTTCTGCATAACAGATTCATCAAATATACTGCCAACCATGCTTCTATAAGATTTTCATAGTAAAACGCCCTGGAGCAAGAAGACACGTCTCACGGCCTGTGCTAAACTTCAACACTTCCAACTACGCTAGTTATATTTAGCCAAGAATTAGTGAAGAACTGACTAACTAGCGCATCTGTCCTTATGTATTATATAATCCAAAGTGCTAGTAGCTCGATACAATAAGGCGTAACGTTGGGTGTGCAGTTTTAGCACTCTGGCTAAGGTTGCCGTCAGCATACGTGTAACTCGGTGCTCTATGCAAAACTTGAAAGAAAGATATTCGGTGTTCCTCGAAAAAATAACTGTTCCCTTGCCTGGGCCTCCCAGTGTTACTGGCAAGAGGGCACACTGACAGCTAGCATGCGAGTAGCGCGTAGCTATGCCCTCGAAACACTCACAGCTAGTTGCCCATAGCATCTAGCGCATTGCCACACAACAATGTTTCTTTTAGTATCCAGCCACCAATTCCCCGCGACAATTAAGGCATACGAGCCGACAAACCAACTAATCAACTTTTGACTAATTCCAGGCCAATATAACTACTGTAGCAGAGAGCTTTAAAATGTACCATACCATAGTCCATTGCATTGTCGCCCCCCATTCCAAAACGCACCGTATTGTTCTGTACCTGGCTGTCAAGCCCAGCTGCGTTCAGAGCGCTGAAAGTGTTCCCATGTTATCCTCATTTCCCATTCAGGCAGAAACCTCAATGGAACTAAGGAGAACAGCAAACGTGCGCGTGAACCGTAGAAGAAACATACGGGGAGAAAGACGCACTACTGGCCCAGCACGAACGAGGGACCCAAAAGCACCACCAAGGCTGCACGATTGCTCGCTGCCGTCGGAGCGCTAAAATGTGTGAGCCTCCTGCCACAAGAAAGCACAAGACAAGTCAGGAGAGCAAAGGGGATCGAATGGTAAACTTGTTCAGCAGTCCGTCCAGTGCTCATGGAGCGTTTTTGCCTGGTACTACTAAGCGCATGAAGCATAGCCGGCTTTATTGCCATAAAGCGCACAGATAAAATTTCAAGGACAGCATACCTGCGGGTGTGCGCGCAGAAATCTGGTTATAGGGAACACCTCAACAAAAGTAAGTGAAGCCTTCACAGCAATATCCCTAAACGAAGTTGGCTACGTCAGGCATAGCATGCTCTGGGGGGGGGACAATTACCAGGAAACCCAATTAGACCGTCGATGGAGAATAGCCTTGTTAACCACTCAAAGTTGCAGATTCTTCAGCAGGTAAAGATAGCCTCAACTGCTCTTCCGTCAGTTATTTAAGCTGGCGTTCCCCCTTTCCCCCGCCCTTCTTCCATTTATCTAGGAACTTTTGTCTTTTCTATCCTTGGCGTTAAATAATCCCAGAATCCAGCTCTTGTACGACACCACGTATATCCACCTCCTCAACGTAGTCACTTATCTGCACATCACAGTCCATGAATGATTTCAAGACTTTTGAAGTTTTTTTGTGAGACCTGTGCTGATAGTTTAATGGCACCTCCACGTTTTATAGGAACTGAGCAACTAAGAAGTACTGAGCCGTGAGGGGATGGCAAATGGTCTCAGCCACCTGCCCGCAAGTACCTCCGTTTGATCACCCTTAGGCCCACCTCATAAATCCTGCCAACAAGGACAATTCGCCATTCTACAAACACAGCTGAAGCAACTTCTCAGGGTCCCATGTCTGTCTCTCTAGACCATTGCGCATACAGCCGCGTGCACTCTCCAGCTGTTCACTGAAGTCCCCCGCTGCTAGGAGGGGCTGCTGACGCGGGACCACAAGGTCCAGGGTTGGCTCGGAGGGACACTTCTCGGAGTAGACCATGGACGCAAGAAAACGACGGGTAGGAATACAAACAGTTGTATTGTAAGCCACACTGCACGACGGAGAGCAAGTACCTAAAAGCTCAGGGTTTTCAGAGTACAGTCTCAACTACTGCAGAAGAGTGCGATATGTGCGCTGGGTCTGCCCACATGCATCAGGGTGGTTCGCAGGGGTCACATTGTGGGCCTTGTGTAGGCAGGTAATAAGGGCCTTCCAAAATGCCTTAACAACTTCTGATTTCTATGCTGCGGTGCCGGCTTTCCGTTTGTTTGTTGCGCCTGCTTTGCTCACCAAACAGGTTCCTTCCGGTGGGCCCAGTCTCGTCGTTCAATGTCTTTGGCTTTCTGCATGCGCTTGCGCTCTCGGATTATGTAACCCAGTCCTTCACAGTAGACGTAGATGCGTCGTTGAAGAGCAGTTTAGGGATTCCTAAAAGTCCGGCGGCCCCTTTTTGATTCTCGTTTGCCTTAGGCTGTAGGGTTTTTCTAAAAGACCGCCTGACACAGCTCCGATAAGGGTTGGCCCTGAAACCCGACTTGGCACTTCCCTCTTAGCCACGGAAGCATAATGTGCGCGTACTTGCTATTTTTCTGCTTCAATGAGTCTATCGATTGCATTAATCTTACCGTCAAACTTTTTAGTCGCTGATTCGTTCCGCGACCAGCTGACATGACAATTCGAGTAGACCAGATATAGTTCACTGATGAAGCAGTTGTTGCTCGACGTTGTGGCATATATTTGTTGATATACTAATGTATTATCAAAGTTTCCTGCTTGAGGAATCAGGCCATCCAAGTCCTTCTGTTGAGCCTATCTCGGCAAAAACCGACGAGTAAGGGCTCAGGTTAAAGTTTAGCCGTAGTGATCCCTGCAGAAACTGGTTTCTACGCATGAAATATGACACCCTTAAATTGCTCTTTCAAGTTATACAAAGGCCACAGGATCACACATTTTCTTTGAAGGAGTCAAAAAAGTAGGTACCTCTCCAACTGTCTAGGGAAATTTTCGGGTACTTCCCGCCAAAAAGCCGTCATACTTTTATGGTCGGCATCAACGTACTGATGAATCCGCAAAACTAGTTTAGTAGGACCAATCATGCTGTTGGCAGCGGTGTAGCTTCTGGCATCGCATCATTTTAAAGGTAGCGTCTGCCGCCTCAACAAGCGTGCCTCCGTCGACTTCCATCGCCGTAGATTTTCCCCACAAGCTGCTGCCAACAAAAGCTATTTCATTAAATTGCTGAACAACTTGATTGCATCTAGACAACTTTTGGGGGGGGAAATTGATTTTTCTCTGGATTTACTGCCAGTAGGGGGTTGCCGGGGAAGCAGCTGCACGCATTGAGTACAGCTTGTTATAAAGCAGATAAATGGTACTTCGTCGGAAGTGGGTCCTCTCAACGTGAATGGTCACCTTTGCATTGGCTCCACGCGCCATGATGGAATTCCAGGGTATCTCATGTGTAACCCTATAAAAAGGGCGCTTTTGACCAAGCCGTATCATTTACTTTCACAGGGTAGTTCCAGTATGTGATTTGGCCACAGTAGTACGTAGGGCAGATCCTGTCATTATCGGCGCAAACACGCGGGCGCTGTAGGGGGCAAAGCTGCCTTCGAGCGCGTTCCGCGGCTGTAAATAGATGTGATTAGAAAATGGGGAATAGCTGAATTTTTGGTTAGTTTATTCGTATATGTCATGTACTGCACAATAGAGTTCGTTAAACAGGGCAGCAATCAATGTTGTGTACCTGTGACAGGTGCTAGCTGCAAGTGGGGCTAAATTCTATCAGATCCTGGCGATAGAGCAACGCTCACTTTAGCCACACCCCTTTCCTCATGCCGAAATCCGTAGGAGAGAGGGTATGGAGGGGGGAACAAATGTGGAAGGACACTGAGTAGCTTTTTGTGACTTGGCCCGGGGTGCAAGTATGTCCATATGGGCACTCTAGCTGGAAAGCTACATTTGTTAGCATCTAATCGGTGAAATCAGCGATTCCCCCCAACAACTCCAAGGTTTCAGGCGCAGTAAGATGTTGACTTCTTCGAAAATTGTTGCTTGGGTTCTGGTACACTCCTTCGAAAGCCTTCGTAGGAAGACACTGTGCACAGGAAATACA